AGCATTCTGTCATAATCGACGCACAGCCGAAATCAATAAGTCTAGAATCTTGAAATTTTACACATAGATTCATTATATAGGGTAGGTGTAAAATAAGAAAGGAATTTTAAAACTTCAACTCCTAAGAGAGCGCAACGGGGATTGAACATCTGTATAGAATTTTATCAGTTTAGAAGCTAGAACAGTGAAATGTTAGATTTAGGGTCTTGGTTGGTTGGTAAAACAAAAACTTATGTCTATTAACTTTTGAAGAATTCATTCATAAAGGGGTGAAATAGAGGATGAAAGAATAGAGCGAGCAAAACCGCGAACAAAGGCTGATCAGCCTATATTTATTTCTTTCTTTTGTATTACATATATTAAAAATCACCCATCACAATTATAACACTTCTAAAGTCCTAAAAATTAAGATATTTATGTGACATTAAAAGACATAAAACCAAAGGCAATGGAACTGCAAACACTCGTATAATTCTAATTATCATTCCAGCAAATGGCGCCTTATACATTTATGTATGGCAAAGGAATAAGTTAGCTAACAGCCATGTGGCAGAGCCCCCCTAAATGGTGGGATTCAGGGAGGCTTACGCCCGCTGGTAGGTACCCAATAGAAAAACTAGCGTTATTGAATGGACCTACTGCGCAGGTCGAGTCACGCTTGACGTTTACCGGTTCTGCCTCAGTGTTATATTAGTTTAATCGGGTTGACGACACGCTAAAAATATAACACTCTCATTAGACGCTTTTATAATTGATCGTAACACGACACGACATCGCACGATTTTACCGTCACGACGTAGTAAGAGACGAAAATGTATGCGGTTTAATTAGGACCAATCACTTATTATATAAAAAGGTAAAGAGACATAAGAACTACCAGAGGGAGACTTTGTACAAAAGTTGATTGCTTGGGTACATTTGGTCCCATTCGTGTTTCAACCGTGAAGCAGTCGTGTTTGCATGGCTGTGTTTCGGTTTGGTACAGAGAAATAACACCCGAGTCCTCAGGAATGGCAACTCACGGGGAGTATCATGGGCGAAACAGTATACTCTGTTATGTCCATGGTACTGCTCATGTCTATAGGCGACGGTTACCACTTTCCATCAGGTGGGCTGTCAGCTTGTTTGCCATTCTAAGTTGTAGGCGAAAAAAAAATATATATCATATCGGTTCTTAACTGTCCACTTCTGAACACAAGCCTTCCCCATAACAGGAGTTTTGTCAGTAATTGCCATCTTTTGGCAGACGAGTTCACAAACGCAGTTAGGCTTTTAGTCATTGTAAGGTCGAAATACTACTTGAAAGGGTCTGAGTTTATCGTCAAAACTATGAAAATTATGTTCATCTTTTTTTTGGTCCTTTTTTTTGGCTGTAGAATGAAAAAAATCCCGCGAGAAAACTGGTCAGAGGCCGTAACAGTCACGTTTTAAGAGGGACGCTGCTGCCCATCTCTAAACCATTAAGCCACTTCCATTCGCCTCTGACGACACTCACAGGAAAGGATGGGGTGGCTTATTTTATGCCGGGACTACACAGCGAGGCCGTCATATTGCTTGTAATTTCAAATATCGTAAGAAAGATGTTTACAATATTTCGTTTGCATACATTCTTGCTCTTGTCCTAATATGGGTTACTCATTCTTTGTCACGCTTTGGGAAAATTTTTCAATTTTTCTGTTGCATTACTTCCTTAAAAGGGAACAAATAATTACCATTTCAGCTTTTTCTTTACAATAATTAGTATGGCAAACAAGCTAACGGCCCCCATGATGAAGAGTAGCAATGGTCTCCTAAAAACATAAACAGCACCGTAGACATAACAAAGTAAAGTTCGATGCCCTGAAAACTATGGCCTTATGTCATTATAGCCGTATAGTCTCGGCATAAAATAGGCCATCCATTCCTTTCCCGTGGCTATCGTAACAGGCGACTAAAGATACATAATCGTCGCATCTATCTTAAAACATCACCAGAGCGTAACTGTGGTTGCCAATCCGCCTGCCTAGCGTGGCAACTACTCGCAAAACTCAAATAGCAGGAGCCCTAATATGTTCAGCATTAGACAGTTAACATATGATGATGATGACGGCCTTTTAGTTCCATACTATATTATTTCACTGCCATATCCCAATTTTTAGGAGGGAAAGGGATTATTAGTAATGGAGACTGAGAATCCCATTGCTAGCAATATACCCAACCAGGTCGACCTCCTCGCGGTTTCCCCTGGAAGCTATCATGATTAATTCCAGATGAATTCATCATGATGGGCTAACTGGCCTGTTTTCATCCTCATCAATCATCCTTCACTGGTGTCCTGCCAGCGTATCCCGTTAGCGCAGGCGGGGATACCATTCCATTTTCATTCAATAAAAAATCCCAATTTTTAAAACCAACAACTGTGCAATTGCAGCTGCTTCGCGCCAGATAAACGAGTGAGACAGAGGTACCCAAGCAGGAGACTTTTATACAGTCTATTTGGTAAAAGTATATAAGTAGTATAAGTAGATAAATGTACACATATATCAGTTTTATTTGATCACAGTTGCGTGATCAATTATAATTTACAGTTACATAAATCCTTAATGTAATTTACATTCTGTGACAATATTACCATTTTACGCCACTTCTCCGTGTCGTGGAACAAATGGCCACCTAATAAAATGACGTGGAATGAAATAATTTCAAACCGCATTACAACAATGTGTCAGTGACCTCAGTGTTACCTAGAGCGAGGCGCAGTTTGACCTGCACTGCAATAAACTCTGAGTTTTACTAGAGTTTATAACGCCAAAATGCCTAAATAATTAATGAATTTAGTGCAGTAGTTTTGATAGATGGAAATGGAATTCCAACCGCCTTTGCGCTGTTGGTTTACACTAGCGGGGTATTTATATTTTTTTTTTAATGAATGATAAATGTAATGGCACAGATAATATAACACTTGGTAATGGTAACCCCGCTTGCAATATCAGAGTAGTGAGAGATGATAAGTGAGGATGAAAGCAGGTCAGTTGGCCCAACCAACGAATTTGTCATTTAACCACCATGGTTTCGTGTATTTATATTTTTGAATATCATTTGTGACTAATTTAGGTTTGCCTATCTAAAAAAAAAATTGTTTTGGATTTTAACAAAGAAAATAGCGGATGTAAAAATTTTTAGTTTTGGGTAGTTATATGCCTGTTTGGCCAAGTTTTGTCAAGTTGTTATTATATTTATTTTCAACCAACTTCAATAGGAACAGATTAAAACTAAACTTAGCCAATTTAATTTTAATATCCTCCTTGTTGTTGTTGTATCAGCCATTAACTGTTCACTGCTTAACATAACCTCCCCCATAAGGGGGGTTTTGCCAGTAGTTGCCATGCTTGACAGACGGGTTGGTAATCGCAGTTTGGTTTTTGGTGATGTTTTAAGAGGGACACTGCTGCCCATTCCTCCATCATAAGCATCCTTAGTTGCCTCTTACGACACCCCCGGAAAAGGGAGAAGTGGCCTATTTCATGCCAGAACCTACACAGCTATCTCCTCCTACTGAAGAAGGACTACTTAACTTATCCAAACTTGGCCATTCATGACCAAACTTGACCGTATTAGACTAAAATGGTTAAACTGTACGAAACTCAATTTAAGTGATCAAACTTGACTAAACTTGGCCCAATTTGACCAAACTTGGCCAATTTTGCCAAACTTAGCCAAGTTGAAACAAACTTAGCCTAATTACACCAATCTGGATTTAAACGATAAAGCTTAGCCCAATTTAACCAAACTTTATTAAACTGGTCAAATTTAGCTAAAATTGTTCAAAGTAGTTTAACACAACTGGACTTACACTTATTTGACACTCACCTTAACTGTATTTAAACTGAGTTACGAATCAGTTTAATTTAGTCTAATCAAGACGCATAAAACTTAGAATTTAGTCCAATTTAGAATGTAAAGATTAGAATTGAGTGTTTATTAATTAGAATTACGAGTTTTGAGATTTCAATTGAGATTTAAAAAATTTTGAATCAATAATTGAGAATTTTGAATTGAAAATTCTTTTTTTTTTTTTATTGAACATATTGGAATCATAATTATACAGAACAGTGTACAGTGACGAAATTATCTCTAAAAGGGGTTTTTTTTTCCAGCAAACCCAATATGAGATAAACTGATAGTTTATTCAAAGTTACAGACATGTATGTGAACCAATAACTTCAATGTGAATCTTAAAAATAATTAAATATAATAAATTTACAATTGAAAATACAGATACTTATAAATACAGAAATAAAAATATAACTATATATCAGTAATGTATTATATATACAAATAGATCCATCGAGTACGGAAAGTTAAACCGCTTAGGAAATAATATTGATGCAATAAGTTAAGAATTTAGAGTTTATATTTGAGAATTTAGAAGTTAAAGTTTAGAGTTTAGTAAAATTCAATATATTTAAAGAAAATTGTTAGAAACGGTGTTTTTATATCAAAAATATAAAAATAGAAATACTGAAATTGAAATCACCTCAATTTGAAATTGGTTGACAATAAATGTGACGACTCTTATACGAAAGTGGCATGACAACAAATTTCTTAGACTATGGTATTTCTATAGCATTTTCTTTGTATGGACAGACGCTTACATTAAGGATAGTACCTGATGAATGCACGATTGTTTTCTAATCACTAACATCTAAGAATTATTTTTTTTTTATTTTGCGACAAACACCGCCATTTATTATCTAGTGGCAAAAGGCAGAACTAATGTAATATTAGTTCCTAAATTGTTCAGCAGAGGCACTTTACAGGTACCATATACTTAATCTATGAGCAGCACCCTTGCTAGCTTGCTCATCGCTTCTATGATAACAAATAATCTGTGCTGCTATATTTTTGAAGCCTTGCAACACTCTTGACAGCTAGCTTTCATCCGTCATCATTCCAGACAAATTATCTTTTTGAAGACTAGGCAGCATGGTCTCCGACCTTAGCCTGTTCCAAACGGAACAAACGTACTAAAAAAAAAAAAAAATCATCCGTCATCGTCAGCATTGTTTTTTCATGTAGTACTGCAATAAAAAGGAATTATATAGTTGTAAAAATAAATCTGCGTTACACATTACTTGATATATTTTCAGTATAAAAAGTTTACAATATGTGCAATTAGTTAATGAAGTGTTCAACTAGTAAGTTTAGATGTACAGACTCGATTATTCAAATGAAAGATGTCTTCTCTCTATGGATCTACATACAACAGAACAAAACGAAAGTGACTAGTTGACCGAGCCGTGTGGATCGGCGATTTTTTAGTTCCTAGATTAAACTTCTGCCTAGAAAATGGCGCAGACCGTGAGGCGCGCTATCGAGGGCAGATATCCTTCTTGTTATATACCGAGCAGGATAAAGGAAAGACGAGCCAAAGCGAGAGCTCTCAGGTGAGAATAACTACATATGTGTGTTTAATTTACATTATATCGCTCCTATCGTGTCGTTGTTCTTTGCGCAGATGTTTTCGTGGTATTTTTATCAAAGTGGGGCATGAAAGTAAACCTAGATTCAATGGTATATTGTCAAACAAGTTGTCAATAAATAACACATGTATTTTAATATTGACCTAATCAATAATTAACAATAATTACTTTCTTACTTACACAAAACTTTAATATTTTATTATGCCCTAGAATAAATGATTATAGTAAACTAATAAAGCTATCAAAACTTGTTATAGCAATTAGATATGTGTAGTTTATTATTAATTAATTAAATAAATACCATGCAGACACAACTTCATTTATGTTGACTGTTATTTAAAATAATTTAATATTTATAAAAACAAAATCCAATCAATTACAATAATCTTTTTATTCACAAATTCTGAACATTATTGCAAACAAAAAAAAACAAGCTATTGTAATGTAGGTTTTTAACCTAAAATCACTAGAAAATATGTCAAACTGTGGTAGATTCATTTATCAGATGATTTTGTACAGTGTGTACAAAACATGAAGCACAAATAAACAAAGAAAATATTTGGTGTTTTCTTAATTTACAAGTAAATTTTATTGTTTTGTAATATCTTAAAGTAAAATTTATTTATTTATTAAACTTGAATACACCAAAAAAGTGTAAATGGTGTTATCTACCAGTTGATTGTAGACAGGAATAACAGAAAATTTAATTGATAGTGAAACATAATAAATAATATTAAAACAATAGACAACAAAATATAATAAAAAATATCTACAAGAATTATACCATCTTCATCAAATGTTAGCTTTAACTAAATACTGGAAAAAAATAAAAAATATTGCTTATGCAAACATCTGTCTTTATGACATTTCTAGATACAATAAATCCACTAAGCATAGACTGAGTACAAATATTAATATAAGAAGAAAACCTAGGTACTTTTATTTGTTGTGCCAAATATAAATTGGCCAAATTTTTGTTTTAATTAACTTTGCTTGTACTAATAAGATTAGCGTGTGAAGTACCAGTGAGGTATGATTGGTCCATCATGATGAATTCATGTGGGATTAACTACAATAATTTCTAAGAGTGAATGTGAGGAGATCTACCTGACACCCTGTCAGGTTGTCACCATATTGCTAGCAATGAAGTTACCAATACTCATTACTAACCTTCCTCCCTCTTAGACTGGTATTGCTTGTACTACAACTCCATATTGCCTGCAGATTAGAACAACAACGCAAACCTGACAAGCCCGAAGACTTTGTGTGCTACTCGGACAGCGACAGTGAGGAAGAGACTCCAGCACAGCAGCACCGAATACTTTCGACGTCATACAACTTTGTTGATTATGTGCGCTCGAGGGAAATCATGGCACCAGAGGTCAGACTTTTTTGTTAATGAACTTATTTTAGCAATAAAATTATATTCTAAATACCTTTATTTATAAGAACAAGAATCCAACAAACCAATTTTAGCCATCAAATGTTTTGTCACCTTTCAAATTGCGAATTTAGAACAAAAGAAAAAGACAAAAACACTTCAATTGCTAAAATAGGTTTATGAGAAGTTTCACATTTTTATAAGTAAGAGATAAATATTTAAAATATTTTTTTAATTTTATTTCGATTTTTTATTACATGGTATATAGCTATTCATAAAAGGTACCATGGATATTACAGAAAAAGACTGACATTCATATTACCTCCAACAATTACCATTCCTTAAGACTCGTGTATTATGCCTCTACATACAGTAATTTTACTCCTATATAGCCTTCACAAATTAAAACAATGCAAGCACAACTGTGTAATTGCAGATTTAATAGATGAAATAGTCAATTTTGATAATTCAATTTTTTTTTATTTTAGTTAATAATTAAAATGCAAATATCTTTATATATTTGCTTATACAAAATTTCTAAAACACTATTCCATACAACTCTAGAAGGTAATCCTTACTAATATTATAAATGTGAAAGTGAGTTTCTTTGTTTGTTAACTTAAAGTGCCTTAATGGCTTAACCAATCAGTTTGTTTGATCTCATATAATATGTGTATACCACACATATTATATGAGATCAAAAAAGATATAGGTTTTTTATATTGGTTATTATACATACTTCTTCTGGGTGGAACTAGGTTGGCTGTACTAGCCACGACTCATACGCACAACGGCCCAAAAGAGAGGCTAACCATGGAAAATAGAGTTCTATTTACATTACATAGCTTCCCATTCATGTTTCTACCGTGAAATAGTTGTGTTTGCATGGCTGTGTTTCGGTTTGAAGGGTTGGATATGGCGTGAATTTACTGGGTACAGAAGAATAACACCTGAGTCCTCAGGAATGGCAACACATGGGGGTATTATGGGCGAAACAGTATGCTCTGTTTTGTCTATGGTACTGCTCATGTCTATAGGCAACGGTTACCACTTTCCATCAGGTGGGCCGTCAGCTTGTTTGCCATTCTAAGTTGTATAAAAAACAAAAAAAAATCTTGGTTTATATACATATCTTCTTCTGGGCGAAGCTAGGTTGGCTGTACTAGCCACCACTCATGTGCACAACGGCCCAAATGAGAGGCTAACCGTGGAAAATTGAGTCCTATTTACATTACATTATATTACATGTCTTTGTCATGTGACAAACTTGACAAACTCACAGTTAAATGCTAGTATTTTATAACTATTTTTGTGAAAATAAATAAAGTTTGTTGTTAAGAATCTTAATTTAACATTAGATGCAAAATAATGAAAGAAATTATATGGGCCTGGCTGAAATAAAAATAAAAATAAAAAAAAGAATTGAATTCTTAATTTTAATTCTTCTAGCAATTAGAACACAAATGTTGTCAGGGTAAGCATCTGTTACTCATTATGACTTGCATGTGAGTATGTACATACTTTACTCTGATAATAATGATAAAATGCAACTGCATTCGGTTACACAATGTTATCTGTTAATTGTATGCAGTTGAAGCGTATTTACACTGGAATGCCAAAATTACAAGGTCCCACTAATGAGATCTTGTGTCATTGTGTAAATATTGCGTTATCTCAATGACAAAACAACACAATGTCAATATTTTCAACTATTTTCTTATGTTTTAGATGTGTTATACATTAAAATTGAGTCACTATAGTTTTTGAATTTTATATTATTCTAAAATTAAACAGTAAAAGATTATTGAACTACTAGATTTTATCTGAAATTTCACCCACGTGACTGTAATGTGTTGGTTATTTATAGATAGATACTCTTTATTGTTTCCTCCAAAAGATTACAATAGTAAACTTATTATAAATATAAACAATTACAAGAAATTATCACAATGAGAAAACAATGGGCGGCCTTATCGGTAAAAGCACTCTTATTTATATCATATTTAGTACAGTTATTTTGTATATATTTTTTATTATTTTAAAATTTTCAAACTTTAAAATAAGAAATATGATTTTAAGGAAGTTATAGTATAAGTAAACAATGTAATAGGTTTTTTTTTATTAATTATTAAAATAAATGAAGAATAAAATAGGAATAATATACTTTTACTGCCGTGTAGTCCCGGCATATAAGGGCCATTCCTTTCTCTTTGGCGACTAAAGAAACTTATTGGTCGAGGGATGGGCAGCAGCGTCCCTATTAAAATCTCACCAAAGGCTAACTATGGTTACCAATCCGCCTGTCAAGCGTGGCAACTATTGGCAAAATCCCCCAATAGGTGGAAGCCTATGTCCAGCACTGAACAGTTAACGGCTAATACGACATATGAAGGGAGAGGGAAGGGATTGTTAATAATGGGGGTTTTTTTGATGGGTGAAAATGGTATGGTAACCGCGCCTACGCTAACCGAATACGCTGGCAGAGCACCAGTGAAGGGTGATAGATGAGAATGAAAACAGGCCAGTTAGCTCATCATGATGAATTCATCAGGAATTAACCATGATAGTTTCCAGGGAGAACCGCGAGGTGGTCGACCTGGTTGGGTATATTGCTAGCAATGGGTTTCTCAGTCTCCATTACTAACAATCCCTTTCTCCCCAGTAACGGGGTTTGAAAAGCCCCATTGCTAGCAATATACCGTATCAGGTCGACTTCCACGTGGTCCCCCTTGAAACATTGTTGTTAATTCTAGTGGAATTTGTCACGATGTACTAACTGTCCTGCTTTCATCGTCACCTATTATCACTCACTGATACTCCGCCAGTGTATACAGATAGCGCAGGCGGGGTTACCATTCTATTATCACCCATTAAAAAAAAAACTTGCCAATCCGCCTGCCAAGCGTGGCAACTATTAGCAAAATCCCCTATGTGGACGAAGCTATATGAAGGGAAATGCAAACCAGAATTGTTATGAATTGCAGCCGCGCTCAGTGGACCCGTCGTACGCGACGCGACACATGCTGACACACGACATGTTCCGCGAGACGCCCGTCAACCTGGGCAACATGAACAAGGTGTTCTGCTCGCAGTGGCTCTCGGACCGACAGGTCGTCTTCGGCACCAAGTGTAACAAGGTATGGTCGCGTCTCAGACTCTTCATACTCTAACTCCTCAAATTATAAACATGATTGTCCTGACAAATAGTGAAATATTTAAAAAAATATATATCCAGTATCATCCGTGTGCTCTCGGCTTAGAATAGGCTATCCCCTTAATTTCTCATAAGTGTCGTAAGAAATTTAATGGTCAAAAGTTAAACAGCACTGTCTTGCTTAAAACATCAAAGCTTTACTGCGGTTGCCAATCTGCCTGCCAAGCTTGGTAATTACAAGCAAAACCTTCCATTAGGGGGAGGTCTATGTTCAGCAATAGACAGCTAATGTGAAGTGATGTGATCTTTCAAATTGATGTAAGGGTTCTCACGATACTCCATAAATCTATTGAGGTTTTTAGAAGGTATGTTGATATAAAGAAACTAGTGTGCGTTCATGAAGCCTGAAAACATTGCATTCCTTGATTAGTAGATTCTAAATATTTTGTTTAATTCCTCTACCATTAGCATGTGTGAGACTGCCAATATTTAAGGCTCGCTATTATTATTAGTAGAAGTTCTACTACCTTCCATAATAGTCATCAATCTCCGACCGTTATTTAGTCCACGCCTATGTTGTAATACGTATTTCACCTATAAACGAGGCGTCTTGAGGCAAATTAATAGATCACTGCTTGGAGCCTAGTGTTGACACAAATTGCCTAATTTCGTAAATTAATGCTTAGTTTAGTAAAACTTGCACTCTATTTTTTGGACAATCATGTGAAAAGGACGCAATCTTGTTTGTTGTCATTATTAAATGACATGACGTGCATTTTGTTACTTTTAAGATTCATATTTTTTTTTTAATAATTTCTTTTATAATTTTTTTTTTATATACAACTTATAATGGCAAACAAGCTAACGGCCCACCTGATGGAAAGTGGTAATCGTCGCCTATAGACATGAGCAGTGCCATGGACATAACAGAGTATACTGTTTCGCCCATGATACCTCCCATGCGTTACCATTAATTCCTGGTGACCGTTGTGTGTGTGTGTGTGTGTGTGTGTGTGTGTGTGCATGGCGCGGTGGTGCAGCTGATGGTGTACGACGTGCGCACGCGGTCGCTGGACGCGATCCCGACGCTGCGGCCGCGCGCCGCCTGGCCCGGCGCCGACCACCAGACCGGCATACACGCGCTGCAGATCAACCCCTCCAGGTGACTTGATTGCTAGAGAACGCCATTAGGTGTTAAGTCCGCCATATGTACACTCACTTATCTATATCTATCTATACTTATAAAAAATCTGTAGAGAGGTCAATTCTGTACATGAAATATATTTACAAAATAACTATCAGGCGGTGATTAGTGATCGATACTGATGCCAAAAATGCAATCAGTAAGATTTTTGTCTGTCTGTCTGTATGTTCGTTATAGAAACAAAAACTACTCGACGGATTTTAACGAGACTTGGTACAATTATTCTTCATACTCCTGGGCAGGTTATAGTATACTTTTCATCACGCTACGATCAATAGGAGCAGAGCAGTGAAGGGAAATATTAAAATTGTCCACCCGTGCGACGCCGGGACGGGCCACTAGTTTTATATAATTGTGCGTTAAAATTTAAATAAATAATGGTATGTTAACCCCGTCTGCGCTATCGGTATACGCTGGCGGGGCACCAGTGAGTACCATGAGACTACCAGTTCCATTACTAGCAATATACTCTGTCAGGTCAACCTCCACGTGGCCCCCCTTAGAAACCATTGTGCTAAATTTCAGGTGTATTCATCACTACGGGCCAACTGACCTACCTTTTCATTCTCACCTATCATCCCTCATTGGTGCCCCGCCAGCGTATACCGTTAGCGCAGGCGGGGTTACCATTACATTATCATTCACTGAAAAAAACTGCATTATACCCTGTTAGGCAAGCAATAGATGATAGTGGAATGGTTGATTTGTAGAGAACGCTATTAGATGTTAAAACCGCCGTATTTACTTATCCGCCACTTACTTATTTTATATAATTGTACATTGTAGTTTAAATAATGGATAATAAAGGCTCCTAAACGGCCAGAGTTAAACTGCTCTTGTAAGCCTAAAATAACAATAAGTAAACATACCTTCATATTTTTTATATTAGTAAAGGTACTCGCAATATATATATATATATATATATATATATATCTTGGCAACTACTGGTAAACCCCCAAGAGGGAGGCTTACTTACATTCAACAGTTGAGAGTTCAAGGCTGATTGATTATTGATGATTTGATATGTTTTGTAGGTGAATAAATGATTTATTATTATGAGTGATGTGTGAATACTATAGTTGTTATTGTACTGCAGGACGCTGCTGGCGACGGGAGCCCGCAACTCGTGCGAGCTGGCCATCTACAGCCTGCCCACGCTCGACCCCGTCTGCGTCGGCGAGGCGCACAAGGACTGGGTGCGGTTCATATTCATTTATATTATTGTTCAATGGTGGCGACCAAACATAGAGTATACCTGGTAGTAATGATTTGAAATTCTCAAGTGTAACCTTGACACATTTATTTTTTTTATATATTATATCAATTATTTATTTATTTAGCACTTTTTACCAGAGGGACACTTTATTGCACCGAAATTACAGGACTTGTTGAAATATTTTCTACAAGTACAGTGTGTATACATTATAGTGTATATTTCTTGTTACTTTCTTTACCTACCCCAATAATGGTGTACCGCGTTCGTGATTCACCGTTCACCCCAAAGGTTGTCTGCTAGAGAATGTCAGTAACTAATGCTTAACTAGCTTAGCTAACGCGAACTTAATAGTCCGCCTAATAGTGGTTGTACGAATGAGTGTATGCGTGTGGTGTGTTGGTGCTGGACAGATCCTGGACCTGTGCTGGCTGGACGACGAGTTCGTGGTGACGGGGTCACGTGACTCGCGGCTGGCGCTGTGGCGCGCGCCCGCCGCGCCCGCGCCGCGCCACGCATACGTCGCGCCGCTAGCCACGCGCGACTGCAAGGCAGGTCAGTATACTGGGCCGCCCCTCGCAGGCCAACTCGATTTTTTGATGGGTGAAAATGGGTGTAAATTTTAATACGTCATGATGGTAACCTCGCCTGCGCTAACGGGATACGCTGGCGAAGCACCAGTGAAGGGTGATAGATGAGAATGAAAACAGGCCAGTTAGCCCATCATGAGGAATTCATCAGGACTTAACCATGATAGTTTCCAGGGAGAACAGCGAGGAGGTCGACCTGTTTGAGTCACAATATGTTAGCAATGGGATTCTCTGTCTCCATTACTAACAATCCCTTTCCCCCCGCACAGGCGGTGTTACCATGCCATTATCATCCATTAAAAAAAATCAAGTCTCCAGTGAGAAAACATACTAATAACAAACTAATTTAATAACTGAAAGACAAGAATTTAAAGTTTTTAAACTCATACAGCGACGTAAATGCTACAGGTCAGAAAGTACGCGCGCTAACGTTCAACTCTCGTTGGCGGGAGATCGCCGCGCTGACCCTCAACGGGTACATACACGTGTTCAACGCAGAGACCTTCCGCCAGACGCTCTCCCGCAAGCTGCCCTCCTGCCAGGACCTCGTCTGTCTCGCCACGCAGGTAGCTCCTTACCCAAGGAATACCATAGTTGACTGCACAAGTACCTCGGTCTCAACCGTGCTTTTGCTGCTAAGTCGATGTGCTTGCTTATTATGTTACAGTTTGCAGGAATATGGGAACGTATGTCCCCATTAATGATTGTGGGGACATATATACACAAATATAACTGTCAAATTAAACAGTGTATTCATTTATTTTAACTTTTTTTTTTATACAACTTAGAATGGCAAACGAGCTAACGGCCCACCTGATGGAAAGTGGTAACCGTCGCCATGAGCAGTACTATGGACATAACAGAGTATACTATTTCGCCCATGATACCCCCCATGCGTTGCCATTCCTGAGGACTCAGCTGTTATTCCTCTGTACCAAGAAAATTTACGCCATCTCCTCTCTTCAAACCGAAACACAGCCGTGCAAACACAACTGCTTCACGGTAGAAACACGAATGGGACAAAGGTACCCAAGCCATCGACTCTTGTACAAAGTCTCCCTCTAACTATTTATTTGTAGTATGTATTGATTAGTATGAATATTGTTAGTACAGCACTCGTGCACTTTACCTGCCCGCATACTTCCCTACTGTATTGGTTTAACTAAAAAAACTTAAGATAAATACATTTACAAATGTTATGATACAAGTGCAATAAAAATATATATATAAATACTTAGTCCTCCAGTATAGTGACTTATGAGGTCTCATTTGTATTCTATGGTGTTCATGTATGTGTGACAGTTATCACTTTTCGGCAAACAGGCTTGTTTTGCAATAGTGCCATTAAAAAATATTCCACTATTAACATTTGACACGATTCTGAATTGATATTCGTAAGCTATTTCCAAAATTGACATACCAACTTGTTAGTGTACTGAAGTCCATATTATTTATCTTTTAGATTTGTTGATTGGAATTGTTTTGTTCAGTTTCACTGCCATTAGTACGTATAAGTGTGCCAACACTCGAAAATTCACTACCATTTATTTATATAACAAGATGTTCCACAATCTTCCATATAAGGCATCAATCTCCGACTGCCATTTCGTCCACGCACGTTTTGCGGCACATGTTTATTTAACCTGAAAGTGCTTCGTTAAATAAATTAAACACGTCGCTTATACACTAATGGTAGGGGAATTGAGCAATATAATTCTAATCACATAAACAGTGTTAATTTACATGCCACCAAAATTCAAATTTTAACTAGTTCTAACTCAAAATTGTGGAAGTTTATTTCCGTTTTGGTCCTTCGAGCCGGATTATGTTGGGAAATATGACGGATTTCCCAATTTTATGGTGAATAATAAATAAATAATTGTCTTTTAATAATAAATTGCTTCCATTAATTTGATAGGATATTATGCAATGCAAAAAAAAAAAAACAAAAGGAGAACAGTGACTGATAAAATAAAAAGAATATATGGCTAAAATTTAAAATAAAGATGGTTGTAATCTCAAACAAATACTGATTTTGACACTATTGAAAGTTGCCACTTTTTGCGGAGCAAAATTCAAATAATAAGCAATACAGATTTTCAAACTGCAAACACTTCTACACCACTTCATCACTGTATATATTAGCTCTGTCACATTTTACACTGTCGACGTACTCTGTCCGCAGCAAGAGACGGGCGTGTACGCGATCGGATGCAAGTCGTACACGCTGCTGCTGGACTGCCGCACGCTGCAGTCCGTGAAGAAGATCACCTCGCGCTACAATGGCTGCGGCATCCGCTCCGCCAGCTTCCGTTCGCACATGCTCACCATCGGCACCGGGCTCGGTGAGTCCACCACACTGGGACAAATACTAACTCCAACTACAGTCGCGTCGGAAACTATTTGCGCGCAAAATTTTATAACGTTTTCATGAATTTGTGCGTTAAATATGATTCAAATTATTAAAGATATTTAAGAAAACAGTGAAATATATTGTTAATTATTCAAATAATGTATTTGCAAATCAAAATTATTTATAAATTAAAAAATATTCAATATATCCTCAAATCCATGCAATCGGAAAGTATTTGCGCAGACTTAATATTTAGTTTTAAATTGTTTTTAATTAATAATAAATTATTTCTAGTATTTCGTAGGGCCGCCTTTAGATTCGATGACTGTTTGTCGGTCAGATTTCTTTACACTTTGATCCAAATGATCCCATAGATGCTCTATGGGATTCAAATCAGGACTTTGAGCAGGCCAAGACAGTAATTTAATTGATTTTTGTTCGAACCAAAGCATAGTTTTTTTAGCCTTATGCTTAGGATCGTTGTCTTGTTGAAAAATCCAGTCCTTATTTAAATTCATTTTATCAACACTTGAATTCAAATTATCTTCAAGTATATTAATATAAGCATCTGCGGTCATTCTGCCCTTAATAATCTGAAGATTTCCAACACCGTTATATGAAAAACATCCCCATACAAGTACTGATCCACCGCCGTGCTTAACGGTGCCCACAAGATTTTTCGATTCTAGGGCTGAGTTTGGTTTTCGCCACACATATTGTCGCCGTTTCGATCCAATACAATCAAATTTGGACTCATCAGACCAAACTATCGCCTTCCAGAAGTCCAATGATTTATCTTGGTGTTCGATGGCAAATGCGTATCTCGCCTTTCGGTTTTTTTCGCTAATAAATGGCTTTCGTCTGGCAATACGGCCTGCAAATCCAGCTTCAACAATCCTGGACTTAATTTGTGTTAATCCCAGATCGAGATTTAAAATTTCTTTTATTTCTGTAGCACTTATCTTTGGATTATTCTTCACTAGTCGAACGATTCGTTTATCTGTTCTGGGATCTGTTTTGCGCTTATGGCCACTTCGGGGTAAAGATATTGTTGAATTTCGTTCACAAATTTTTTTAATTGTATCTTGAATTGTTCTTAGTGAAATATTCAAGTTTTCAGCAATCTCAGAGGTTTTAATTCCATTATTTTTCATATTAATGATTATTTGACGCTCTTGAACCGTTAATTCTCTTTTTTTAGGCATTTTGATGAGAATATCAATATTATAATAATTAAGTAATTAAAATTTTAAGAGATGTAATGACTTTACATCTCTTAAAATTTTAATTATTTATCTAAACGTATACTTTAAAAAAGTACTTATTTTTTAGTAACATATACAATTTTAAGACGGAAAACTTAATTAAAACTTTCCGAATTAACTAATTATGATTAATATTTAATTTTGTTTATTACACGCAACAATTTATAACTCATATGTGTTTATTTTCTCATAAACACATGAATCTTCGAGACTGTGCATAATTTTCCTTTTTAGTTATCTCTAATTGCAATTACAATAAAATTTCTTAATAATTTTATAACGCGCAAATAGTTTCCGACGCCACTGTATATATTATTAATAACGGGGATCTAATAGTCCCATTGCTAGCAAATCATCCTATATTGCATATATGTATTTTATTTTTGCTAGCAATACAAGGTATCTATATACGCGACCTCCGCATGGTTCCCCCAAAGAAAACTTTGTGGTTATTTCTTGTGGACTTCGTCATGGTGGGCCAACTGACCTGCATTCATTCTCGCCTATCATCTTCTACTGATGCCTCACCGGTATATACCGATAGCGCGGGCGGGGTTACCATTCCATTATCAGCCATTAATAAAAAAAATGGTGGGAAGAAACGAAGGGATTATTAATAATGGGGATCAAATAGTCCCATTGCTAGCAATACACCCAATATAAATATAATAATGGCGAGTGTCATGGGCGAAACAGTATACTCTGTTATGTCCATGGTACTGCTCATGTCTATATGCGACGGTTACCATTTTACATCAGGTGGACCGTCAGCTTTTTTGCCATTCTAAGTTGTATAAAAAAAAACATACAATAATATATACAATGGAATGAGCTCCCTATCGAGGTTTTTCCTAGAAACTAGGGGTTCTTTAAAAGGGGTATTATTAAAATTTCTTTGGGGTTGGTAACGCCCTACTCGTGACACTCCTAGTGTTGCAGGCGTCCATAGGCTATAGTGACCGTTTACCATCAGATGGGGTATAAGCTTGTTTGCCAACTTTGTGGTAAAAATAAAAAACCCTATTTTTTTTTATGAGTGAAAATGGAATGGTAACCCCGCCTGCACTATCGGTATACACCGGTAGTGCAGGCGGGGTTACGCTGGCGGAGCACCAGTGAAAGGTGATAAATAAGAATGAAAAGAGGCCAGTTAGCCCATCATGATGAATTCGAGAAATTGCACCAGAGGGAGACTTTGTACAAAAGTCGATTGCTTGGGTACCTCTGTCCTATTCGTGTTTCAACCGTGAAGCAGTTGTGTTTGCATGGCTGTGTTTCGATTTGAAGGGTGGGATATGGCGTGAATTTACTGGGTACAGAGGAATAACACCTGAGTCCTCAGGAATGGCAACGCATGGGGGTATCATGGGCGAAACAGTATACTCTGTTATGTCCATGGTACTGCTCATGTCTATAGGCGACGGTTACCACTTTCCATCAGGTGGGCCGTCAGTTTGTTTGCCATTCTAAGTTGTATAAAAAAAAAAAAAAAAAAAATTCGTCAGGAATTAACCATGATAGTTCCCAGGGGGAACCGCGAGGAGGTGAACCTGCTTGGGTATATTGCTAGCAATGGAATTCTCAGTCTCCATTACTAACAATCCCTTTCCCCCCACCCTACGTTTTATATATATGTAAAATCATTCAATAATGAATATAATTTCTGCCCAGGTCTGCTCATGTTCTACGACTTGAGGGCGGGTAAATATTTAGAAAGCAATATACATTCAACGAAAACCGTCACACTGAGAGCTTCCAGAGGCTATGTAGTAAGTATTACACACTCCAATTAGATGTTCCTAAGCTATTTATAATTTATTTTTCGTACTGGTAATTAAATTAAATTCAATAGTAGCTTAATTGTAACATCATAAATGCTCAGTCATTTTATAATTCTTTGTTTAAAATTATTAAGAAAAAAATTAATGAAACTATGAAGTAAAATAAAAAAAATACTCTATAGAAATGACAAGTAATAATAATAATAAATAAATTCATAATCATGGTTGATGATGATCATGATGGACCCATATATTTTTTATACAAATTATTACAAACAAAAACAAAATTTACCTATTTTTTTTTTTTATATTGGCCAGCATGTGAATCGTACTACAATAGTATTTTTTTAGAGTTTCTCTAGAGACTACAATATGGGGTTATTCAATAAGAATGTTAAAGTGTTAAGGTGATGCCCCTAGTGTTGCAGGCATCCACGCTACAGCGACTGTTTACCATCAGGCGGGCTGTATGCTTGTTACCTTTGTGGTATGAAAGAAAATAGGAATCCAAAGTTTATTTATATAGTTAGTTTCAAAAGATGTTAATGAAAATATTGAGAACAAACAATAAATTATTAATTGAAACGACCATAATACTGTCCATTTATGTCCAAAATAAAATTGTATTGAACATCTCTCTCTCTCTCTCTTTCTCTCTCTCTCTCTTCATTTCATTACTGAAGCTTGTGTCCTTGAAAGGTGTCTGATGCCTTAATATTTCTATTTCTCACTAATTTAGTTTAGGAAGTTTCTGTGATAATTACCAGCTCAGTTGTTTATTTTTTAAGTTCTATTAAAATGTATTGAGCACTCGAGTACCTGAGTACGTAGTTAGTATTCGAGTACTGGAGCGAGTACTAGCGTCAGCTCGAGCCGGCCCGGCGCTGGTAGCAAGCGGGCTGGCGCGAGCTGACATCCTCTTGCGACCGCCGCACCCGCAGTTCCCCGACGAGGAGGCGGACGGCTTCAACCAGGTGAAGTACGTGCCGGCCATCTACACGCACTGCTACGACGACAGCGGCACGCGCATCTTCACCGCCGGCGGCCCGCTGCCCGCGCCGCTCGTCGGCAACTACGCGGGGCTCTGGCAGTGACCCGGGGGACCGGCCTCCCCGCTTGATAAAATTATTTAAATATTATACTTATATCGTATTGCATCTCGCGGCTTTGCCCACAAACAGGCGACGACGATCGACGGTTCACCGCCAATAACTCCTGAAGGGGACAAAATGCATTATTACTGTCACTTATGGGGTAGAGCTCCTAAATACCAGCTTGAACCCTTAATAAATTTGTAATAAATAAAAAAATAAGTCTTAGGAGACATTTTGCTACACTGTACGTGTTCTACCGCTTGTACAATGGACTGTGCTCAGAGGACTTGTTCAATATGATGCCCACGGTCACTTTCCACCACTGTACATCTCGCCACCGACTAGGAGTTCACTCCATAGCTTACAGTCAGAATGATAGCGTAGAGCGCGGTTTCAGAGATACTTCTTCCCTGGAATGCTCTTTTAATCGAATGACAAGAGACAACAGGATGGGGTTCTTCAAAAAAGGGGAATAGAGGTCAGTAACGCACGCGTAATAACCCCTTGTATTACAGGCGTTCATAGGCTACAGTAACCGCTTACCATCAGGTGGGCCCTATACTTTTTTTTTTTTACATTTGTGATATAAAAAAAATACAAACATTTATTGAGCACGATTATTTATTAAGAAATTGTGTAACCCCTTTTATGTACTTTCTTTTTTGTATATGTTTTGTTTTATTTCTTTAAATATATACGAAAATGTTGTTTGTGTTTTATGTTAATTAAATTAACATATATATATATATATATATATATATATATATATACGAGGTCTGTCCGGAAAGGTCGTATAAAAGTGTTCTGGAATGCGAGAAAGAGGAGTGGGGAGGCCAGGTAAGCGCAGGCTTCCTTATGTCCCTAACAATGCTTCAGTTCTGGTCTGACCGCCGTGCGGTGCGAACTGGCTTGTCACGCCATCTGTATACTAACGAAACCCCGTCTTCCGTTGAAGAGCAGCGCGTCGTAATCAGTTTCTCTATCGGCAAGAATGGCCGTGAAAAAAGTGGAAACATCCGGGGAACCACGAACAAAAAAATCAAGAAAATCCCGCTCAAATGTCAAGACAATGTTGATTGTTTTTTTCGATGTTCGGGGGATTGTCCATCAAGAATTCGTCCCTCCAGGCCAGACAGTTGATGGAAAATACGTCGAAGACGCCTCAAAGCTCGTGTGGCACGAGTTCGTCCAGAATTGGCGCGAGAGGGGCGTTGGATTCTTCACCACGACAATGCCCCTGCCCACACCTCTCTTGTTGTCCGTGAGTTTTTGAGTAAAAATTCCATTACGTTTTCGCCGGATTTGGCCCCGTGTGACGTCTTCTTGTTCCCAAAAACCAAATTGGTACTTCGGGGGCGGCATTTGGGGGACATAAATGAGATAAAAAAAGCTACGACGGGGCAGCTGAGAAATACAACCAGAGGACTTTGTTTGTGGTGCGTTGGCACAAGTGCATTATATATATATATATATATAATTGTAAAATAAAATTTTTAAAAAACTTTTATTACCTTATATATATATATAAATTCTCAATATATTAACATAAAAATGTCCAGGAGGTGTGTGCCTGTTAACCGTCGATGTCGTTCACGTATCAAATTCATATCCGTTCAACCATTTATGGTATAATTGAGTAAAAAAAAACATCTTTACAAAATCACACATTTATTACACTGGAATATGAGTTTTTATACGCAGTCTAGAGAAAACGCCTTTGCCCCAAATAAAAAAAATAATATTGTATGAGTAATTAGCTTAAATAATTTTATGTATTCTTATTTGTAATTCCTCTTGGTTGTAATCTAGGAAATTTGTTTAAAAACTACAATAAAATAAGCTGTTATACTAGGGTGCGTCCAGAATTTGTTGATATAAATAATATTATTTTCTCAAACATGCTTGGAAATGTGAGCATTATTTTGACAATCTTCGAGATAAATCAAAATTGCCGTACTGGCCAGATACATGCGAGCAGCGGCTGGCAAAAGTTGTATGAAAATGCATATCTGTCGTGTTTTGCGGCCAGATAAATTACTACGTAAACTCATATCTGTCCTGTAATTTAAAAATGGAATGACCTTTTACTTCGAAACATGGCTACCAAGGAGGTAACTAATAAAAGGTTTTATTTAAATTTCGAACTGTCTTGCAAATAGAAAGCTGTTTATTGAAAAAAAAAACAAAGGAACATAATGGCGCGTGAAAAATTATTATTGTTCGTTATTCGTCATTGAAATTGAAAAGTAAAATTGTGTTTTTGATTTCCGCGCATTGTTTGAGAAAAGTACTATACAAGCCTTGACCACAACTAGGCATTGATGAACTCGCGTATGTGTGCCTCGGCTATGCCTCGGCCCACATTTGCACCTACGTCTATCAATGCCTCAACTGCTGGCCGCTGCAGTAATGTACTATAGCATATGCCTTGTGATGGCTAATTGAATTTATTTAGTTTATTTTTACATGGATGATAATTATAATGGTAACCCTGGCTGCAATAATTTTATTGTGGTCATTTTGATGGAAATTTTGGATTTATTTTCATATTAACTGTCCACTATTGAACATAAGCACCCATACACCATCTTTACCATTTAGAGGGTTTTACCAATCGTTGCCACGCTTGGCATTGCATTTCATCTCTACCTAGGACTTTTTTTTAGTAACATTTTAGTCTGCCTAATAAATATATCTTTTCATATTACAGTTTAACGTATAAATATTTGTCTGGACGCACCCTTATGTAACTTATGTATGTACATATTACACGATGGTGAACAAAAATCGTTTCAAATACTTTATATAACATTACATTATTTCTGCCATGTAGTCGAGTACACATTGGGCCAGTGTTGGCCCCGAAATATAGTAGATTAACATCGAAATAAAATACATATGTATTGTGTTTACATGTTTATTCTGTTTTTATGTTAACTTACAGTGCTGTACAATTATTTTTATATGTTTTGACATTTTATCAATAGCACAATATTCTTTAAGATATGTTGCGCTCACCCTTACCTTTAGTTCGCTATTAATTCCTGACAATAACAGGAATTTTAAATATATTTTTTTATATCCCAAAAATACAATTTATTTACTCAAATTATAATTGAATTTTCTTTAATATCTATACTGATTATTATTTGCAAATGTTATTAATGTATTATTTGTTAATATTGATTTGAAAATGATTTATGTATATATACTGTCATCAAACAATATTGAAAATTTATTTAATTGTATGACAAAATCTGTGTCGTTTATGTATTGGAATTCGTTTATAAATAATTATTACGGATACATCACAAGATTTCACGGTGGAATCAACCATAATAGTCTTAATACCCAACTGGACCCCAAAAACGGCCCGTTCACCCCACGAATAATTAGGTGGAACAAATTTCAACTTGCCTCATAGTACAAGTGCATATCTGATATTAAATGTCAGATTTCAAATGTCATTAGTAGTTTTTTTTTTTTTTTTGGCTGATGTTTGTATCCCAATATTGGTAACAAAAACATATTCAGACGGAACAAATGGACGCACTAAAAATATACCGCCTTATCATAAAAAAAAAAGGTTGAAATTGTGTTCAACAGTCATTCATGTTTAAACATCTTGCTACAAAAGGATGTATAACATGTGTGTATGTCTAAACAAAACAAAGTTAGTAGTGTAAGTTTTTATTAAACTGACGTAACGATTTTTAATCGTTTAAAGTTACCTTAGGCACTGTTTAGAGGAACAGTATTTTAAATATATTGTATAGTAAACTCAGAAAAGTTCACACCGCATTCGTTACCAATAATGGGGTCAGTGGGTTAATTAATATGGGTCTAACAAACAAGTTTTAGGGGTCCAGCGGTTGTGAAATGCCAAATAGTGCTGACTCTTCAGTCGATACGAAACCACGCAATTCTATTACAACGCAGTCTTGTCTGATACATTTGAACATTAGTTTTTTAATTAGTAAATTTTCCATTATAATGTTAGGAGAGACGGCTGATATTGTATAGGATCGAATGACAGAGAGGGGTCAATGTAGACAATTGAAAAATAAATCTATCAATATTTTTAAGTTATGGTTGCATTAATTATATAAATTTTAGAGTTATTTAATTGTAAATAAAAGGGAATAAGTCAAAATTTTCCATTTAGTCAGATCTTATTCTCCATAGAATTAACCAATATCAATTCGACCCTATTTTTGTATTACATATTTATTGGACATTTTATCGAGCTGTAATAATAATAATAATCATATAGTTCTCCCCCGTTTGACCTCACCGATCGCTTAGCCAATGTGCTATTGGAGTCGTTTGCGTGTAATGCCGTATTACCTCAGTATGACACGAGTGGTATAGTATAGCAACACTCGTCCGTCTCGCTTTATCGGCTACTATTAGTGGTTGGCACGTCTTTGGCTGTAACACATTGGAGTGCGGACTGGATTTATAATTGTAAAATTTGCTTGTAAGGTTTTATCGGGACGTGCAAACCTCGTTAGTGATGTGTCGTGATAAAATCGTCAATTCGAGAACGGGCGCGGGAGAATATTTTTTTTTGTTCTGGCAATACAAATTCTTTTGGCATTTGTAACCTTATTAAAGTATACAGTTTATAATTTAATTCTAATGATTACATGATTCCTCGTCAACAAATAGGTAATTAATAAAAATTTATTTAATTTTTTTTTTTTTGCAATGATTCATAAAGTTCTAGAACGGTATTCGCACGTTCATTAAAAATTACGCATAAATGAAAAAAAAAATACATATGAAAAAATTTACGCATTGCTTTTGCTTTTTAGAGTAAAAATGAGTTATGTAGATTACCTGCAATATTTATAAGAGATGGCTGTTTTCTTTGTAACTTAACTATAAAATCGAGCTCTTTTTTTTTTAATATATTTATGCGATTTATAACAAATAAGCGAGTGGATTATAAGATTATTTTTTTGGGAATGCCTATTTTTTTTTTTAATGAATCGCTACTTTATGCAGCAAATTTTCAAAATCCAAAATTTTGTAAAAAAAATACTATTCTTTGGAAAAAGGTCTAAAAATCGAGGGATTCACTCGATTTTTGAAAAATTCTATTTTTTAGCCGGGAAATTTCGAAAGAAATATCTATTAAATTTACCATCTATGGTGTCTACAGCATTCTGACTGAAGCATTCTTACAGATATTAAAGCGACAATAATTTGAAGCCTAATTGTTTTGACGACTTTATCACGAACCTCGTTTAAGTTTAGTGAACCAATATTATAATGTAATAGATTATTAGATTAATTGGAGTATCCATTATGATTAATTGTATAAAGTGGCTAATTACGATATCAAGTGACAAGTGTTGGTGTGTTTTTACATAATTATTATAATTTCTACAAATTATCCAAAAAAAAAAAATGGAGATTGTGACAAATAAAAGACTTGAATATGCCGATATGATTAATGTATGTTTTTCATTCTATTAACCCTACAAATATATATGCTCACGCCTGTAATATTCGATGGGGTAGACAATGGTAACTGTGGGTAATCTCTGAAGGAGCACCAGTGAGGGATGATAGGTAAGATTGAAAAGGCAGATCAGTTACCCCATCGTGACGAATTCCACAAGAAATAACCACGACGGTTTCCAGGGGGATCCGCGTAAAGGACTACTTGATTGCTTATTTTTGTGTAATTTAATTTAATATTTTGTTCCACAAATAATTAAAGATGATTTTCCGCGAAAAAAAAACGAAAAACTAGTTATTTTGGTCTCAAAATTAAACTACTGAACCGTTTTTGATAAAAAAAAAGAATTTTTCTAACCGAATTATGAATGACTCGAGTTCTTAGGTAACAAACAAAAAAATACAACCGAATCGAGCATCTCCTTTTTTTTGGAGTTGCTTGAAAACGTATAGGGTTTCAAATGGCTTGTAGTTTTGTTTTTTTTATACAACTTAGAATGGCAAACAAGCTGACGGCCCACCTCATGGAAAGTGGTAACCGTCGCCTATAGACATGAGCAGTACCATGGCCATAACAGAGTATACTGTTTCGCCCATGATACCCCCATGCGTTGCTTTTCCATTCCTGAGGACTCGGGTGCTATTTCTCTGTACCCAGTAAATTCACGCCATATCCCACCCTTCAAACCGAAACACAGCCATGTAAACAACTGCTTCACAGTTGAAATACGAATGGGACAGAGGTACCCAAGCAATCGACTTTTATACAGTCTCCATCTGGTCACCCTTTGTATGTATAAATGTATCCATACAAAACTACATACATAAAAATATGTACGTTATCCAATACGGATAAAGTCGCACAACTACGCAAATAAAACACTATGATAGAAAAAGCATAAATGCATTTATTTGTATAAATCACATAGCGTTAATCAACACAATACACAGAATCTTCAAGAGTACAAAAAGTTCCAAATTATCAAAAATCTCATTAAGCTCTCCGCTGATAGAAAATGAGACCAAGAAACTTCAATACATGGAGATTGCACAGTGAACACAAAGTTCCAGTATCAACTATAGCTTTTATTTCTCACCAGTGGCCGTGTGGTCCCGGTATAGAATAGGCCACCCCTTCCTTTCCTGTGGACTAAAGGGCGAGAAATGGGCAACAGCGTCCCTCTTAGAACATCTCTAAAACCTAACTGCAGTTGCCAAGCGTAGCAACTACTGGCAAAACCCCCACAATGGGGAGGCTTATGTTCAGCAGTGGACAGTTTAAGGCTGTTATGATGATGATGATTTCTCTCCAACCAAATATGGCCGATTCCGAGACGCCACTTGTCGAACCATTTTTAAAATTGAAGTTTCAATTTGATATTACAGCAAAATATTTATTGTAAGAACTAGCATGAACTAAATTTTTAATAGTTTTAAATCAATAATTATTCTAAATTTAGTTTATGATGTGATTTGGTGAAATTGACAAATTAAGATGTTACATTTAGAGGAATGGACCTCAATATCAGCCCGGGGCCCAGTCATACAATTTTTAATGACATATTATTACATAAATTTGTTAAATATTGTTTAAATTAAGCACACAAAATGTATGTTTGACTACACACTTTGCGAAACTAAGTGAAGTGAGCAATTTATACATACATTATTTGACCCTTTATGGCCCGCTAAACACAAGCAAATATAAAGAGAGATCTCTCTAATATCGATCAGCTACTTCAATTACAGTTGGAGAAAGATAGAAAATGAAGTCTCTTTGACTTCAAAATACTGCAATCTTCGTTTGTTTTAAAGTTTCTTGGTTAGCATACTATCATATACGGTTCCAAAGAAGTCTACATATAAAATATTACGTGGATGTGATTGATATATTTCCAAAATTGACCATATTTGCACAACAGTTTCTTTCCTATGGATTTTTTGTTACTGGCAAAACCCATCCGACAGGGAGAGGCGATCCTTCGACACTCACAAACTGGTCCCACTGAGACCTGAAATAAATATATAAAATTCAAACTATTGCATACAAAAACTTTTTTAAGGAAAGGATATTAACTAAGAGTGAAAGGAAAAAGGTGTTATAAAGTCAAACAGGGTGTACGGAAGTGTATATTGAGAAACTGATTCGTGTGATTTTTTTACCTGGCAACATCATATGATTTTTGTAAGCATTAACACAAGCTAATATTTGTGTGACACTACAATATAAACCATCACCGAATTAATTATATAGCTAAATACTATAAGGACAAAAAAAATAATCCGGCTGAAAATCGACACAAAGCTCCAGTTGCGTAATCTATTCAAAATTTGTGTTATAAATTTACCTAACCGTAACAAATCTGGCCACGTCGCCACAAAAGTCAACATGAGGTAGTGCACCACCAAACAGGTATTCCCTCCACTTGAACAAATTCTCCACAGTCTGTTCTGCCCTCACATTGCCGAGTTCATTCTGTTCGGTGTCTTGCTTCAACTTGTCACGTAACTCTATCTCTTCTTTCTCATACGAAGCTAGCTTTTGCGTCCAAAGAAATTTCAATTTATCTGCAAATTAGGGGCATCGATCAATAATGTGAAGCGTTTAGAAGGATGAAGGAATGAATAGAATTTCACTCAGTCTCACATTGGAGGGGAAAGGGAAGGAGGGGCTAGGCAGTAGTTCCTATTCCATTGTTTAAATTTCTCACCATTACTGTAACTTCTCAAAAAGTAAAATTGTATTTTTTTGAGAATCATCATCATAAATTTAACCCTTAATTGCCCAATGCTGCACATAGGCCTCTCCCTGTTGCCATAGAGGAGTTTTGCCAGTAGTTGCCACGCTTGGCAGGCGAGTTGGCAACTACAGTAAAGCCCTGGTAACGTTTTAAAAAGGATGCTGCTATCTATACCTCAACCATTAAATTTCCTTACTCACCTCATATGACACCCACGGGAATGGAAGGAGTGTTCTGGGGAAAGGAGGGGGTGTTCCATTCTATGCTGGGGCTATACACCATACTAGGACTCAAAATCACTCAAAAAAACACTAGTAGTGTCTATGGTATTATATTCATAGACCAAAGTGGTCAGTTCACTGGCCTGTATGCTTGATTGCTGCTCTTTTACATGAAAAAATAGAAACTTATCAAATGTAAAAGAGACATAAACTTACTAATACTGTTAATAAAGTCCTGTGCTTCCTTCTCGGACACAGTAGCGCCCCTCCCCTTAGCGGTGTTTTGCCTAGCCTTACGAAGCTTCACCAATGCATCCAGTTTTGCCAGGCACTTTTTAGCATCACTTTTTTTTCTGAGCACCTCTTTCAGCACCATGTCAGCTTGCAACTTGGCTTCCTCTTCCTGAAATGTTTGAAAATTATTTATACATATAATTGAAACTGAAATATTAATTTGCTTAAATACCATATTTCAACTAAATTTCTAACAAAAAATAATAACAAATTGAGAGAAAACATAATGTCAACCTCTGAAGTACCATAGCAGCACTTTTTTTTATACTACTATGGTGACAAACTAGCATACAGCCTGTGTGATGATATACAGAGTTACCATAGCCTATCGATGTCTGTAACACCAGGGACATCACATGTGTTGCTGAGCCTTAAGAAACCTTAAAACACTATTTTCAAAGAATATTATACCTCAAGATATTGATACTGCTCTACCAACAAGACACTATTAACAATGATAAGGCAGTATAGATTTTTGGCTGGTTTAATAACACCAGAGGGAGACTTTGTACAAAAGTCGATTACTTGGATACCTCTGTCCCATTCGTGTTTCTACCGTGTAGCAGTTGTGTTTGCATGGCTGTTTTGGTTTGAAGGGTGAGATATGGCTATATGAATTTACAGGGTACAGAGGAATAACACCAGAGTTCTCAGGAATGGCAATGCATGGGGGGTATCATAGGCAAAACAGTATACTCTATTAAGTCCAGGGTACTGCTCATGTCTGTAGGCGATGGTTATTAATTTCAATCAGGTGGGCCGTCAGCTTGCTTGCCGTTCTAAGTTGTAGAAAAAAAAATTTAAATACACTTACTTGTTTAACTTTAATGATGTCATCCTTAATTTTTTGGAGATTCTCATCTATTTTTCTTGACTTCTCTTCTAATTTTTTTATTGTCTCTTCTTTCTCCTTCTTCCTCTCTAAGCGTAGCCTTTTCAATCTTAACCTTTTAGCGGATCTTTTTGCAATAAACTTCCTTAATGTATCAAAGTGCATATTGTTGATATAAGCAAGCATTTTATTTACATTAACTTTACATTGTTCTATTTCTATCATCCTCTTCTGCCATTCTTCTTCTGACAATATTTTTAAATTATCTGCCAAATATCTCTTTTTATTTTTAATATCATCCAGATTCAAAACCATCTGATAAATATCATCTCTCATTTTTGATATCGATATGGTGTTTTTGGGTTTACTATTTTCAGTTTTAATTTTAGATTCAAATCTCGTTAGTAATTCCTGATCTGTCTCATGTAAGTGTACAGGTGGTTGTGTTACTGGTGGTACATTATAATATGGTGGTGGTGGTGGTGGTGGGAATGGCAAATAATTTTGTGGTGGATAATTTTGTCGAAATGTAAAGTTCAGTCGAAAATTATAATAATTTTGATTATATGACATGATTTCTATATATTATAATATAAAATTAGCAAAAATAATCCTCTAGCAATTACGACGTCGTTTCTGGCAGCTGTTTTTCAGCTTCTTTTAATACTTCTTGAGCCGCTATATAGTCTTCGTGCTCCTTTAGATCTTGTTCAGTTTCTAATGTATTTTTGAGGTCTGCAAATGCTTTTATTAGCCTGAAACGCAACCAAAGCTATAATTAAGAATAATTATTTTGATTTGTTTTTACAAAATAAAATTTTACATTATCATATATTTTCAAGGTAGGTCAGTTATAGTGTATACAGAAAATAAATGTCAGCAAAAATCTACATAACTATTTTAATGGACTACAGTGGCAAGACCTTTGTTATTGACAAGAACAATGCCTATATGCATGAGTCATGTATAAGTATGTTTAAAAAACTGACTATACAATCACATAAACTATCATAACAGAAAATAAATAAGTAATAATAAGTACCTATAAATAAATTTTACATATAACTTACTAGGTAAAGTTTTTAAATATGTAATAAACAAAGACACAAATAACCTTCACCTTCATAACCTAAAAACAGCTGACAAATCAAATCCTTAAAACTTAACTTTAGAAGCAAATAAAATTATACTGTGTTGCCTTAATAATCAAATAAAGTGTTAAATATAACAAAGAATGCCTTACCGCCGCTGACAATCCGGTACCATCATCAGGGACTCCTGCAAAACCTCCTCCTGCTTTCGAATGTTATGTTCGTCCTGGCCTTCGTCTTTTATCTTTTGTATCCTATCCTTCTGCAATTCAGCTTCCTTTTCATACACCACTTTCTCCTTGGCTATGCGTTTTACAACGCCGGTCTTTATTTTTATTTGCCGAATTCTAGGATCTGCCATTGCGGATAGAGACGTACACCTTTTTTTTTAAAAAAGGAATTGACAATGAGTAGTGAAGGGATTCGAGTTGCTTTTCACTTGAGTGACTCGAGTAGTTTTTATATTACATGCACTCGAGTTAAATTTTTGACGACTCGAGTTTCGAGTGACTCGCGTCGACTCGAATTACGAGTGACTCGAGTTGACTCGTACCACTTGAGTGGTTTATACCGAACCGATTAAAAAATTTAAATTGTGACAAGTTTACCCGCGGTAGCAGGAAACTTTTAAGAGAGAAAATTCTTCCTGATGCTTATCATGCCGCACGCACTATAATTGTAGATATTCTACATTTAGTTGAATATACGGCTGCTACAACAGATTTATGGACTTCTGACAATAATAAAGCATACCTAACTATTACAATACTTATAATTCAAAACTTTTTTCGCAAACTGTTACTACTAAAGAGGTTACGGAGAAACATTCTTCTATTATTTTAGCAAGTGCTGAAGTCGATATTATCGAAGCCGTTAGGGAAAAATTTATCAATTTATTTTTTTAAAGTAGTTATTACACCAATTTCAGTTAAATTTATTATCTCCTTAAAGATACATTATTTTTGTTTTTTTTGTTGAGTTTAAGTTTCATTTAAGTTAATTTTAAAACACGTATATTATTACATAAATTGTGTAAGAACATAATAAAACTGTTTATATTTGGATGTCATGAAAGTTCCTTGTTAGAATAAATTAAATTGGATTAGAACTTATTAGTAGTAGATTATAATATTTTAATTTGACTGATAGTTGATATAAGAGGTTTCTTGATTATGTATGACAGGTTTAGTTTGAAGGAAAATTCTATTTTTTACATTTTGTTTAGATTTTTTTTTTTTTTTGAGAAAATGAATACACATTTTCTATGTAAAATTAATACTGTTTTATTCGTTTTAAAATTTTGGTCACTCGAGTTTTATATTCCGAGTGACTCGAGTCAATAAAAATCACTCGAGTTTTATCTTCACTCGAGTGGCATTCGAGTGAGTAACTTATCAGAACCGAGTGACTCGAGTGAAAAAAACTCACTCGAATCCATCACTAACAATGAGTATAAATCTAAAGTAAAAGAGACCGCACTTTATACAAGCCACGGAAATCGACCTAGTCAGTAATATATTACCAATCTACACAAAATCCTCCTTTTTGTCATTATGGTGACCAGCTTGATGTTCAAAATGGAAACTAATAGAGTTATAAAGATACTGTAATTAGATAGTTTTCGATATAAATTAAATGTAAATATTTCTCACTAAATCATGAATCATGTGATAAAAGAAATATATAAATTTTATGTCAAATTGCACGTTTTGATGAACATTTTTTTTAGCTAGAATAAAATAGCTAGAATAATATATTACCTTGAGATCTCAATTTGGTAATATTATTGATAGCGAATACAAGTTTTCAACACTTGTCAGAATACCTGGTAAATTTTTAGAGCCACAACCGCGTAATAGAATCAATTTTAATTATATATAATTAGTTATATATAGTCGTAATTCCCACGATAAAATAAAGAGAAATATGAAGTATAAAGCTGAAACTGCTCTACAAATAGTTTACATGACAGTTTTTTAGTTTTTTTTTTTTTTTTTTTTTTTTTTTTTTTTTTAATAGTAAAACAGTATTTTTGTTAGTTAAATTAGCATTATTGCGATTTTATAATTTAACTAAACGTTGGCATGATGTTTTCTGACCAAACCCATACATTTAAAACTAATATGGAAATTATGCGAGACTGGAAATTGTCATTTGAAATTAGAATAGAAATGGGTTGCTATCTGAAATATTTAACTATGTTGAAATACCTTTGTAAACACAAATGAAGCAATGGGTATTTTCTTCATATTTTTTATTTATTTAATTCGTAATATTTAGAGTAATAAATAAACTGGTAACCTACTTGAAAGAAAAACAATCTTTGCTCTTAAAAACAGGACTAATTCTTTGTCTATGCCGTCATCTGCTTACTATATTTAAGTACTATATTATACTTTTGTTATTTCCCTCATATATCTTACCATACTCAAAAGTACGCGTAAGCAGAAGATTACCCTGTTCTCGTACCATCCTTCAAAACTCAAAGAACATGTGGAAACAAATACCTTTAGCACAGCTGTTCGACGGCAGAAACACAAGAACTAAATTACCCGCGAAAACAACTTTCAAAAACTTATATAAAATGTACTGAATATGTAATTACGGACCTTTATCAGCTTATTCCAAGGGTTTATCGATAAACTGATTCTTACATGGACCAATTTATATACTGAGGTTGACACTATTTGAATGAATAGGAGCAATTTGATTTACTCAATTTAAAAGTAAATCTTAGACTTCAAAAAGAATCAACAAAATTGATACACTCTATAATATTATTCGGTGATAACTACTTCTTTTTGAAGTTTGAAAACTAAATCGATCTCGTGACTGCAGTATATGTATGAAAAGATCAAATTAGTTAATTAATATTGCTTGCTAGCAATGGGACCACTACGTTACTAAAAATGTCCCTTGACTCGCCCCTCTCCGCCACGCTAACAGAATATATCCTTCCCTCCCCCCCCCCCCACCGCCATCAAATATTTGCTCAGTTGATACAAGATTGTTTTAGATGAAACGAAAAATGAGTCATAAATTATGTCGCTTGGGAAAAGTACCTACTTCAGTTATTATCATCAGTGATTTTTCCAATTGTTATAAGATTTCCATTACATATTGCACATTTTAATCTCAGATTAAGTATATACTTGTAGGCAAATATCTACATTGATACGGATAAAATTTGATATAGATATTAGATACATAACACAGATAAATATTCTCGTAAGATCACTTGCGTGTTTTCCTTAGTTTTTAGCATTATTGTATCGACATGAAGTGCTTGTTGCTATTAGCAGGTAGAATTTATCTATATATTTTTACTCTGTCACTTCAATTGTTTTTCCCGCGCAAACCCTTATTTTTGTGGTAGTTTTGGGACATCTTTCCTCATTGTGTTTATGCCTTTTAATATATAATAAAAGATTGTATTTCACAAAAAAAAAAGGCTTCAATTGAAGTAAAACTAGTTATTTTAATTTAAAAACCAAACTACGGAACCGATTGTAATAAAATTACTATAGGACCAAACGCGTTTGTCCTCTGTGTTATAAAAAAAAAAAACGGTGAGTACGTCCTTTGAATTAAAAAATAAAATTTCTAAATCGGTTTATAACTGACGGAGTTATGACGTAACGAACATAAAAAAAAGGAGAAAAGATATAACTAAATTGACAATCGTCTTCTTTTTGAATTCGATTGAGAAATCCACGATGTTCGTTCACACTAACCTCCGAAAACTCTGAACAAATTTTAATAATTTTTTCAGTCGTGTGTTGACTGCTTCGATTAAAGAGATGAGGTTAAGTAATAAGCAGACGCGATTATAAACAAATATTTCTGCATTCATCTTGCCATCATAGTTTTATGAAGATTGAAGCAGCCGTCTTGTTTAGTAGAACAAAAATTTGCATATTGTAAAGCGAGACTTTGTACAAAAGTCGTTTGATTGGGTACCTCTGTCCCATTCGTGTTTCAACCGTAAAACAGTTGTGTTTGTATGGCTGTGTTTAGGTTTGAAGGGTGGGATATGGCGTGAATTTACAGGGTACAGAAGAATAAAATCTCAGTCCTCAGGAATGGCAACACATGGGGGTATCATGGGCGAAATACTGCTCATTTCTATAGGCGACGGTTACCACTTTCCATCAGGTGGGCCGTCAGCTTGTTTTCCATTCTAAGTTGTAGAAAAAAAAGTGATATCACTCGTAGATACAGAATTCCACGTTCCAAATTTAAATATCTGTAATTATTGTTTTTTGTTAAATGTATGTGTATACATATATCTCTAAGAATATATGTGTGTATGCGTGTGTATGAGCGTGTGCTTAATTTTCGTTTAAATGTAAAATTTTATTGTATACCATATCATATTATATCTACTATCATACTATATAACCATTAACTGTCTGCAGCTGAACATAGGCTTTCTTCTATTTAGAGAGGTTTTAACAGTTGCTATCACGTTTGGGAGGTTGGTAGGCAACCACAATTAGGCTTGGGTGATAATTTATGAGAGACACTGCTGCCCACGCCTCAACCATTAAGTTCCTTTAGTCCCCTCTTACGACACCCACGAGAAAGAATGGAGTGGCCCATTCTATGCCGGAACTACACGGCGTATACATCTTATTGTATACTTCTGTCTAATGTCACACTCCTACTTTTGTCACATCAGGTGTTACTTTGACCCTGGGCGCCGTACACAGGTCAACTGCTCGCGACTTTTACGCAGAAGACCGTGCGGATGGAGGATACACTCTCAAGGCAGACTCTGGTAAATAAATCGGAATCGAAACTCTTCTATCTTGTAAAAATAGAGACAAACTAGTGATACCTAGAGACCTAATTACAATCACACCTCGGAAGGAAGGACATGGATAATTAAATGGGGTCTAGTTAGTAATGGAGTTTGACAGCCCCATTTCTAGCAATATGCCTTATTGGGTCGACCTCCACGTGGTTCCCCCTGGAAACCATCGTGAACAATTCTTGTTGCATTCGTCACGATGGGCTAACTGACCTACTTCATCCTCATCTATCATCCTTCACTGGTGCCCCGTCGGTGTATACCGATAGCGCGGATGGGGTTACTATTCCCTTATCATCCATTAAAAAAAAGTATCTTCACTGGTAGCAATATACCAAATGTACAAAATATACCCGTAAAATTACAAGATATGAAAGCATAACACCATAGTCCTTAGGAATGACAACCCATGAAAAAAATTGGGGCAGACAAAAACAATGTAAAATCAAATGCTCAAATACAAAAAGACCTCTTTTGCTTCCTCCAAGATATATGTATAACAATTAACAATGATTCCACTTTCCATTAGGTACATTGTCAGCTTGCCATTCCACGTTGCAATTCGCATGTCTTTTGCTAGTGAAACTGAATTTTTTCTCAAAGATCATGAACCAAAAAACAATAAAAATTTCTCATGCCAAAAGCAGTCTATAAGAACTCTTTCAACACCAGTTGTGAGTGGTCAGTGATCTTTCTTATACCCTTATGTTGTTTTTCTAACAGAAGATGGTAGTACCACCATTCTGGGTCACATTGGTCGCAAGGTATCCGTTGACGATGACGAAGTAACCTTCCACCTAGACTCCGAGTACGACGAGGCAAGCGGAGGTTTCAAGCTGAGCATACACTGGGATGGGCCCCGAGATACAATCTTTGAAGATTGCTACGATTTTGGTAATACAAAACTCTGATTACTAGCACCTAATCCATTAAAAGTGGGGGAGGGGGGGGGGGGGAACGGGAACGTTAGTAGTGAGATCCAACAGACCCGTTACTAACAATATAGGGTATATTAACAACAGGTCGACCTGCACGCGGTCCTTGGAAACCATCGTGATTAATTTTTGATAAATTTATCACGATGGGCCAACTGACCTTTTTCATTCTCACCTATCATCCCTCACTGGTATCCCGCCGGCGTATCCCGTTAGCGCAGGCAGGGTGACTATTCCATTTCCATCCATTAAAAAAAATCCATTAAAAGTTGTGTCCCCCAAAAAGACATCAATTATGACAAAATCAGTTATTTTTAATTGAAAAAGTAAATTATTGAACTAATTTTGAAAAAAATTCAGTCGCCACGAATATGTATAATAAGTATCGATTCCAATAAAAAAAAAATTCAAAATCGATTTATATTTATTTATTCCCGGCGATATGAGGTACCTAATATAAAAAAAATTAGATCCGAAATCAGAACCTCCTTTTAAAGTTGGTTGAAAAGTGCAAAGCTAAAGATATAAAGATATTAAAGAACTTTAAATGTTTTTTATTCATGACGCTGGAACTGCTTAGTGGATTTTAATAATTAAGAAAGAGATTAAAAATGGTACACAGATAGATCATATCTTAGTATAATAAATACGTAGACTACATTTTATATCAATTGTCGAGAGCAAAGCCACGGGTTACAACTAATAATTTGTAATAAATTCAATTGTATAAAACATTTTACGTATTTTAAGATTCAAGTTTTATTTAACATTTATCTAGGCAACTTTATTCACTTTTGTCTTTATTCAAATCTCTTTAAAGTATACTATTTAGATCTTTCCGAATAGGAAATAAACAATGGTACGGAGGTCCTGAACAAAAAGAACAGCACTGGCCAATACAAAAGAGTAAAATACAAAAATACTCCATAATTTCCAAGGAAGATGACAACGCTGCCATATCAGAAAGATACTGGCTTAACTCCGATGGCTGGTACATCTACGTACAACCGGATGTACCTCTATTCGTAGACCATCATAATATACTTGACAACCATATCTGCTTCATCGCGGAAGTCGCCGATCCCTACTCCTTGCAGCGTACCCACAATGTCCTTAAATACGACATATGGTTTTTCGATAATCCTAAAATTGCTCATCAGCATGCCATCAAAACCTATCTGGGCAAACCCTCAGGAATTCCTGACTATAGAATGATCCAGTACCCAATTTGGTCAACTTGGGCAAGATACTCTCGGGAAATAAATCAAGAATTACTTTTGAAGTTCGCTAATGAAATAGCAAATAGCGAATTCCCGAATGCCCAATTCGAGATCGACGATTTGTGGGAAGTCTGTTATGGATCGCTTACCGTTGACGAGAGAAAGTTACCTGATTTCAAACAATTAGTTCAAGATATTAAAAACCTAGGTTTTAGAGTTACAATCTGGGTGCATCCATTCATCAACAAAGATTGTGACCCGTGGTACACAGAAGCTTTGGAAAATGGGTAAGTATACTGTTATTAGTACATTACTGCAGCGCCCAGCAACTGAGGCATTGATGGACGAACGTGCAAATGTGGGCCTAGGCGTAGCCGAGGCACACATACGTTAGTCCATCAATGCCTAGTTGTGGCCAAGACTTGTATAGTACTTTTCTCAAACAATGCGCGGAAATCAAAAACACAATTTTACTTTTTAAGTTCAATGACGAATAACGAATAATAATAATTTTTCATGCGCCATAATGTTCCTTTGTTTTTTTTTAATAAACAGCTTTCTATTAGCAAACCAGTTCGAAATTTAAATAAAACCTTATATTAGTTACCTCCTTGGTAGCCATGTTTCGAAGTAAAAGGTCATTCCATTTTTAAGTTACAGGACAGATATGAGTTTACATAGTAATTTATCTGGCCGCAAAACACGACAGATATGGATTTTCCGGCAACTTTTGCCGGCCGCTGTCCGCATGTATCTGGCCAGTACGGCAATTTTGATTTATCTCGAAGAAGATTGTCAAAATAATGCTCACATTTCCAAGCACGTTTGAGTAAAAATATTTACCTCTGTCTTACCTCTTAACGTCTGTGTGTTTGACATTAGCATCATCATCATCATATCGGCCGTTAACTGTCCACTGCTGAACATAGGCCTCCTCGATAAAAAGAGGCTTTGCCAGTAGTTGCCACATTTGGCAGGTGGGTTGGCAACCGCAGTTGGACTTTGGTGATGTTTTAAAAGGAACGTTGCTTCCCATCGACCATTAAATTCCGTCTAATCGATATTAGCACATTTAAGATTATTTTCTATGGTGAACATAGCGGCTTAAAAAAGCCTCATATACATATAATCTTTGATATATCTTTCATTTCAAGAGAGTTTCCTTCGACTCCTGGAATGGACTACAGACAATTTTGAGGTGGACACAAACAATACGCCTGTGATCTTTGAAGTTTGAACTACTAAACTTTGGAAACTAGTCTATAAATGTAAAATTTTTCTTTTTAAATAACGATTATCTTTTTGTTTAGTTACTTAGTCCTCAACGAAGCAGGCAGCCCTGACACGTCATGGTGGAACAACAACGGCTCTGTCCCCGGGTACATAGACTTCACCAACTCCAAGGCAGCTGCCTGGTACACGAACAGAATTCGTAATCTCATCGAAACATATAACATTGACAGCTTGAAATTTGACGCCGGCGAATCCAGCTGGTCTCCACAGGTACAGAATGTATTTGAAAGGATATACAACATATTATAATGTTCTACATTTTACAATGACTTTTTTTTTGTTATTTGCTACCTACATGAAACTTGTATTAAAACTTTAAATCTAATCATAATAAGCAAAAATCCATTTATTATGTCCGATTAAAAAAAAATTTGTCCGCGACCCTTAAATGACTTTATTTAGAATTCTAGCTCAAAATTCAAATAAAATAACTTTTTGAACACTAAATACTGCGGATTTATGTAAATTTCCATATTTTCAGATTCCAGTACAAGAAGGCGATATCGATCTACACCCTGGTCATTTTTTATATATATATATATATATATATATATATATATATATATATATATATATATATATATATATATATATATATATATTTTCAGGGGCAAGAAAAATAATTCTTTTAGTTAATATTCGAGCTTCATCGAACAGCAACATGGTAGAGCTATCGGACGGTTTCGGCTTAAGTCGGCTCTGTTCGCCACTTCGTGTGTGTGTGTATGTGTCACGACAACGACGGCACCTTATGCGTATTTTTATTTTATATTATTTTAGTCAAACTTAAATAACTACTACAACAATTATAACAGTTTTACAGTCCACTGTTTTATTAAATCTTCATCTTTTATTAGCAAAGGCCTAAACAAATTCGGCTCGAAGGACCAATTGTGGACTGTAAAACTGTTATAATTCGTCGGCTCTGTTCAGAGCCGACTTAAGCCGAGACCGCCCGACGCCTCTCAGTGTTGCCGTTCGATGAAGCTCGAACCATTATTAATGAATAATCCCTAAACCTAAAGTGCTAACAATAGACTGTCGAGTCGATATCCACGACACCACCCTAAAAATCATCGTAGTTTGATTTCTGGTGGACTCGACACGATGGACCAACTAACCTAACTTCAACTTTACCATAAAAAATCATTAACCTGGTTTCGCAATCTTCAGAACGCAAGATCTCCCGGTTTTCGTTCGTATGGTTGACAAAGACACGCTATGGGACTTTAACAACGGCTTGGCTACGTTGATCACCACACTTCTTCAAATGAATCTGAACGGCTACACGCTGGTGTTGCCAGATATGATCGGGGGTAACGGATATAATGAAAAGCCCAGCAAAGAGCTGTTCGTGAGGTGGCTACAGGCTAACGTGTTTATGCCAACGTTACAATATTCCTTCGTGCCGTGGGATCACGATGATGAGGTAACAAGCAAAAAAAAATTCTAGAAGCTAACCTTTTCGAACAAGAAATTCTTCAAAAGAAATTCTAAAAGTAATGCTGCCCTTTACTCGACAGTGTTTCTACCGTGAAGCTTGCATGGCTGTTGTGGTCTGAATAGTAGGATACGGCATTGAAGTTATAGTGTACGAAAGCATCATCATAATTCAGCTCAGGAATGTCAAAGATTTTTTTTGATGGGTGAAAATGGTATGGTAACCCCGCCTGCGCTAACGGGATACGCTGGCGGAGCACCAGTGAAGGATGATAGATGAGAATGAAAACAGGCCAGTTAGCCCATCATGATGAATTCATCAGGAATTAACCATGATAGTTTCCAGGGAGAACCGCGAGGAGGTCGACCTGGTTGGGTATATTGCTAGCAATGGGATTCTCAGTCTCCATTACTAACAATCCCTTTCCCCCGATGTCAAAGATTGAGAACCATTACAGTACATGTGGTACAGTGATACGAGGCTATCGTTTATGTCAATAGGCGATAGTTAATATTTTTGATCAGGTCAGAGCCGTCAGCATTTTGAAATAACCAGTAACATAAAAAAAAACACGGTGTAGTTCCGGCATAGAATGGGTCACTTCATTTTATTCTGTGAGTATCGTAAAAGGCGACTAAGGGAATTTAATCGTTAATAGATAGGCAGCAGCGTCCCTTTTAAAACATCACTAAAGCCTAACTGCTAAGCGTGATAACTGCTGACAAAACCACACAATGGCAGCGGCAATCTTTGGGGAAGCCTATGTTCAGTGAAGGACAGTTAACGGCTGATATGAATGAATGAATGAAAAAATCTCTGTTCGTTGTGTCCCTGGCAGGCGGTAGAGATCTGCCGTCGGTACACGGCTCTACACGCAGAATACGCAGACGTTATCGTAGAAGCTATGGAGGCTTCCGTGAGGGACGGTACTCCCGTCAACCCGCCCATTTGGTGGTTGGACCCCACCGATGAACACGCTCTCGCCATCTGGGATGGTAACTATTTTCAACTCTCTCTCCCTTTATTTTTTTTTTTTTTTATAACACACGGGGCAAACAAGCATGCGGCTCATCTGATGGTAAGTGACTGCCGCCGTCCATGATCACCCGCAACACCAGAGGCATTGCAGGTGTGCTGCCGGCACATAAAGGAATATGCTCTTTTCTTGAACGTTGTATCGGTTCGAAAATACTGTTGCTGAAAGATGATTCCAAGCATAATTAGTTATTTTTACAAACGGAGTGTATCTGTTCCATTGGCAATGATATAGTGTATCAAATCAACCAATATGTAGACTTAATTGTGGTTAATGCCTATTAAATTCTTCAAGATAGACCAGTGACCTTACTTCATAGATTACCTATCATTCCTCGTCAACACCTAGTACAAAAGTCGATTGCTTGGGTTCCTCTGTCCCATTCGTGTTTCCACCGTAAAGCAGTTGTGTTTGCATGGCTGTGTTTCGGTTTGAAGGTAGGATATGGCGTGAATTTACTGGGTACGGAGGAATAACACCTGAGTCCTCAGGAATGGCAACGCATGGGGGTATCATGAGCGAAACAGTATACTCTATTATGTCCATGCTCATGTCTATAGGCGACGGTAACCACTTTCCATCACTTGGGCCGTCAGCTTGTTTGCCATTTTAAGTTGTATAAAAAAAAGCACAGGCGTTATTTCCATCTTTATCCAGTAAAATTGATAAATTTGAATGCTAAATTAAAGGGTTTCTTAGCCATTCCAAGTTGTATTAGAAAAACAACTTTTATTCCCAGAATTCCTTCTGGGTGAGAGATTGCTCGCCGCCCCCGTGGTGGAACAAGGAGCTACATCCCGGGACGTGTACCTACCGCGGGGCTTATGGCGAGATGGCACTACTGGGCAGAGCTATTCCGGCCCTACCTGGCTATTGGACTACCCAGCACCTTTGGACACTCTGCCGTATTTTATTCTGGAAGATTAAATGGACATAAAATATTGTTGATAAATAACGGTTATACCTATATTTTTCTGATGTCATACATTTCAATAAAGTTACGATATGTCTAAAATCATTAATAATTTGTGAAGTTTTTATTTGGTTTCCTATATTTTCCATGAATCTTTATGTTTTGGTTTAAAGGCAGAACTTTCGAACCGACTCCAAAAAGAAATAGTTTTTCAATTCATTTGTATTTTTTTTTTATGTTTATTGCCTCATAACACAGTCAATTATAAATTGATTTAGGAAATTCATTCACCAAAACCTAATTTCTTTTCATCAATTATGTTATGGAAACCCGTAGACGTAAACAAATACAAAAAATCCAATTTCTTATACCTTGATGAGTTATAACAGAGAGAGACTTTGTACAAAAGTCGTTGGCTTGGGTGCCTCTGTCCTATTCGTGTTTCTACCTGAAGCAGTTATGTTTGTATGACTGTGTTTCGATTTGAAGGGTGGGATATAGCAGTGAATTTACAGGGTATAGAGGAATAACATCTGACTCCTCAGGAATGGCAGTGCATGGGGGGTATCATGGGCGAAACAGTATATTCTGTTATGTCCATGGTACTGCTCATGTCTATAGGCGACGGTTACCACTTTCCGTCAACATGTTTGCCATTTTAAGTTGCATAAAAATATTATAAGATATAGGAGCTTGCTATCTGTTGTTTTCTATGTATACCATATCAGGTTTTGGTGATGTTTTAGGAGGCACGCTACTGCTGTCATTCCTCGACCGTTAAGTTTCCTTAGTTGTCTTTTACGATACCTAAACTAAAAGAAGGGATGGCTCATTCTATTTCAGCACCAATGGACGGTTTCTATATATAGTTTGGATGTATTTACTAAAAAAAAGCATACCCCGAATATTTTTACCGGTTCTTTAATACCAATAGTACAAGTTCTGCTTAGTTTGAGAACAAGTAAAGACACTGTAATTTCCTAGTGCTATTTGAGATAAAAAATTTGATAAGTATATATAGGTTAACAGACTAATATTTGGCGGTTATCGTTCATGACGAGCAATCGATGATAATATTGATAAATGTATTTTGAGATATTGAGATAAAATCATAAGATTTATATTTTTAGTTGTTGCTGTAGTGATGGCACCCATAGGATCTATTTTAGGTAAGAAACATTTTATTGATTACCAGCTCTGTCCCACGGCTTGGCTCGCGTAAAACGGTGTTCTATATTTTAAATTAAGATACAATCTATACGTGTATCGAAGATCATTCAAATCCGTTCAGTACTTTTTGGGTCAAAGAGTAACAAACGTCTATTCATTTATCCTTAGAAACTTTCACATTCATAATAGGAGAAAAACACGTCCTAAGAAAAATCTCTCTAAACTTTGTAAAAGTGAGTTTGTTTGTTTGTTACTTCTTGGAGCTTTGACGGCACATCTTCATCGTATCATCATCTTGGCAGGCGGTTTGGCAACCGCAGTTTGGCTTTTGGTGATGTTTTTAGAGGAACGCTGCTTCCCATCCCTCCACCATAAGCTCCCTTAGTCGTCTCTTACGGCACCCACGGGAAAGGAAGGGGTGGACTATTCTATGCTGGAACCTACACGGCTGTAGATAAATCATTTTAAGATGAGATTTTTTGAATGTACATTGTATAAAAATTTCCAGCGTTCTTAGCGTTAGGCGCGCGGGCGTTTACGGCACACGCGCCGGCGGGGGAAGCAAATACGAGTCATCAAGTGCGGATTGAAGATGTCATGCTGACCTTGATACCACAGCTGACAGGGGGCTTCCAGGTTAACCTTATTACAGGTATAGTATCGATAATTCGATCACAGAAAATGTCACTTTTTTAAGTCCAGTCAGTTGCTGACATAATTATAAGAAACCAGACTTTTGAGGTACAGTCCAATGCGACAGATTGGGGAAAGAGATTGTTAATAATGAAATCCAGCTGGCTCATTGCTAGCAATATACCCTATCAAGTCGACATCTATGTGATTCCACCTGGAAACCATCGCATGCTCGTTTGCTCTCTGTGTTATAAAAAACAAGTACACTAAAACTCAGTTTTAGTTAAATACACGCCAAATTTAGTTATCTACGATTCACTGATTATCTATCTATACGGTTTTCATCAGAAAATGAGGAAACAACCATAGGACATATCGGACGGTCCCTCGTCTCCAGCATATTTATAACAGAGGAAATAGAAGGCGGGGTGGAAGTGCAGATAGGTGGAGCGAACCTGACCATACACACAGTTTCTGATACCAACGCTAGAGGGATTAAGGTCAAATGGGTTGCGCCCACTCACTTGAGGCTTGAAGATTGCTTCAATTTTGGTAAGTATACAGGATAATTTTTATTTATACCACTGAGGTGGCAAACAAGCATACGACCCACCTGATGGTAAGCGGTTACCGTACCCTATGAACGCCTGCCATATCAAGAGTATTACGCGCGCGTTGCCGACCCTGAAAAAACCTCTTTATACCCCTTTTGAAGAACCCTATGTTGTATTCTCTTAAGAAAACCTCGGCAGGGAGCTCATTCCACAACCTAATTGTTGATCTTGATTCTTGATCCGATCTCGTCCGAATCCGATCCGAAGACACACTTCGAGATTGATAGGAACTGAATTGTAGAATACATACATTGATTCTTACGTAACCACACGGAGTTTGAACCGAGAACATACGGAGACAAGCTGTATAGTATGGAGCCGACTTAAAGACAATTGTCATTTTTGCAGGTAAAAACCATTGGTACGGTGGTCCTATGCAACTCAACCAGTTATATCCCATTGAAAAAGCCCAACAAATATATTCACCTTACGTTTCCAAATCTTCGGACAATGCTGCTATCGTTGAAAGATATTGGCTAAATTCAGCAGGACAGTACATCTATGTACATCCACAGGTACCTTTGTTTGTGGACTATTCTAACATACTAGGCAATCACATCTGCTTCGGTGCCCAAATCGCAGACCCCTATTCATCAAAGAGACCTCACATAGAACTTTCCTACGACATATGGCTTCTAGGGAATGTGAAAGAAGCCCACAAACACGCTGTGGCCAACTATCTTGGTAAACCATCAGATACTCCAGATTACAGGATGGTACAACATCCTATCTGGTCGACTTGGGCTCAATTCGGCGTTGACATAAACGAGACCAATCTTCTAGAGTTTGCTTATGAGATTAGAGAGCATGGTTTCAATGATTCCCAATTCGAAATCGACGATCTTTGGGAAGAGTGCTATGGTTCATTGACTGTCGACGAAAATAAGTTTCCCAATTTCACGGATTTCGTCCAAGAGCTCAAAGATCTGGGTTATCGTGTAACAGTTTGGGTTCATCCATTCATTAATAAGAATTGCGAGCCCTGGTACACGGAGGCTTTAAGCAAAGGGTAAGAGGTTAACTATTTATTACTATCGAATTCCTTCTTAACATGTCTACTTACTTTACTTTTAAATAAATCAAATGTAAAACTGAATTAATACAAATAACAATAAATAAATAAATGAGGTAAATAGGTAATATTTAAAAATATACACAATATTGCATTATCTAAACAAGCATTTTCCTTTTATTTCGATCAATAAATTCAAAAGAAAGAATTGAAGACACAGTTTCTGAGAATTTACTGTTGGCATCTCAGTTTCATATTGTAGCTTAAAACATTTCCAGAATTACACAAATCTAATAACATCTTGTTTATTAAAATTCATTAAATAAAAATAAAAGCTATACCTTACGAACGAACAACTTTGGAAATTTTAATTAGAATACATTTGAACATTGCATCTTTCTTTGACAATCGAGTAAAAAAATAGATGCGCAAAACAGGCGCATTAATCTGGCAATCTTTTTAGTTTTATATATAAAAATCACTTTACAGCTATCTTGTTTTGGACGAATCCGGCAGCCCGAATGGCACATGGTGGAATAGCAACGGCACAGACTCCGGATACGTTGACTTCACCAACCCCAACGCTGCGGAGTGGTGGTACGGCAGGGTGATGCAACTAAGAGACGTATACGACATTGATAGCTTCAAATTCGACGCTGGGGAAACGGACTATGCTCCACAGGTAAAATTCCACGAAAAAAAAACAACTTCATTGTGGCAAAATCACTTACGTTGATTTATAAACTAAACTACTAAACCAATTTTAATAAGATTTGTATGTGATAAGTCATTTAAAAGAAATAAATTTTCGAAATCAGTTTACAAACGAGACTTTTGAAGTTGGTTAAAAAAATTTATTTGTGCTACGCTGGTAACTGATTGAGACACTGAACTCTGTATATAATAGAGCCAAACTCCATAGAAAATATCCTTAAATACGTCAACGCGACCATGCTTCAGAGTACCTCATCAGTGATTCGCTAGCGTATTTATTTATTTGCCTTTACCAAAGTATTGTTCTTCTGCGAGATTATGAAAGCACCATAAGACATGATATGCCGTGTGGTTTAGACACAGAATGGGCCACACCTTTCTTTCTCATGGGTATCATAAGAGGCGACTAAGGGGATTTAATGGTCGAAGGATGGGCAGTAGCACCCTCTCAAAACAACACCAAAGACCTAACTGCAGTTGCCATTCCGCCTGCCAAGCGTGGCAACTACTGACAACCCCCCCCCCCTCCGTATTGGGGAGGCCTATATTCAGTAGAGGACAGTTAATGCCAGATATGATGATGTCGCAATATCTTTAACATCTCATTTTGTTCACAGATATCTGAACAACGCGGCGACATAAACTTACAACCTCATCACATTGTTGAGGCCTATGTGAGAACTTGTGCTAGATTCGGAAACATGGTCGAAGTTCGAACAGGCTTCAGGTGAATTCTTTTCTATATTGTCGCTACTTTAGATTTCTTGTGAAAAGACAGAGGAAACCTGAATTTAATAACTTTATTTCCAATGTTCTCAAGATCGTTGATAATGAGTGTTTGAAGACCACAATAGTCATTTTAATTTTGATAAAGTATTAGCGCTATTGGTACAAAAGGCGGTAAAAATACAAACAACTAGTACAAAAGTACTGGCGGAACACCAATGATGCATGATAGATGACGATGAACTCAAATCAGTTAACCCATCGTAACGAATTCTTCAAGAATTAAACAACAGTTGTTTCCCAAGAGACCTCATGAAGATCCACCTGATAATAGTAGGTATACTGCTAGGATCAATGGTCTCGACTACTAACAATCCCCTCCACCTTCATACTCAACTAATAGCTCTTATGAATCTTCAAGGACCCAAGATCTTCCAATCTTCGTGCGCATGGTGGACCGCGATTCCATCTGGGGCTTGAACAATGGGCTATCATCAGTCATCACGACGACACTCCAGATGAACTTAAACGGGTACACCCTGGTTTTGCCAGACATGATCGGAGGGAACGGATTCAACTTGGACCACGATCAAGCAGACTTGCCGAGCAAGGAGCTGTTCATACGATGGGTGCAGGCGAACACCTTTCTGCCAGCGATGCAGTACTCTTTTGTGCCATGGAATTTTGACAACGAGGTAAAAAAATACCAATCATTTCAGCTTTATCTGTCCATTGCCGAATATAGGCCTCCCCCATAGACTGCCATAAGGAACAGGAGCGTTTCTTATGGCAGTTTACAATTGGGAGGATTTTGCCAGTAGTTTGCTTGACAGGTGGATTGACAACCTAAGTTTGTGTCATGATGATGTTTTAAAAAGGACTATGTAGCACGTTTCTAGACCACTGAAAACTAAAACATAAGCAATTGTACTTTATTTAATTTATACGTATTTTTCAGACGATAGAAATAAGCAAGAAATACACGGAACTGCATGCGGAGTACGCTGATGTAATATTCGATGCTATGCTGGCCTCAGTTAACAATGGTACGCCAGTGAACCCGCCGATATGGTGGCTCGATCCCACGGATGAGGAGGCACTAGTCATATGGGATCGTAAGTAGTCATCCTCATTTCAGGTAGCTAACCATAATTGGTTATGGGGGTAAATGGATTGTTAATAATGGAAAATAGTAGCCCCATTGCTAGCAATACCCTCTATCAAGTCGAATTCCACGCGGATCCCCCTGGAAACCATCATGGTTAATTATTGTGGAATTCGTCATGATGGGCTAACTGACCTGCTTTCATCGTCACCTATGATCCATCACTGGTACCCCGTTAGCGTATATCGATAGCGCAGGCGGGGTTACCATTTCATTATCACCTATTAAAAAAACCTTTACGGCCGGGGGAAAGGGCTTGTTAGAAATACGGACTATGAGACCCATTGCTAACAATATAGGGTATATTGTTAGCAATGGGTCTGATCAGGATCTGATCTGAATAGATCAGGTCGACTTCCACGTGGTCCCTTCTGGACACCATCGAGCTAAATCCCATGTGTATTCATCACGGGGGGCTAACTGACCTGCCTTTTCATCTTCACCTATCATCCTCCCTGGTGCCCCGCTAACGTATAACATACTAATAGCACAGGCGGGATTACCATTTCATTTCCACCCTAAAAAGAATACCACTGTTGACTGTTATATTGGAATAATGACTATATCAATCCGATCATTTACAGAATACCTTCTTGGCGAAACGATCCTAGTCGCTCCAATTCTAGAGGAAGGCAAGACATCTCGTGACATCTACTTGCCCAAAGGTATCTGGTGGGAGTGCGGGGATCCAGCCAAGGTTCACGCGGGTCCTGCGTGGATCCACAACTACCCAGCTCCGATCGATGTACTCCCATACTTCGTTAGAGACACGTCGTCCGAACCTGACTCAGCAACGACACCCACTGTCACTATTCTCTTACTGTTTTTGGGAGTTGTCGCCAATTTTGTAAATTTATACTAACATATAATAAAGCAGAAGAGTTTGTTTGTTTGTATAAACACACTAATCTCTGAAAGTACCAGTCGGTAGAAAATAACTCAAAATCATATGTCGAGATATAACAATATTCCGAGCCCAGCATGCAATCGGAATTACAAAAGATGTGATTTAAAAAAGCTTGTAAACAAACCTATTTGAATAAAGGCGACATCAATTTTATACTCATAAATATTTGAAAACCAATATTTTTGAGGTTATAAATAGCAACTCGGCGATATTAAATGTAAAATGCGAGAATAACAGTAAACAGGATGCATTGTATTGTTACTAATGAGAACTCACGCTTATCTCGCTCAAACAGTTGTAGATACCATTCGTCAAATTAATTAATGTTTCTTCTAGGTTGGCAACGCGCAGATGACACCCCAAGTGCTGCGGGGGGAAAGGGATTGTTAGTAACGGAGACTAAGAATCCTATTGCTAGCAATATACCCAACCAGGTCGATCTCCTCGCGGTTCCCTGGAAACTATCATGGTTAATTCTGATGAATTCATCATGATGGGCTAACTGGCCTGTTTTCATTCTCACCTATCACCCTTCACTGGTGCTTCGCCAGCGTATCCCGTTCGAAAGGGGGGTGAAGAGGTGTCTTTATAGTCGGCAACGCACGCGTAATACCTCTGGTATTGCAGGTATTCATAGGCTACGGCAACCACTTACCATCAGGTGGGCCGTATGCTTGTTTGCCACCTCAGTGGTATAAAAAAATAATAGTTTTCAAAATTCACATTGTAAATTACATTAGGTACGTGATAAAATAATACAAACAAAGCATTGTTTGTATTAAATGTTTGCATAATTAAACAGCCCCATTAACACAGTGTAAGTAGCTGCGATTAAGATCAGATTTACTGTAATTGTGATTGCTTGCTACGTGGATTGATGTCACTGGTTATAAAGATATCAATTTTATGTTCCACGTAATTTAGCAATTTACATCTACACTAATATTATAAAGAGGAAAGATTTGTATTTTTGTCTGTGTGTATGTTTGTAATGAATAAACTCAAAAACTACTTTGCCGATTTCAAAAATTCTTTCACCGTTAAAAAGCTACATTCACTCTTAGTAACATAGACTATATTTATTGCTAGAAAAGTTTAGAGAACCTTACTAAAACCTTAGTAACGTAACTCAAGGTGTAAAAAAATGCTGTAAAGGATCTTTCGTCGCCTGCGCTGCGGAAACTATTGGTGATAGAACAAAAGTATGTTGTACAATATTGAAGAAAATATCAATAACTACAAAAAAACTTCGCGATAACTATATGAATATAATATATACGAACTATATGTTAATTTATTATCGTTATGTCATAATAACCACTTTTTACATTTTAAAAGTTGATAGAAATACGGACCAAAATTACACCATATTATTCATACTTCTGTAAAAATCATTGTTTTGGATACTACTGCATACATAAAGCACTCCTGTAATAGTTTTTCTTATATATCTTCCATGTACAGAGGGCCTACCGTGAAATGTTTTCCAAAATTTCGGAGCCAAACGAAACAGAAATTTGATGCTAAAATTACATTATACATGCCGTTTGGAAATATTTAAAATGTTAAAATATTGTTCTTTTGGACTTTTATGATAAGATGTATGACAAACGAAATGTTAAACTCCATTTATTGATCCGATTTTGGTATAAACAAAAACACGAAATTGAGTCTGAAATTTCGGAATTTCATTTCATGGTAGACTCACAGACAGCGACCGGTTACGATTTGATTATATGTATTGATGATTTAGAAATTAATCATCATCATCATTCCAGTCATTATCCGTCCACTGCTGGACATAAGCCTCCCCCACAGACTGCTATAAAGAACGGTCCCGAGCCACCTGCATCCACTGACTCCCTGCAATGCATTTGAGGTCATCACTCCATTTGGAAATTAATAAAAAGACTTAATAAAAAAATTTTGGGTTTAAGTGTGCAACAATGAAACACTATTACACCTATGTGGTATCAATTACACCCGAGTGGTCCACTCTTCAGGTGGACCATCAGGGCGCCGTCCCATTAGTTTACAAATCGATTTATAGGGCATTTTTTACAAGAACATCTATTGTTTCTTGATCATGTCATGTCTTGTAAAGAAGTTTGTAGAATCGTCGAAATTTATATATTTTTCTAAGTCAGTGAAAACCTGTTATTGGCTTTTTATATGAATAAATGATTGTTATAAGCTATAAAATATAAATTGTAAACTGTTAGTTTTCCAATAAATATATTTATTATTTTAAACTTTATTTTTTCGATCAGAGAAATTTATTTTTTAAGAAATTTGAAAAAAAAATTTATTTTGGAAATTCTCCTCATTAAACGGTTTTATTTAGCTCGACCTGTACGGTATTTATTTATTTGGGTCAAAATTAGAAATTGGAATTTAAGCACCTTCCCGTTGTCAGATTGATCTGAAATTTGGTACACACATTTAATTTAGATGACAATACAATATAATAAAATCAATAACATTATAAATCTAAGATGGCCGCCGATACAAAATGGCGGATTACATATTTTTCCTTAACCCCCGCAATATGGGTATCAAATGAAAGGGCTACACTAGTAAAACACGATAATTATGTCAAAATTTAAAATTCAAGATGGACGCCGTTCCAATATGGCGGACTAGGTAGATATTTTTCCACAACCACCACAATATGGGTATCAAATAATAGGACTACACTGAGACACCCAGACACTAGACACTCGGACACTAGACACTCAGACGCTAGACCTCAGACAAGACACTCAGACACCCAGACCCTAGACACTCAGACACTTGACACTCAGAAACACAGATACAATATACACTCTGACACTCGACACTCGACACTCAGACACTAAACACCAGACACTAGACACTCAGACACTCGACACTCAGACACTAGACACTAGACACTAGACACTCGACACTAGACACTCGACACTCGACACTCGACACTCGACACTCGACACTCAGACACTCGACACTCGACACTCGACACTCGACACTCGACACTCAGATACTTAACACTAGACACTAGACACTCAGACACCCAGACACTAGACACTTTTACAAGACACTCAGACACTAGACTCTCAGACACTTGACACTCAGACACCCAGATACTAGACACTCTGATACTCGACACTCGACACTCAGACACTAAACACCAGACACTAGACACTCAGACAGACACTCAGACACTCGACACTCGACACTCGACACTCGACACTCGACACTCAGATACTAAACACTAGACACTAGACACTCAGACACTCGACACTCAGACACTAGACACTCGACACTCGACACTCGACACTCGGACACTAGACACTCGACACTCGACACTCGACACTCAGATACTAAACACTAGACACTAGACACTCAGACACCCAGACACTAGACACTCAGACACTAGACACTCGAAACTCGACACTCGACGACACTCGACACTCGACATTCGACACTCGACACTCGACACTCAGACACTAAACACTAGACACTAGACACTAGAAACTCAGACACTCGACACTCAGACACTAGACACTCGACACTCGACACTCGACACTCAGATACTAAACACTAGACACTAGACACTCCGACACTCGGATACAAGACACTCAGACACTAGACTCTCAGACACTTGACACTCAGACACCCAGACACTAGACTCTCAGACACTTGACACTCAGACACCCAGAGGTTAGACACTCAGACACTAGACACTCGACACTCGACACTTGACACTCGACACTCGACACTCGACACTCGACACTCGACACTTAGACACTAGACACTCAGACACCCAGACACTAGACACTCAGACACTAGACACTCGAATACAAGACACTCAGACACTAGACTCTCAGACACTTGACACTCAGACACCCAGACACTAGACACTCTGACACTAGACACTCGACACTCGACACTCAGACACTAGACACTAGACACTCGACACTAGACACTCCACACTCGACACTCGACACTCGACACTCGACACTCGACACTCCACACTCCACACTCGACACTCGACACTCGACACTAGACACTAAACACTAGACACTAGACACTCAGACACTCGACACTCAGACACTAGACACTCGACACTCGACACTCAGATACTAAACACTAGACACTAGACACTAGACACTCAGACACCCAGACACTAGACACTCAGACACTAGACACTCGGATACAAGACACTCAGACACTAGACTCTCAGACACTTGACACTCAGACACCCAGATACTAGACACTCTGATACTCGACACTCGACACTCAGACACTAAACACCAGACACTAGACACTCAGACACTCGACGACACTCGATATTTGACACTCGACACTCGACACTCAGATAATAGACACTAGACACTAGACACTAGACACTAGACACTAGACACTAGACACTAGACACTAGACACTAGACACTCGACACTCGACACTAGACACTCGACACTCGACACTCGACACTCAGATACTAAACACTAGACACTCAGACACTCGACACTCAGACACTAGACACTCGACACTCGACACTCGACACTCAGATACTAAACACTAGACACTAGACACTCAGACACTGGACACTCGGATACAAGATACTCAGACATTAGATTCTCAGACACTTGACACTCAGACACCTTTTTGGCCTCAGTTCCGTCGAACCCAAATGTACGAAACAGATATATCATCAGTTTTAATTGACTTTGGCACAGACGGCATGCACGTTATTTACCCTAAAGCCATACAGTTTCCAGCAAAATTCAATTATGGTACGGCTGAAAAAAGGATGTTGCCCTTAGTTTTGTCATGAGCATTCACCGTCCATAAAATGCAGGGCAGCACCGTCGACCATGCAGTAGTATATTTGGGCTCAAAATGGTTTGAGGAAGGACAAGCATACGTGGCTCTAAGTCGAGTCAAGTCTCTGGAAGGGCTATGTATTGAGGAATTAGATTGTACTAAATTATCAGGTAAGAAACCATGTAATAATGATGCACTGAATGAATTAAATAAAATGAGGAATATTCGGTAAACAATTTCACTAAATACTAAAAACAAGAAAATAAAAATCGGTAAAAAAACTTTTAAGTTAAACGGTTTTATTTTATGTGCACTGAAAACTACAAAATAAATACATAGTTACTTACCTATCAACCTACGTAGGTGATCTCGGTCATTAATATCTCTGATGGTAGTGGTTGTCATAACATGAACCATGTCAGCGGCCGAAAGGCAGTTCATGAGAGAACACTAACACCAGGGTTTGCTTGGTAGGTAAACTAAGCAGCCCGCACTATAACAAGTAGGTATTTTGACCTTCTAGTTCAGAAATATTTTAGTACTAGGCAGAATAGCTTTTAGGCATATTAGACTAAAATAAAAACGTGGGGCCCCTCTGAAATCATACCTATAGCAGAGCATATCTTATACTTTGGTAGATCATGAGCTCGGCGTTCGCTGGTGAAGCCGTAACGGCTGGTTATTGATGGTCAAAACCTCCAGTTACGATTATAGTAAGTCGATTCAGCGGACTCTGGACTCCGGAGCTATGAGGTTTCGGATGCGACCGGGATAAACCGCTAGGATGATGATGATGACGATTATAATAAGTCGATGCAATCCACACTTAGTATAGTAGAAAGTAATACAGAAATAGTTAATGGGCCCCACGTTTTTATTTTAGTCTAATATGCCTAAAAGCTATTCTGCCTAGTACTAAAATATTTCTGAACTAGAAGGTCAAAATACCTACTTGTTATAGTGCGGGCTGCTTAGTTTACCTACCAAGCAAACCCTGGTGTTAGTGTTCTCTCATGAACTGCCTTTCGGCCGCTGACATGGTTCATGTTATGACAACCACTACCATCAGAGATATTAATGACCGAGATCAAATACGTAGGTTGATAGGTAAGTAACTATTTATTTATTTTGTAGTTTTCAGTGCACATAAAATAAAACCGTTTAACTTAAAAGTTTTTTTACCGATTTTTATTTTTGGACTGCTGTCTTACTGCTGGCATTAGCGTTACCCAAAACGTACCATAAAAAAATATTTTGTTTCGTAGTACGTTTAAAAAATAAAGATTTTTGCTAAAACAAAAAATTTTAAGCTTTGGGGCACTATTTAAAAAAAATTAAGCTTGTAGACCTTTTTTAGATAAGAAAAAAATAGCAAATTTTTTTTGGTAATTTTCTTAGGAGCACTCCAGACCCAAACATGATAAAAAATATTCATGGTCATGTCTGAAAACTAGACACTTAGAGCTACAATTTGCTTTTTTTTCTTTTTGCTGTACCATCCTTTTCCACGGAGTTACAGCTCGTTGAAAATCACCCAAAAATTTGGAATTTTTTTATATCCCTTAATTTTTGTGACTAGTAGGTACCAGAAGAGATCTAGACTAAATTATAAGGATCAGATTAACCACGTCATAATTGATCGAGTAGTAAAGTATCTACGTACACATTGTGCAAGAAGATTATGAAAATGGATGACGCATTAGTCTTCGCACTCAGTTCTCTCTGCTTACCCCGTTAAGAACTTAGTGTGAAGATAGATGCGTGTCCATGATAAAATTTATAGACATGTCTATAAAGTGCTTTTGTATTTGGAAATTCTAGAACATTTCTGATAAAATTACAATTGATAAATAAAGTTGTTATCTTTTGACTTGAGAATTATAAATGTTTGTAAAATTAAAAAAATAATTTTACAAACTTAAAAACTGAAAACACAAACCACGTCCAGTGAACAGTCCTCTTTACAAATTGTAACTGAACAGTGATACTAGCTATTATGTTGCTAGTAAATATATTAACTACTCAGGACGGGAAGTGGAGCAGTGCAACGGTGGACAGAAGGCAGGATGGCTGTACTACTGTTTCGTAAGTAGGCTTAATATCATTGAATGAATGAATAAATGACTTTATTTGATTTAATCATGTATGCCATGTATGTGTGTGTGTGTGTATCTATCCGTATGGTCCCGGCATAGAATAGTCCACCTCTTCCTATCCCGTGGGTGTCGTAAGCACCGACTAAGGGAGGGCGAGGGATGGGCAGCAGTGTCCCTCTTAAAACATCACCAAAGCCTGACTGCGGTTGCCAATCCGCATGCCAAGCGTGGCAAGTACTTGCAAACCCCCACAGGGGGGGGGGGGGATTTATGTACAGCAGTGGACAGTTAAAGGCTGATATGATGATGATGATGATTATTTGCTTTAATTATTGCATTACTAATAACTATAGATGTGAAAGTGAGTTTGTTACATCGTAGCTCCGTAATGGCTCGACCAATCGTCATGAAATTTTGATATATATTATTATATATGGGATAGGCAGCAGCGTCCCTTTTAAAGTGCCACCACTTTACATAGTGCAGAAAAGCAAAGAGACTTTGTCCGTATGAATAAACTCAAAAACTACATAACCGATTTTAAAAATTCATTCACCTGTAAAAAGCTACTTTATCAGCGATTAACATAGACTTTTTATCCGTTCAAAGACGGGACGGGTCACTAGTCTATAAATAAAATTTATTACATTAAATATGTTGTATTTTCAATGATACCCGCGCTTTTGTCTGCGACGTATGTACCTTCCTATTTTTTTTATTTTATTTTTTTTTTGATGAGTGAAAATAGTATGGTAACCCCGCCTGCGCTAACGGGATACGCTGGCGGAGCACCAGTGAAGGGTGATAGATGAGAATGAAAACAGGCCAGTTAGCCCATCATGATGAATTCATCAGGAATTAACCATGATAGTTTCCAGGGGGAACCGCGAGGAGGTCGACCTGGTTGGGTATATTGCTAGCAATGGGATTTTCAGTCTCCATTACTAACAATTCCTTTCTTCCCTAGCCTCCCTATTTATTATATCTAGGATTACTGGACCAAAATTAACAAATGACGTGTCGTTCTCACTCTTTGCCTTGAGCCGAAATGTCTTTACCTAGGTTAGGTAGGTAGGTTGTGTATGGGAACTCTAAAATGTTCACCAGGGATGTAAGGTACCATCATGCAAAATTTCATTTAAATCAGGCCCATAAAAACAGATAAACAGAGAAACAAAAAAATGAATAAAATCTGCATGTATTCTATTTCATAGTGGAATAACACCTGAGTCCTCAGGAATGGCAACACATGGGGGGTATCATGGGCGAAACAGTATACATTGTTATGTCCATGGTACTGCTCATGTTTACAGGCGACGGTTACCACTTTCCATCAGGTGGGCCGTCAGCTTGTTTGCCATTCTCAGTTGTATAAAAAAAAATTCCCCTGACTCGGTTTTTAGCGTTTTTTTTTTCTATGTACAGACATTCGACCTCTACAGTTTTATTATATGTATAGATAACACAAACTTTCTTTTGTTCAAATAAACGGATGGTAAACACGCTTTAGTAGTAAAACGGTCAAAACTGAGGGCCTACCATGAAATGTTTTCCGAAATTTCGGAGCCAAACGAAACAGAAATTTGATGTTAAACTTACATAATACATGCCGTTTGGAAATATTAAAAATGTTAAAATATTGTTCTTTTGGACTTTTATGATACGAACGAAATGTTAAACTCCATTTATTGGTCCGATTTTGGTATAAACAAAAACACTAATTTGAGTCCGAAATTTCGGAATTTCATTTCATGGTAGACCCGCTGTATTGAACATTTGTCGATCGCACGTTTAACGTTTATGGTAAAACAGTTGATAGCCCCAAAGATATGTTAATATACAAAACGAAGTTATTACGTCCACTAAGTACCCATATTAATTATGAATACAATGGTGGAAACCATAATTAGTTACCTATACGTAACCTGAACAGATCAATTGCAATACAATTATATGGGGACAATGGGACAAAAAACGATAATGACGCGTTGGAGGATCATTATTACAAAGTACTTTATTTTACAGGTAACTGGATGCGTTGTTGTTTTATCTAGATTGTGAGAAACCAATTTAAAATTACAGTGAAATCTTATCGATCATATCGGAGATTAGGATAGAAAAATTGATAATCTTCTCTTTTAAAGTTACTCGAAAACCTTATAGCCAAATTAATAAGGGAACGTCCATTAAGCTTCCTCCCCCCCTCCCCCCTCCATCAAAGCTTACTTAATATGTGAACTACATCTAATTTACTGCTTTTTGAAGTTGACTGACAAATAACATTAAATTATATATAACTATATAAATTATGTTATGTCCATGGTACTGTTCATGTCTATAGGCGACGGTTACCACTTTCCATCAGGTGGGCCGTCAGCTTGTTTGCATCATTCTAAGTTGCATAAAAAAATTAACATTTTATACAAAAAATATCTAAATTGTAAAAAAAAATATTGTAATTTAAAATCAGTCAAAACTTTAATTTTGTATCACCTTTTTCTTTCAGCTTCATCGTATTAAATAAAGAATATTATCATTCACCATCCTATATTTAGTTATAATTCTATTTTTTACTATTTCTTTTTTAGTTTTAGCAGCACTCTCTGCATGCACACAAGCAATTAACGTGAAGGTGCTTGATACACCAGAACTTAAAGCGCATCTAGAGGACAACCCCCTCGGAGGTCTTAACATCGTCTTACAACGCAGTAAGTAAATATCTTTCTTAACTCACATAATATTTATTTCATTTTATTCGAGAAACAGACAATACTGTTATTGTAAAGTTAATAGAATGGTAACCCCGCCTGTGCCATCGATATATACTGGCAGGGATGATAGGTGACGATGAAAGCAGGTCAGTTGGTCCATCGTGATGAATCCTACAAGAATTAACCACGGCGAGGTGGATCGTGTGGAGGTCAACCTGCCAGGGTATATTGCTAGCATTAAGGATGTTAGACCCCATTACTAACAGTCTCCTCCCCCCATTGGTTTCTGATAACCTAGAAACTTTATGGAATTGTGTAATATGTCCGCTATCTATCTTCACGCCACATCTTCACATCCAAAATCTTTATGGCAGTCTATGGGGGAGGCCTATGTTCAGCGGTGGACGGATAATGGCTGAGATGATGATGAACTTCATGGCCAAATGGTGAGGTAGGTGTGGAAAACCGAGTGCGTCTATTCTTACATATGTATATCTTTTCTTCATCCACTATCATACTATCAATATACCTTTTTTTTCGTCTGAAAAATACTTTATGCAGACCCATACATCTTGTGAGAGGTGAATGGTTACTGTGGGAATCCCTCCGCAAGGCGTGGGTGTCTCCACCAAAAACCAGACGATATACCTTCGAGGTGCCATATGTCGAAGACATGGGTTCATTTGGCACTCACCACATCTCCAACGGCACTATCAATATACTTGAGTACATATTTACAATTGTTCACAGAAAACTTAAAAGAAGTGATAACAGTCATCGGTCGACGCAATGGCCCCGCTAAGGACGTGGTACAGAGTGGTGACGTGGTGATACAATTCTCAAACGACACCACCCTGAGGATCAATGCGGAGAAAGTCGAGGGGAAGAGGAGCGGCCATGTGTTCTCGTTAACATGGGAGGCGCCGAAGAACATTCGGTTGGAGGACTGCGTCAACCTTGGTAAGTTTATGGTGACTGTGGGTACCTACGATATTTTGAAGGTGTGAATTCATCAGGAAGTAACCATGATAGTTTCCAGGGGAAACCGCGAGGAGATCGACCTGGTTGGGTATATTGCTAGCAATGGGATTTTCAATCTCCATTACTAACAATCCCTTTCCTCCTAATGTAGAATAAATAATAACCGAGTAAAACATGAGATCATATGATTCTAGGACCAATACCGTGTTCCACAAAGCAACGATTTAAGTCGATAGTCAATTAATAATATTGTAAGTTGCCACAATATCTAGTATGTAATTCTAGATGTCCACCATGTTTAAAATTGATTTATGCTTTATAAGTTTTAGCTAGTAATTTATCTTACAACACCAATATATTTTTATATAGACACCTTCAAATTATAACTGTCTAAATTTGGACTTGAAAATTTCATATTTTCATGACCACTGCGATAAATTGAAATATTAAATTCTATCCTAAATGCACAGACATCTATCTACAAAAATATGCATGACTGTCTTTTATATTCTTTCGTAACACAATAGCCCTAGTAAGGACTTATTATTAATGTGAAAATGAGTTTGTTTGTTACCCATTAACGCCTTAACGGCTCAACCAATCGTACTCAAGCATTTACAATGAAAAAGGGCATAGGTTTTTTATCCCCACCAATCAATATCGTTATCGACAGAGAATTTATTCTCGCACGCTTGAACATAAACTTGGTCATGTACGGTGCAGTTTCAGAGAAATTATCTGCTATTAATATATCTATTAAATGCTCAAGCTGGACTGAGCTCCCTGCCGAAATTTTCCCTAGAGACTGAGATAATGTTCTTTAAAAAGGGTTTATTAAGATTTCTTCAAAGTCGGCAACGCGTACTTGACACCCCTAGTGTTGCAGGCGTCCATAGACTATAGTGACCGTTTACCATCGGCCGGTGAAGCATTGTTTGCCACCTTTGTGATATAGAAAATTAAATAAAAATATGCCCCAATAACGCGAACAAAATAAAAAATACAGTTAGTATGCGCAAAAAGTTTAATAACTTCAATTAATTAAATAACAAATTTTATCTTCAGGCTCTAAACATTGGTATGGTGGACCACAACAAAAACGATAGTACTGGCCGATAGAACGATTGGTGCTACCAAACTATTCCTATATAACCAAGGAAGCTGACAATTGTGGCATAGCTGAGCCATATTGGCTCGCATCAGATGGCATATTCTACCATTTCGACAGGAGAGTACCACTATTTGTAGACCAAAATGACTTGGAGAAGAACGCAGCTTGCTTTTTCGCCCAAATTAAGCCTCCCTACTCGAATAAGAGAGAACGAAATGAGTTGACTTATGCAATTGGCGTATTCGACGATGTTAGGAAGGCCCACGAGTACGCTGTTGAGAAATATCTCAAAAAACCCTCAGGGGTGCCAGATGAGAGGATGATCAAGTACCCTATTTGGTCTACCTGGGCGAGGTACAAAAGAAACATTAACCATGACGTTGTGTTGAAGTTTGCTGATGAAATCAACAGCAATGGATTCCCCAACAGTCAACTCGAGATAGATGATCTTTGGGAGACGTGCTACGGATCACAGACGGTGGATGTGAAGAAGTTCCCTAACATGAAGAATACCGTGGATATTCTGAAGCAGAAAGGGTTTAGAGTGACAATATGGACGCATCCTTTTATAAATAAAGAGTGCGAACCTTGGTATACTGAAGCTAAAAATAAGGGGTGAGTTTAATCGCATGAACTTGAATATTTTAAAATGAGACTTCCGTATAAGCAATTTAAGTACAATTTAAGTTGATAGGTACAACATATCAGTATAACAAGTAAAACAAAACCCTATACTAAGCCGGCGTAATTATCATCCTCATATTAGTCATTAACTTGAACTGTCGAACATAAGACTCCACCTTTTGGAGGGGCTTTTGCCAGGAATTATCACGTTTGGTAGGCGGATTGCTAAGCGCAATTAAACTTTAGTGATATTTTAAAAGAGACGCTGCTGCTCGCCTCTTGATCTTTAAGTTTCCTTTGTCGCCTCTTACAACATGTACAGGGACATGTAGTATGAGTCCCATTCTATGCCGGGATCACACCGCAACTTTAATGATTGATAGTATTAAGAGGGACGCTGCTGTTCATCCATGGATCATTAAGTTACTTTAATCATCTCTTACAATACCCATGGAAAAGAAATAGGTGGCCTATTCTATGCTGGGACCACATGACGAAGGTCGCGATGTTTATCGGTGGACAATTACTAATTGATGAAGTTGTCGTTATTGCTTGAACGTGCCTCTTCGATTTTATATACAGACGTAAATTAACATTCCTCGAATTTGTCTTCAGGACCCAAATAAAAAAAATAGCCAAAAGTTATTGATCAAATATATTTTTTTAGATATCTAGTATCGTCGGAGTATGGATCAGTGGAGACTAGTTGGTGGAATGACAACAATACAACCACAGCGTACATTGACTTCACAAAGCCGGACGCTCGCAAGTGGTACACTGACAGGCTGGATCTACTGCAGAACTCCTACGGCATCGACAGCTTCAAGTTCGACGGTGGGGAATCCAGTTGGGCTCCACAGGTGATATGAGGAGTTTCTTTTTAATGGATGACAATGGAATGGTGATCCCGCCTGCGCTATCGGTATACAGTGGCAGGGCACCAGTGAGGGATGATAGGTGAGAAAGAAAGTAGGTCAATTAGCCCAACGACACGAATACAACTAGTATGAATTACGATGGTTTACAGATCCACGTGGAGGTCGACCTAACAGGACTTGGTAGTAATAGGGCCATTTCCCATTACTAACATTTCCTTTTTCCCTGAGATGAGGAGTTAAGTACTGCAACTTTTCGTGTGTACTATTCAATGAGTATACAGCTTAATTCAATCTGTTATTTAAAATTTCTCCAATTAGAATAGGTGGATACTGCTTAAGAAGTCTCTAGAACCATCTCATAAGTCATGTGGAATGCATGACAGATGAGAACGAATGTACCTTTGGAACTTAGTACCCCGTAAAGTTGCGGTGTGATCCCGGCATAGAATGGGACCCATTCTTTCCTGTACATGTCGTAAGAGGCGACAAAGGAAACTTAAAGATCAAGAGGCGGGCAGCAGCGTCTCTTTTAAAATATCACTAAAATCTAATTAGGGTTGCCAACCCGTCTGCCAAGCGTGGTAACTCCTGACAAAACTCCCCAATAGCTATAGGTTTATGTTCAGCAGTGGACAGTTAACGACTGATTTAATAAATAATAAAAATAAATCCAGTAAAGAATCTGCATGAAAATAACAGAAGCATAAAAATGACATAAGCCTTTCCCATAAGGGTGTTTTGCCAATAGTTGTCACACTTGGCAGGCGAGTAGGGTTACCTACTCGTTACTACTACTGCAGTTAGGCTTTTAAAAAAGTTTTAAGAAGGACGCTGCTGCCCATCCCTCGCCCTCCCTTTGTCGTCTCTTTACACAGGAAAGGAAAGGGTGGCCCATTCTATGCCGGGGCACACACAGCTATATTATAATTATATTAAGTTCAAACTGCAGCTAATATTAGCAATAAGTCTTTCAGATTCCAGATCTACAAGGCGATAAGAGAGACCAACCCGGAATCATTACTGCGGAGTACATTAGGGCGGTAGCGAAATACGGACCTATGGTGGAAGTCAGATCAGGACATGGGTAAATACATTATCTTAATTTTTACAAAAACTGGCCCAAACGTTATAAAAATTAATACGATGTTGTAAGAATTGGAAGAAGAGGGAGACTTTGTACCAAAGTCGTTTGCTTGGGTACCTCTATCCCATTCGTGTTTCTACAGTGAAGCAGTTGTGTTTGCATGGCTGTTTCGGTTTAAAGGGTGGGATATGGCGTGAATTTACAGGGTATAGAGGAAAGGAACTTCCTGAGTCCTCAGGAATGGCAACGCATTGGGGGTATCATGGGCGAAACAGTTTACTCTATTATGTCCATGGTACTGCTCATCTCTATAGGCGACGATTACCACTTTCCATCAAGTAGGTCGTCGGCTTGTTTCGCATTCTAAGTTACATAAAAAAAAAGCACTAAAATTCCTTCCAGAACGCAGGACCTCCCGGCCTTCGTCCGTATGATCGACAAGGACACCTATTGGACCTTTGAGAATGGTCTCCCAACCCTGATAACAACATTACTGCAGATGAACATGAACGGATACCCCCTGGTACTACCGGACATGATAGGTGGGAATGGATACAACGAACCACCCAACAAAGAGTTATTTATCCGCTGGCTTCAAGCTAACACCTTCATGCCCAGCATGCAGTTCTCTTACGTGCCGTGGGATTTCGATAATGAAGTGAGTATCAAAAATGTTTTATTAGTAATTTATTCATGTATGTAATTTTCTGGAAGATCTTCCTTATGAAATGAATTATGAAAAAAAGAATTTTCTACAAAATAGTTTTCACTAGAGGAACGCTTTGAAAAGTCATCTGCTATGATTCCTCTGTCCTACTCGTGTTTCTACTGAAAAACAATTACACTTCAATGTGTGTGTTTCGGTTTGAAGGTATTTTTTATGGATGATAATGGAATAACCCCGCCTGTGCCAGTAATAGGTAACAGGTGAGGATGAAAGCAGGTCAGTTAGCCCATCGTGACGAAATCCACAAGAATTAACCACGATGGTTTCCATGGGGAACCACGTGGAGGTAGACCTAATAGGGTATATTGTTAGCAGTATGGCTATAAGATCCCATTACAAGCATTCAAGGATGAGAATAGAGATGGTTACAACAGAGTTGTCATTCAATACAATACCGTTGCAATTTTAAGAGAGTTAAGTCAAAGGCAGAGGTCATTAACTTTCCTATTTTTATTATGATATTAGACAATCGCAATAAGCAAGAAGTACGTGAAACTGCACGAAGAGTACGCGGACGAGATATTGCGTGCGTGCGAGCGGGCGACGGCGGCCGGCGCCCCCGTCAACGCGCCCGTGTGGTGGGTCGCTGCCAACGACACCACCGCACACCAAGTCTGGGATGGTATGTCTATTTTACCTACTACCTGCACTTGAATGGCTCAAAAAGATACATATCGAAATTGATAATAATCAATTTTAATTTTCGATCAGTTAATTTCGTCCAAATTATATAAAATAAATTAAAAAGTCAATTTCATCCGGCTCGAAGGACTATATCCTATTCTTTATATAAAAATAATAATAACACTTTATTTTTTAGACTACAATTCAGTCTATTTTGTTAGTAACAATGTCCTTAAAAAAATTATGTTGTATTTGTTCTGAAGTTCCCTTATATCCAAAAAATAAATATGCTTTTATTTTCAGAGTACCTCGTTGGGGAACGCATCCTGGTGGCGCCAGTGGTAGAGCGAGGGGCGGAGTCCCGCGACGTATACTTACCGGCGGGCAACTGGCGATCGCAGGACTCTGGTACCGTCCTGGCAGGCCCGCAGTGGCTGCGTGACTTCCCCGCCCCATTAGATACGCTACCCTTCTTTGTTAAGGACGAGTAATCACTTTCAACCATAAATATTTACATGTACGTGGTTTTAAGAACAGATTCATGGCGCAAGAATGTGATATCTAATATTTACAAAGTAATATTTCTGTGTTTGAATTTTGACTAGTTTATATTATACTCTATTATATATTATAACAATAAAATTAGTATGTAAACATGTCTTCTTTTTTAAATATATAACAAGGTCTGTACAGTTCCTAAGTTTAAGGATGAGGAGTTTTTTTTTTAATGGGTGAAAATGGTATGGTGACTCCCCCCCCCCCCCTTTAAATACAGTTATGATCCTATAAATGTCATCTTCATCAACATAACAGTCGTCTATTGTTCACTGCTGAAAGTAGGTCTCATTGAAAAGAACAGTTTTGCCAGTAGTTGCCACGCTTGGCAGGCGGATTAGCAACCGCAGTTTCTTTTTATGGGTGAAAATGGTATGGTAACCCCGCTTGCGCTAACGGGATACACTGACGGGGTACCAGTGAAGGGTGATAGATGAGAATAAAAACAGGCTAGTTAGCCCATCATGATGAATTCATCAGGAATTAACTATGATAGTTTGCAGGGGGAACCGCTAGGAGGTCGACCTGGTTGGGTATATTGCTAGCAATGGGATTCTCAGTCTCCATTACTAACAATACCTTTCCCCCCCCCCCCTAAGAATGAGGAGTATGACCTAGGCATAGATTACATTGGTTTATTTGCCCCAAATAAAACATTGTAGAATTACCTACTCTGAATTTTACAGTTGGAACAACTATTTAAATTTGGCATATGCAGCTCCCCCCCCCCCCCCCCCCTTAAATACACTAATGATCCTATGAATATCATCTTCATCAACATATCAGTCGTCTATTTATCAGAGGGAGACTTTGTACAAAAGTCGATTGCTTGGGTACCTCTGTCCCATTCGTGTTTCAACCGTGAAGCAGTTGTGTTTCCATGGCTGTGTTTCAGTTTGAAGGGTGGGATATGGCGTGAATTTACTGGGTACAGAGGAATAACACCTGAGTCCTCAGGAATGGCAACGTATGGGGGGTATATTGGGCGAAACAGTATACTCTGTTATGTTCATAGTACAGCTCATGCCTATAGGCGACGGTTACCACTATCCATCAGGTGGGCCATCAGCTTGTTTGTCATTCTAAGTTGTATAAAAACATTTATGATCCTTAATATCGCCTTCATCAACATATCAGTCGTCTATTGTTCACTGCTGAACGTAGATCTCACCGAAAAGGGCAGTTTTGCCAGTAGTTGCCACGCTTGGTAGGCGGATAAGCAACCGCAGTTAAGCTTTGGAGATGTTTTAAGAGACACGCTGCTGCCCATCTCTCGCCCTCCCTTGGTAGGCTCTTACGACATCCACAAGAGAGAAAGGGATGGCCTATTTAATTAAAGAAGTTGATAAAATGAAAATACTATAAATATTTATTATATTATAATAATATGTACATATATTTATGTATTAACAGTGACATGTGTGACCAGTCCATCGCCAAGATGTTTGAAGTCTTCTATCAGAGCTTCCGTGTTGACCTTGTACTTTGTCTCGCCGTCCACCACCACCGGCTTTAAAGCGTTTGCGTTCAATATCTGAAAAAAAAAATTTAAAACTAGGTATGGCCCATAAATTTGCTTACGTGTATTAGGATAAAAAAACCATCCTATGTCAAACTAGCGTATGGTCCGTCTATATATTAAATTTCATTCAAAGCAATTAAGTAATAAACAAATATCCAAATTCCATAACACTTTAATGTAATAACTTGTTTAATTTACGCGTAATTTGGTCGAGAAAGTTCGACTAGTTTCAGGATCATTCAGGACCCTTAGTTCTTAGCTTTTTCGATCAAACTACACGTTAAACCAGTAGTTATTACATTAAGATATATATACAAGGAACTTTTTTACAATAAAATTAATAATTAAGTAGAATAGGAAAACAAATCAGTATATTTACACTACTTAATATTTTAATTACGACCTTATTAAACTTATTTCTTTGTCAAAAAAAGTAAAAAAATAAATTGTATATGTAAACCTAAGAACATGGAATTACGTAGAAGGAATGATAAAATAAAAACTGGAAATCATATAGGTGCCTCCTTTCTTCTTATGCAAATATAAATAGTAAAAAGAGGACGAAAGATACATCAGTTGCTATTTTTCTCAATTCATAACATGTGAGAAAATGTGTATGTAAAATTTTTGTTATGTCAATTATTTGTCAATAACAAATTTTACATTATTAGATTATATATTCGACACAGTTTATGTAAAAAGTATGCATGCATGTTGTATCTGAATGTGGTAGGGTTATACGGCCAATAAAACTAAGTGACATATCTTAATGAATTTCACTTGGACGGACTAGTCAAAAGGCAGATGCGTTTTTATATGTCTATCCCGCTCTAAAGCATTGGCAATGTCATAAATACAAGGAGCAACACACTGTGTGAATTATGCATTCCATGTATTCTATACCGAAATCTGTGTTGTAAACTTGCCTGTAACTCTCTAACATCAGCAATGTCCGGTTTCCACAGCACTGCAATCACGTCGCCGCCGTACGTGTCGTGGAAAAATAAAGCGTACTCACTGTACGCACTCTGGAAATAATAATAAATTCTTGTATTATACATAATAATAGATTATTTTGTATTTATCTTGTGAATTCACAGGGTACAGAGGAATAACACCTGAGTCCTCAGGAATGGCAACGCATGGGGGTATCATGGGCGAAACAGTACACTCTGTTATGTCCATGCTACTGCTCATGTCTATAGGCGACGGTTACCACTTTTCATCAGGTGGACCGTCAGCATTTTTGCCATTCTAAATTGCATAAAAAAAACCCATCTACCACTGGGATTAGGTTGATGTTCCAATATTTGGTTTCCTATGAGTGATGCATTTGAAAATGCTAGCATTCATGGGCTGTAGTGAGCTCTTACATCAGTCGAGCCGTGTGCCTAATCATCATCTTTATTATCTAAAAACAAACTCACCCTCAACTCGTCCAAATATTTCATGACGGGGTTGAACTCGACGACGGGTATGACGTCATCCAGTACCGATTCTGGTGGCGCCCTCTGTCGGGGTCTTTGGTCCACCCTCTCACTGTAGTGTGGGACTAGTTTGGCTTTCAGATGAATGAGAACATCGTAGCCCGACAGTGACGGAACATAAATGGGCTGAAAGATAAATTTTATAAATTAGAATAAAAAGTTTGTGTGTTTATTATTTAATACGGTGTTTTTCAAATTGTGGGTCGCGACCCCTTGGGGGGACCCCGAGCATCTACAAGGGGGTCGCAAAAAATCAACAGTTCCGTATATACATCAATCAATCAATAATATATAATGTAGTATCTATAACAGACATCAATTACATGTCTGGTTTACATACTTTATTATGTATTATTTATTTTATTTTATCGACACCTAACTGTGAATATAAATACAACTGTACGGATTTCATATTTGTACTATAATAAAATTCATACAGAGTCGGAACCGTGGAGGGTAAGTAGGGGGTCGCAAGATATTTTTACATATTTATTTATTTATTTAACTCTTTATTGCACCATAAATAAAAATATAAATACAACTGTACGGATTTCATAATTGTACTATAATAAAATTCATACAGAGTCGGAACCGTGGAGGGTAAGTAGGGGGTCGCAAGATATTTTTACATATTTATTTATTTATTTATTTAACTCTTTATTGCACCATAAATAAAAATATAAATACAACTGTACGGATTTCATAATTGTACTATAATAAAATTCATACAGAGTCGGAACCGTGGAGGGTAAGTAGGGGGTCGCAAGATATTTTTACATACTAAGGGGTTGCGCCATGAAAAAGGTTGAAAAACTGATAGATAAGTATGTCATAGATAAGTCAAAATGGCAAAACATATGGATGGATTATAATAATAATAAATAACAAGGTTTTGCCAGTAGTTGTCACGATTGGCAGGCGTATTGGCAACCGCAGTTTGGCTTTTGGTGATGTTTTAAGAGGGACACTGTCCATTCCTCGACCATAGCTCCCTTGGTCGCCTCTTACGGCACCCACGGGAAAGGAAGGGGTGGCCTATTCTATGCCGGGACCTAGACGGCTAAGATATTATGTTATGAAACTACATCTAATCCTAAATTAAACACAATTTGTACTATGGATACTACATCTTTGATATACCAGAGGGAGACTTTGTACAAAAGTTGTTTGCTTGGGTACCTCTGTCCTATTTGTGTTTCAACCGTGAAGCAGTTGTGTTTGCATGGCTGTGTTTCGGTTTGAAGGGTGGGATTTGGCGTGAATTTACAGGGTACAGAGGAATAACACCTGAGTCCTCAGGAATGACAACGCATGGGGGGTATCATGGGCGAAATAGTATACTCTGTTATGTCCATGGTACTGCTCATGTCTATAGGCGACGGTTACCACTTTCCATCAGGTGGGCCGTTAGCTTGTTTGCCATTAAAAGTTGAATAAAAAAAATACATATACATCTATATTTGAGAGATATTAAAAAAAATCAATATAATTAAAAAAACCCTTAATAAGATGAATAGAAGCTGAAACAATATTTTTTTTTTTTATAAATTGTATGTTAATATTTGTTCGGGCATTATGCATAAAATGGGATGAGCTTTTCACAATTGCATTTCTTAAAATCTCGACTATACATTATCCTAAAATACGCCAACTAGAAGTAGCCTATTTTTTTTTTATTGATTTCCCTAATATCTGAAATCCACACGTACAAAGTAATAAAAAAAAATTATTATACAAAATGTAATGTAATTACCATTACCAATATATTGTCCTTCATGTCGTCCAACAAGGACTTTTGCAAGTATTGGAGCGTACTTCTGGCGAGGACCTGCAGCCTGGCAAGGAGTTGAGGTGTAGGCTCGTGGCGGCTCCAGGCGGACGGCAGCTCCCCGTCGTACGGCGTCACCACGTACAGCCGCGGGGAACGATCCTCCCGCGACTGATACTCGCGCTCCAGGGTCGAGATCTCTTCAGCTGCGCACAGTCATGTTACAGAGTAAAAAATAGTTCACTTTCAAAGATGGAATATGACAAAAAATATTGAGTACAGACTATATAATTATTATTTTTTATATTCCTTCAATAATTCAATAATCATTCCTTTAATAATCGATTCAATAATGCACCGCCTACTTATTTCCCTGTTCGCCCAATGGTTGACTGGTAGAGAACACCGTCCGGTGTTAAGTCCGTCCAATGTAGATAGTTTCACAGTGCATTAAAGTTTAAATAAATACCATGGACATAACAGTATACTCTGTAATGTCCATGGTACTGTTCATGTCTATAGGCGACGGTTACCACTTTCCATCAGGTGGGCCGTCAGCTTGCTTGCCATCCTAGTCTTCAGGAATGACAGCGTTTATTTAAAAACATGAGGTCACAGTATGGAATCGTACATGTCAAGAGGCGCTAGTCACTTACCATTAGGTGGGCTGTTACTCTATTTGTGATTTAGTTAAACTTCTAAAATATCAGTGAAAATATAAATATTTCCGATATTTTCTATAAATATAATTATTAATATTAATTTACTGAAAAACATAAAACAAATATGGACGAGAAGGAATGGAAGTTCTTCGACAAAAAATAATTAATTTGCTTACTGGAACAGCCCAGTTCATATTCTATTAACTTACTGAGAAACAGTGGCCCGATTTTTTTTAATGGGTGATAATGGAATAGTAACCCCGGCTGCGTTATGACGGTGACAATGAAAAGTCAGTTAGCCCATCATGATGAATTCCACTAGAATTAACCACGATGGTTTCCAGGGGGGACCGCGTGAAGGTCGACCTGAAAGGGTGTATTGCTAACAATGGATCAGTTAAACCTCATTACTAACAATCCCTTTCCCCCCACGTTGACCCGGTTAGTCTGGGCTATACCCTGAAATATTCCTGCCTGGTACCTCACCTCACAATATGGGATAACCTAAGGACCAGACGCTTGGAGTACTTATGTGGCACTTATTTATATTTTATATATTACGTGTGAAGTCGTCGTTGAAGTCGAGCACGACGATCTCCTGGGCCCAGTCTGTGTCGACGAGCAGCGCCAGGACGCGAGCAAGTAGCGCGAGCGGCGTGACGGTGGAAGGCAGTGGTGAGCAGCGCAGCGTAGCCGCTGCCACTAACAAGTCAGCAGTCACCGGCGGCAGCGACGAGCCTAGCAGCTGCGCTGACAGCCAGCGCTTCAGCAAGCACGTCGCTGGACCCACAGACGCGTGCTTCTGGTGAAGCCTGGGAGACATCATCAACTTTTAAACATTCTATTAAAGAGTAAACTAGCTATAGTTCACGGCTTTGATTTATAAATGTCCATAATTTTTGTTTACTGAAGTATGTTAACATAGAAATTAACTTTTAATTTTCAAAAATTTTAACAATTTTCAATGTTTGCGATTGATTATTTAAAACATGTATTAGGAATTTAAAATTTAATTAATTTGAAAAACATTAATCACGCAATAATATTATTATTAAGCTATTAGTGAGAATTGAATTTTGATGGCAAAAATGTATTTTAAAATTCATCTTTATTTAATATATATTATAAATAAATAAAAATACTTATTAAATTAATGAAAATTGAATTTTGATGGCAAAAAGTATTTTAAAATTCCGAAGCTAAATAAATATCTGCAAAGTTATCGATGACAGATTTATATGTAATATATTCTACTTGTATGATGTCCCATACCTAGAGAATACAATCCCGGGATCCTAAATGACTAAGAACCGTTATATATGCAGCTATAATAATATATATAAAATTGTATATAAAACAACTAAAAATATTTTTGAATGACCACAGATGCAAAAAAATAAATTATATCATCAACCTTCTACCAAAAACTTTATTACTCGTAATATAGATTAAAATTTTGTATTACAATTAATTAATGATGACATAATTTTATTTATTGCGTCTGTGGTCACTCAAAAAATATTTTTAAATATTTATTTTTCTTTATACAATAAATTTATATATAGTTATGATAGCTGTAATTGCAGCAGCCCATTGCCTTTGTCATTCGGAATTTCGGGATTGCATTCTCTACCCATAAAAAAACATTTATTTATTTGTTTATAGCATTTTGACTGCCATATCCCACCCTTCAAACTGTAACATCTATGTAAGTACAATTAATTCATACATACATATACATATCTGTCACGCCTGTCTCCTATTAGGGTAGGCAGAAACAATGGAACGCCAAATGCTTCGATTCAAACAAACCTCTTTCGCTTATTCCACATTCATCAATCTTTTCATACACGCTCGCCGGTTACGGGTACTTTTAATTTGGCCCTTCTTCAGCACGTCGCCTATTTGGTCAACATACGTCCGTCTAGGGCGGCCCCTACCGACATCTCCATTCATTCTTGCTCCATAAATCTCTTTCGTAATTCTTCTTTCGTCCATCCTCTCCAAATGACCAAACCAACGCAACATTCCAATTAATTCATAATAAAAAAAGATGTAGATGGGTATGATGCTGGTAATTTTAATAGAGTCTCCCTTTAGTAAATTGCGATGAACTCACCCATGCAAAGCACCTCTCAACCTCGGCAGTACCACAGTATCATAATGCAATTGAATGCTTTCCTCGCTCTCTTTGAACTTCACCACACCATTCTCTGTCTGTCTTCTTAGTAACGTTATCTCCTTGGGGTGAGCGATCTCTAGTCGGAATACTAGACCGTCTCTGAGTACGTCGAAGTGCGTCGGATAGGCCTGCGTGGGCAGTGAGAACTGTTTGTTCAGACGCTCGGCTATTTGCAGGTGGAACGCGGCTTTCAGACAACGGAACGCTTCGATATCGCCCGGCCATTTTCCACTGTGCCCTGAAATAAAAAAGTAACAGTTTACTTAAACTAACAACACAACAACAACACTATTACAACACTATTGTTGAAAATATGAAGTAATTTACATGTATGTTTTATTTATTACTTGTATCATTATATATTATTACTGTATGGTCCCAACATATAGTGAGTAATCCCTTCTTAACCTGTAGATGTGGGGGGAAAGGGATTGTTAGTAATGGGGTCCAATTGACCTAGCAATACACCCTATCAGGTCGACCTCCACGCGGTTCCCCCTGGAAACCATCAGGGTTAATTCTAGTGGAATTTATCACAATGAGACTTGCCTTTCCATCCTCACCTAGTATCCCTCACTGGTGCCCCGCCAGTGTATACCGATGGCGCAGGCGGGGTTACCATTACATTATCATCCATTTAAAAAAAGAAACTTGTGGGTGTCGTAAGAGATGACTAAGGAGGGGCAAGGGATGGGCAGCAGCGTAACGCTGTCCCTCATAAAACATCACCAATGCCTAACTGTGCTAAATAATTGCCAGCCCGTTTGCCAAGCACAACAACTACAGGCAAACCCCTCCTTTAGGGGGGAAAGGGATTGTTAGTAACGGAGACTGAGAATCCTATTGCTAGCAATATACTCAACCAGGTCGACCTCCTCGCGGTTCTCCCTGGAAACTATCATGGTTAATTCCTGATGAATTCATCATGATAGGCTAACTGGCCTGTTTTCATTCTCATCTATCACCCTTCACTGGTGCTCCGCCAGCGTATCCCGTTAGCGCAGGCGGGGTTACCAAACCATCTTCACCCATCAAAAAAAAAAAAAAATAACCCTCCTTGATGGGGAAAGCCTATGTTTAGCAGTGGACAGTGTTACGAAGACGATCATATCAATATTATATCATCTCCCCCATAACGGGACAAGAAAAAGGCAATTTTTAAAATTAGAGTTTTGAGTTCAAATAAAGATTTAGAGTGAATGTATTTTTAAGGTTTTTAGAGACTATTATATAGTGTAATACCATATATTCAGAATCAAGAAATCTCATGTTAAAGCCCTAGCATTACATGTATATGTACATATATATATATATAACTGATTAATAACATTTCTTGTAAACGGGTGCCATGGGTATCAGAATGTATTTTATGACATCAAAGATGCATTATCACTTTCCATCAAGGAGGCCATAGGCTTATTTTCTATTCTAAATATCATAAAAACATATTGAACTAACCCAACTCAATAATGGCCTTAGAGACAGGTGTGTATGGTGGCACGAAGGGGTCTATGTCCGAGTCCTTGATGAGGCAGCAGTTGGCGCGCCGCCACGGCTTCGTTTGAGGGCCCAGCGCCAGCGGCGGCAGCGGTTCCGTGTAGCTGAACACTGGTGACGTACCTGCAAATAGATGATAATCATCACCGTAATTAAAACTAGCGACCCGCCCCGACTTCGCACGGATGCAATGCCGCCCCGCTATGTCCCTGCATTTTAAATCTGTAATATCTTTGGAAATAATCATTTAAATTACATGCTGTAAAGGGCCATATTGATCTATATTAAATGAACAATGTATTTAAGGTACCTAATTGGATAATTTGATATTGTTTAAAATCACTTCGTAATTAAGCCATTTTTCTCGTAAAATGTAAAGGATAAAAAATGGTTATTGTAGGTTATCTTTAAAAGATAGATATATACCATCGCGGACTTTTTTGTTGACCTTCCTAAGGTGTACAATACTGTAGTACATTATTTTGATTTATCTCGTGAGGTTCAGCCAGCGTTTGCAATGTAAGCGCAAAAAATGTGTTTATTTACGACATCACATTAGAAACCTCTAAATTTATCAGTGTTTCTCTACTATATTATGCATGTATTATACATATAAACCTTCCTCTTGAATCGCTGTATCTATTAAAAAAACCGCTTCAAATTCCGTTGTGTAGTTTTAAAGATTTAAGCATACATAAGGACGGACAGACAGCGACAGTGACTTTGTTTAATACTATGTAGTGATAACGCATTAGCATCTACAGAGAGATCATTCCCATATCTTAAAACCTAAAAGTGGTTTTAATTTTCATATTTTACTAAACAAGTTGCTATCTTGCGAAAATCCATATCACTGGTTATTTGTTTAGAATTATTTTGTTTAATTCCGCTACCATTAGTATGTGTGTGACTGCCAACATACGAAGATTGACCACCAGTATTTTTTTTAAATGGATGATAATGGAATGGTAACCCCACCTGCGTTAACAGTATACGCTGGCGGAGCACCAGTAAGGGATGAAAAGTAACAATGAAAAGGCAGGTCAGTTAGCCTATCGTGATGAATTCACCTAGAATAGAACACGATAGTTTTCAGGTAGAACCGCGAGGAAGTCGACCTGACGGTGTATTGCTAACAATGGGGCTACTAATAGACAAAATGAGAACCTCTTTCTTTTGGAAATAACTTAAAAAGCATCATAATCTCACCATGTAGTCCGCTGATGTTAAGGGGCAGCTGTGTGAGCTGTCTTAACTGTCGACGCAGCGCATCCAGCGCTTGCAGCGTGGCCAGCGAACGCTCGCTGCAGCCGCTGGAGTGCTGCACTTTACGCTCTAACAAGCTGTCGAGCTGCCAACCCACATGAAACAGCTCTGATGGCTCCAACTCTGAAATTATATAATTTTTACATTTACCTGAATAAAAGTCGTTCATGATGCACAGGAATGTAGAGAATGTTTTAAGAAAGATATTATGAATGCAGAGTATAAGAGTAGAGGAAGAGCTAAAAAGGCATGAATAGACTATGTGAAAGATGACACCCAGAATGCTGAAATGACCGCCAATAGAAAAGAATGGAAGAGAAAAAGAAAGAAAGAAAAAAGAGAGATGCTGCTGCCCATCCTTCGACAATTAAGTTCCCTGACTGTCTCTTGCGACACCCATATGAATGAAAGGGGTGGCCAATTCTATGCCAGGACTACACGCAATTATTTATTTGTTTATAGCCTTTTACAGAATGATTAATATTTACAATAATTATATAAATACTTTTTCCCAATTGTGTATCACACTGTGCATCCATTGACTGGTGGGCCTTCTCTAACTTTTTTCATTTATCCCTATCGTGAGCTATTCTGAAGTACAAAAATCCTGCATATAATATCATCATAATCATCATATCAGCCTTTAACTATCCACTGCTGAACATGAGCCTTCCCCTTGGGAGGTTTTGCTGCATATCCTTCACCTTCCCTTAGTCCGCTCTTACGACACCTACGGGACTATATATATATATATATATATATATATATATATATATATATATATATATATATATATATATATATATATATATATATATATATATGTTAATACATATATATATATATATATATATATATATATATATATATATATATATATATATATATATATATATATATATATATATATTTATATGTATATGTATATATATATGTTAATGATATAATCCAAAGAGTATCCACTCACGGTATTTGAGCTTCATTAGATAATCGATGATTTGCCTGGTAACGCCTCGCTGCTCGACGCTGTTCTCCGCGTCCCACACGCACGCCTCCGTGATGGACCCGTCTTGGAAGCGACGCAGCTCTGACTTCTCACCCCAGAACGCTCTAAATACGAAACAATCAGATACACTAAATATATATGCACTTTTAATAAAAAACAATACAAATGTAAAGGTTACACCGCCTGCGATATCGGTACGTGCTGGCAAGACATCGATGTCCTACCAGTGAGAAATGACAAGTGAAGATGACCAGGAATTCTATAAGAATTAACCATGATGGTCTCCAGGGGAAACGGCGTGAAGGTCGACTTGATAAGGTATATTGCTAGCAATGGGGCTACTAGATAACATTACAAACAATACCTTCTACGTCAAGTTGTAATGTGGATTTAAAATTTTTGACGTTTTTAGTCCATATTTCATAAGTAAAAATATTCGAGGATTGTAGATAGATAGATACTCTTTATTGTTCCCTCCAAGTACACTGGGACAAACTTAATGGAGGAGAAAATAAATAGTTACCACCTTTTTTAGGCAAACAAGTCTATAAAATTTAGATATAACACACCTAATATGCATGAACAGTTTAATACTTAATTAAAATAAAAATTGGTTTAAGCCATCATACCTAAATTCTTCAGCTTCAGGTAAATTGGCCGGTGGTCCCTTTTCCACAACATTTAAACATCTCTCAGGGTTCAGTATAATGCCAAAAGATAGATTCTCTTTAAACCTAAAATAAAACAATTAAATAAAATATTTAATAATTTATTAATGTTAAATACAATAATTAATTGTCCTCTACATGACCCTATTTAGGATGTTGGAAATTACATAATATAATTATATAGTGGATATATATATATATATACATATATATATATATATATATATATATATATATATATATATATATATATATATATATATATATATATATATATATATATTTTTAATTAATATTTTATAGATTGTGATTATATATCACAATCTTTAAAATATTAATTAAAATTTCATTTAAAAACTACATAACACTAAAAATTATACATAAAATGTTGCTTTCAAATAAAATTTACTCTGTGCCATCTTTACAACAGAAAAACTCTTGTACTGTATAAAAACTCTTTTCAATTAAAAATTGTTTTAAATAAATAAACTTGTACTTGAAAAATAACTTATTAACAAATAATATGTATATTTATTTAATTATATTCCTTTAATTTATTTACCATATGGAAAAAAATTTAACACAAAATAAATACAAGAAGATACTTTGTCTATATAAAAATGAGAATATATAATATTTAAAAATAGGAAGAATTGATTTGCAAAACATAAGCACCATTACAATATTTATTCTGTAATTTTTTTATTAGATTACATTGTTAACTTCATTAAATACTCGAAAAAGTGAATACTATTGAAACTTACTCTTTCCTCGCCTTCTCAAGATTAATTCTGACAGGCCATGATAAGTCAGCTTCCACTAATTGTAATATCAGAGTCACCCTATCGCCCAGCCCTTTTGTCAGGAGAGCATGAAGGGTATCAGTGACAAGGGCAAGCTCGTCTAAACCATAATTCACTCGAGCATGTGATGATACTGTGCAAATCACTGATTGTTTAACTTTACTAAAAGCTTTGAATCTGTAACAAATATAAAATACAATATTAACATTACATATTACACACATGCATACATATCTATCACGCCTGTCTCTCATCTAATATGGTATGATCCAGAAAATATGGTATGACAAGTAAATTTACTTCTAGCAGCATTCTATTTCAACCAACCTTTATATAGTGAACAGTTAGTCAAATGTGCTATTGTATTGCAAACAAACAACTTTACATTAGGGCATCCCAAATACAAGAAGAAATAGAAATCATTACCATCCCTTTAAGAGAATATTCCACCAGAGTAACTAAACATGTTCCCAAAGAAAAAGTAGTTGAAAAATGCCAAAAAATTTAGAGCAAAAAATTATTAGTAATTTTTTTTTACAACACAGGGGGCAATGAGCATGCAGCTCACCTGATGGTAAGTGACTACCGCCACACATGTTTTTGTTATATTTCAATTGGTGTCCCTTGGGGAAATACCTGTATTTTAACTAGTAAAAATCTCTTCAAAGAAAGCTAATGATTTCAACTTCATCTTGCATTACATTGAATATAAATATATAAATAATTACCTTAATATATGATCAAACTGTAAAAGAGGCCGCACAGGAGTCATGAAAAGTGGTATGAAGCTGTTTATCTTCCCATTATCCAACATTTCAACAGAGAAGGCACATTCTCTCCTCAATGCATCATATGTGCCCTTACACATCTGCCAACAGACATTGTAGTAGCCAGTCCTGTCCAGAAATACTACAGGAAAGTGTTGTAGGAATTCTTGTAGTTGTGGCGAGTCATCTCCTTTGTGGAGGGATATGCCTTTTGTATCCCATTCAGATGTTTCTGGAAAGAGAATTATGTTGATAAAACATGTGTTAATTTTTTTTTTGTGATGGCTTATTTAGATGTGTGATTTCTATTCATAATTTAGAGTATTTAATTAAACAGCTATTTACAAATATAAATAGATATTTAGTTTGTAACCTCAAATATTGTATGGTTTGTTTATTAAACAGCACAGTATATATAAAAATTAAATTATATAAATTTAAATAATGACAATAAAAATAATATTTATTCAAGTAAACTTAATTATAAGAATTTTTGAATAATATTTTTTTAAGATTATTTTGACCAGTTTGGAATGCAATTTCAAACATTAAACTAAGTCATTGCTATTGGTAAACAAAAGTTGAATATTACAAGACATAAAAATAAGAATGGATATAGTGATAATCATTTAACAATACTTAAATGTCCTATATTGTCAATCGTTTCATAATATTTTTTTTTAATTTAAAATTAATATTTATGTGTATAATAAAATAAATTAATAAATGCTTACTTATTGCAATCCACACATTCCTGATAATTTGATAACTGCTCATTATATTGTTGATCCTCTTTGATTGCACCAAGTATGCAACCAGCATACTAACAATATGTCCTGATACTTGCAAATTCCTTTGTCTCACCAAATTTTTAATAAAATAACTGCCTGCTTCAAATTTTCACTTTTCAATAATATCTCTTTTAAGTATTCTTCATTTTCTGATGCAGTAAGATCCATTAGTACACTATTATTATAATATGGTGTTGGAGGACCAATCTCTGTGTTACTCTCTGAATTATCTAGTGATAACAACCATGATTCCCTCAAATTATTACGAGAAGGACTAAATCTATGTAATTTATACGCTTCTTGTTCACAAACTAAGTTGATACGGACAGACACAAAGTTGCCGAGCTTCCCAGCAGGTTTAAAGTCTAATACTGGCTTAGTTTCACACCTGTTCAGCCAAGAATACTTCAAATCCTCAATTGTATTTAGATCTTTCAAATGAGAAGCTATAACAGCTAAATATGCTGCTCTTTTTTTATGATACCTGTAGTTGATTGAGTCATTTTTAGTATATGTATCAGCTGGCACAGTAATCTGTATATCTATTCTAAGTTTTGAATTTATAAAGCATCCTAAACTATAAGAGCCAACAATTTCAACATTGGTGAACTTGTTGAATTTAAACATGCATTTAGTCTTCTTCAATTTGTCACTAATAGGTAACTTTACTTTAAGACGCTTAGCTAAAGCTTGCTCACTAAGATCATACTCAGTGTCATCTTCTTCTATGGATTGTAAATGATCCTTGAAGACGAGAAACCATGCTTGAAACTTTTTTTCCACTTTCTCTTTGATTTTCACCTCTTGCAGTATTTCTTCGATTTGAAGACGGAACAAATTCGAATTGAATAAATTCTCAGTCTCTTGTAGTCTATTTAATTCATTTACAGTGGGTTGCCGGTACAAGTTTTTTATACGTTTTTTACCATCCTTATTAGGTTCCTTCGCTTGCGTTTCTCCATTTTCATTAAGAGCTTGAGAATCTTCGTTGTCCACAGAAACAGTAGATTCTATTTTCTAAGATAATTATAAAAAGTAAGTAATCAAAATTGATGATATTATTCACTTAGACACATGATAATAAATTAGCATAAAAATGTTACTAATAAAATAAACAGTATTTACCATTATCAAGCAATACTTACCCTTTTCACCATTTTTTCTAATATAATGTTTTCATGTCTAATAAATTATACGTTTAGGACACTTCTTTAAAAAAATCTGAAGTAATAGGTTATAAACTCAAAGGTAAACAACACGCGCAGCATGCTTTTGACAAATGACAAGAACAAGAAAAATGTACTGACAATTTGACATTGACAAACAAAGTAGATTACTTAACAATTCACTCTTTTCATAGACAAAGAACAATACTTAGCAAGAATTTTATTCCTTATTCTTAGATACTTAACAAGGTATGCATAAGGCGCGAAGTCTTTTAAATGTGAATATTTATAATTGTATTTATGCTAACAGTTTAAGATTAACGAAGTAAAATGATTATAATTCAGTGTGATTCTTCTTTGTTTTTAAGTATATTATTATTAATTATTGATAAAATTAAATTAATTGAAAATGAATGACGAAACAAATAGCAATGTTAAAGAAATAAAGGAGTTATATCTATATTTCACTAAGAATACGTACGTAAAAACTTACAAGGCGTTTTTGTTATACCATCATATGAAAATTCATTCTTATATTTTTTATACATAAAAGAAAGAAGAAAGAAAGCCCAAAATGAGGCCAGTTGTTTGGATATAATTTTTATCTCCAATACGAGTTTCTTACACATGATAGATATGTTCGGAAAATAACGACCGATTGCCATTAAGGGAAAAGAAAAAAAAAGTAGGTTTGTACCATAGACTTAGTATAACGTACTAAGATATGTACTATATTAGATTGACCTTCACGGGCCTTGGACGCCAACCAAATAAACAGACTGATCCATTTGGGTTAACTAAAGAATATTAATAATCCTCATCATCTTCCTACACTTATCCCATTATTATTTATTATTTGGGGTTAGCGCAATGTTTTTCTCTTCCATTCGCAGTCATTTCCGCATTTACTTACATATGAGCATATCTTTCACAAAGTCCATCCATGTCTTTTTAGGCCTACCTCTGCTCTTATAGCTATCCACATTCATATTTTTATACTTTTTTGAAAACATGCTCCTCATCCCTACTTGCACGTGTCCACACTAGGATAGACGGTTACTTCTTAACTTTTTTATCACTGGCGCTACATTTGTACTTCCTACGATATACTCATTTTTAATTTTGCCAATTCCTATCACCACATATCCATCTCAACATACGCATATCAGCTACATTCAGACCTTTCGTCAATTACCCTTTCTGGTCAACTCTCCGATCCATATAAGATGGCAGGCCGGATTATGCTCTTATAAATTTTCCCCTAAATTGAAGGGGAATTTGCGAGTTACAGGTGATTTCCGTAATCTAAATGGCCTGACTTCATCTTCTCTTATTATTTATCACTGGTAACGATCCATACTGTTCTCTGCCCGCATAAATCAATAGTGACAATTTTCTTATCATTTGCATTTTAATTTATAACACCGAATTGAGAAGGTAGAGAATGTGCTCGGGCTAAGAGGGACGCTATAGAACTAGTAAAGAATGGCATTAAATATGATGAGGGTTTGGAATTAACAGGAGTCTTCGGAGATCTTATTTTTTTCTTATAATTAGGGAATACTAAAGTATGCGTATTAGTAAAGGGTCGCATGGCCATTTTTTTGACGTCAGTCTAAGAATCGTTATGTAATACCAATGCTGTGCGGAAGGTAAAATATCGATGTTGAAAATGCCCGACCGATACAGAATCCGAGTTCTTATTTACAGCACTGTCTATCCCACGAAGATTGTTAAAAATAAAACGACTTACATAGCAAAACCAGTTTATTTAATCACTTGTATCAATTTTTTTCTCTTATTTTTGATAAATTTGTTAATAATAAATTAATAAATCACAAAATTTGTACAATCTGACTAAATTCTACTTAGGCATACGGTCTAATCTAATGAAACAAAACTTGGCGAGTGTATTGCTATTTACATGGCCATAAATTAGGTCGTTTCTGTTTATGTACCCCTAATACTTTTATAATACTATAATTTTATGTTCTTTTGTGTGTGAAATCAATTGTAATATTTTCTAATAAGATTGTTATTTTGGTACTTAGGCATCGGTAGATATAAATTTTCTTTTCCAGCACAAACTCTTGCATGAGCAGAGGCAATTCAACCCTCCTGCCTTAGGATAGCAAGTAGCAACGCCGAAAAAAAAATAAGGCACTTATAAATAATATTCGATTTTTTTTAATTAATCGAGGTTTAGGAAATTACTAAGATATATACAAACTGCCTAATTCAGTTTTGAGATGACGGCGTTAGTGTAGTCACTACATTTGCCGGTGCCCCCCAGATCGCCGGTGAGAGCTTTGCCTTCTCTGAGTACTTCGTAACACGCGTTTTGGACACGGTCTGCGTGTTCGTTTAACTGCAAGTGCCGTAACATCATAATAGCTGAGAGAAGGAGAGCGGTGGGGTTTGCCAAGTCCTTACCAGCGATGTCCGGAGCTGTGCCGTGCACCTGAAAATACAAGAATTATTCATTGATGCATAAACGGATTTTAGGTAAATTATTCTGTGCTTCTTCTTATCATTCTTATGCTTGTGCAGTCTTTTTGATTAAAAACAGATATTTAATATTCTGTTTTTTTTTTAATCAACGATGGTTCTTCTGTGAAACAATAAACAGCTATGTTACCCATCAGACTCATATAAACATGCTTTAAACTGTCGTCTCTGAGTGAAATCTGGACTTTTGACTATATCTTCGCTTTGAAGCTTGATGAAGTTTTATTTTCTACTTATTTTAATGAATTGCAGAATCAACAAACCAAAGCCGTCGCCAACATAACTCTTGCAATGTGATTCTTTTAAAAGGATCAGAAATAAAAACGGTACAGTTAGATTAACTTCAATTTTTATTTACATAAAACTAAATGAAATGCCTACATATCTTGTATTTATTAAACAAATCCATGTTCATTGACAAAATTACATAGTTAAATATTAGTTATTTATTGTCAGATCATATCTGAATATAATAAATAAAGATACATGGTATTACAATATCAACGGCAAATTGGCGCCAAAACGCGTAATCCAGCTACGATAGAGGACAATAAATTCTATGTCGTGGGTAAACGAAATAAAAAAAAAAAGAATTCAGCGAGCACGTAATAAAACCTGTTTATTACAACATACAAGTATTGCGTTATACGCGACAGTTTATTAATATTAATGGAAAAAATAGTACATTAACATATAGGTATAGCAAATGCATTTCAACTTAAAAATACTGATACATGGTCAGCTTTATCCTGCAAAAGCAGTGATACTATCGACTAAAATTAATGAATAAAATCACATGATAAAGGAACTACACTATAAATATGCAATAATCACATAATTTAAAAAGGCAAAAAATACTGAAAGTTGGTACGATCTAACATATTTATACTGGTAACATTTATGTTTTAAGAAATGTCAAATCTTTAGTCATAAAAAGATAACGAGAACTAAAAATTAGTACGTAATATTTCATCAAATGCAATATTAATGTATCAATACAAATCCATATTCTTTTAATCAGTAGAATTAGATAATTTGGTGTTCATACATTTAAAACTATTATGAGTTTTCTTATCACAATTTTTTTATACCATAGAGATGGCAAACAAGCATACGTCCCGTCTGATGGTAAACGGCTACACACAACTAGCACAAGTTCATGACAGTATAGCAAAAAAGCCTAACTTATGAAAAGTGGTACCTGTTATATATAAACAGCTTCATGGATATCCCAGGATACACTGTGATACCTCATGTCAAGACCATTCTCGGGAATATGGTGTTTAAAACCAAACTACGTTATGTAACTCTAATAATGCCTTTACATAGATTAATATATCTGTAAACACTCTTAAATTGAGATTAGACAGGGTGTAAGAGACAGGTTGGCAAAAACTGAAACAATGAATTTAGACCATTATTCTGAACTGAAAACCAGCGGAAATTGTTTCCGGAAAATCATATATATATATATATATATATATATATATATATATATATATATATATATATATATATATATATATATATATATATATATATATATATATATATATATATATATATATATATATATATTCATTATGTAATTTATTATATTGTCATAATATAAAGAAATTATATTTTATGTAATTATATGAAATAATATATTATTTAATGAATACTACGAAATACAAAAAAAAAACAAATACAGGGTTGCACAGTTACATGTTTTTTGCCCTAGCTTACAAATTACAGGTAACCTGTGCCTTGTAACCCAGAACAGTGCGAGTGTGTGTATGTTTAAAGTGAGAGGAAGAGTTGTATTAATGTGGAAACAACACACAACAATAAACTATATAAAAGCTGCTTAGGATTATATGCCGGTTGTGTGCAGTTTCGTGTTTCCTTATTTCCTATCAATCTCGTTATTAACAGTGGTAACAATTATTATATACTTATCTATCTATATTCACGCTGATCCCTTATAGAGTAGGCAGAGTCGTCAATCACATTACACACATCTTTTCCATACGCTTTTAGTTTATTAGATAAATTTAGAGAATACTAAACAAACTGTTGCTAATTTCCGTTCAGAAAAGACTTTTTTTTATGAATTATAATAATTTATTTAATAACATAACTTAGTAGTCGTTAAACTGTACGAGTTTCGATGCAGCAAGAATGTGTAGGTTATTCTAATTTCACCTTTATATTCTGTGCTGTACACTACATTTTACAATACTGGCAGTGCGCTGTAGCAGTATAACATTTTTACTCGCAAACAAGTATACGTCATACCTGAGGGTACCTACCATGAAATGTTTACGAAATTTCGGAGCCAAACGAAACAGAAATTTGATGTTAAAATTACATAATGCATGCTGTTTGGAAATATTAAAAATGTTATAATATTGTTCCTTTGGACTTTTATGATAGGATGTGTGTCGAACGAAATGTTAAACTCCATTTATTGGTCCGATTTTGGTATAAACAAAAACACTAATTTGAGTCCGAAATTACGGAATTTCATTTCATGGTAGACCCGCTGATGTTACGGTCACCGTAGTACGGTCTGAAATAACAATTTTTTAGCTGCTATTTAGCAGTTGCAACAATTGGTAACTTACACAAGAGTTCAATCCAAAATGAAACAAAATCTTCAGAAATTACATTTTACATACAAATAGCACATTTTCAATTTTGAGCTCAGTCATTGAATCATACAGTCTTTAAAAAAATCTATATTATGAAAATCACCGAAAAAAAAAATAGAAGTAAATTAGTGTAATAAAAACTTTTTTTTAAAAAGGACTAGTTGAAAATGTTCGTGAGTGGTAAGAGCTCCACCGACAAGAGCATATCTCTTAAATAGTAGTGAGTGAATGAATGAAGAACTTACTTGACACAAAAAGGTTTTTGGTTTTTTTTTTTTGTGTTTTGTTACATAACCTCGCTTACCATGTATGATATACATTGACTGAGCTCAAACTTCATACAAAGAAACATTACTTTATCTCAATATTTGTACAGATAATGGAATACTAAATGCAGATCTGTCTTAACAATATAGATGGAATGTTTTGCTTAAATAAATGTATGCGACGTTTGACAGTACGCGTCACGTGATCATTCGTTTAATAAATAATACTAGAATGCATGTTTATTTCATTATAATATGTTTGCAATTTCATCTATTAATTTCACTAAAATTTTATTAAATTGTTTCTATGTCTCGATCACTGTATATTTTTTAAACAATTTCATAAAGGCTACAGTCAACATAGCTTTGTCCGCATGAATCAGGAAAAACATTATCATATATATATATATATATATATATATATATATATATATATATATATATATATATATATATATATATATATATATATATATATATATATATATATATATATATATACAACTAGAATGGCAAACAAGTGACGGCTGATGGAAACCGTCGCCTATAGACATGAGCAGTACCATGGACATAACAGAGTATACTGTTTCGCCCATGATACCCCCCCCATGCGTTGCCATTCCTAAGGACTCAGGTGTTATTCCTCTGTGCCCTGTAAATTCACGCCATATCCCACCCTTCAAACCGAAACACAGCCATGCAAACACAACTGCTTCACGGTAGAAACACGAATGGGACAGAGGTAGCCAAGCAATCGACTTTTGTACAATGTCTCCCTTTCATTCAAATCCATTCTATTAATCTGTAATTATGAACAAACGTACAAAATTTATATTTATAATATTAGTACATAATTATAATAGTAATTTGGACTCCAGTTCCTTATAGAAGTCGCTCGATTTGGTGAAAATAAATACAGTTTGGTATCATACAAGCATATCCTAAATATAGATCTTAGTTCATTATAAATACTCAACATGCGGTGTTGCTGAAATTATTCCAAAAGTCACTTGATCAAATAAAGTAAAACAAAAGCCGATAATCTCTTATTATAGAGGAAATAAAGATATTAATTACTTCACTTCACAATAAAACAGTTGAAATTTAAACATCAAGTAGAAATTATGCAAATCGTCCGATGTGTCATTTGACAACACAAGCAGTTGCTACAGTTTGCATTATTACTTCTATAAATTATATCTATTTCTGTAATGTACATGCAAACTACTTCGGTTACCTTTTATATTAAACCTAAAAGATTGGTATTGTTTTTCAATTTATATTATAATTTGTTGAACACAGATTTATTTATTTTGCCACCTGTACAATTTCGTGAGCAATTGGAAATTTAAAACAACTCAGTGAGAGATAAAAATTAAATCCATAGACAATAGCTAAAATATTAAAATTTTATAATACTGTTAAATAATATACACATCGAGTACCTTACTTACCTCATATGTGTCACGACACAGAAGAAAAACAATGCCTTTGACATAAAATTTTACTAAATTTAAATCAACATAATCACAAATTCACAAGATCCATATGTTTGGGTAACCAGCCCGATTATATTAATACATTACTATCAGATCAATAAATAAAATTGTGTAAAAATTATAAAAAAAAAAACAATACTGACCATTATATGAACGTTCACGCTCACTTTTTTACTTTATCCGAGCAGTAAGTGCTTTATATTATTCTCAATATCGTGTATAATGTAGTATATGTCATATATGTGTAAGTATATTTGTTATTCATATATATTTATTCGTTTATATATGTAATTTTAGTATGTATGTACATCAATAATTAGTAGTACCGCATTCGAATATTCTGACACTTCCCTATGGTTGACTGGGAGTGAATGCTTTTACCATTAAGTCCGCCATGTACACATATTTGTACTAATAAATAAATAAATAAATATGAATACAACGATTTTTATGGATGGGAAGAAATAAATCTATACAATGGACGTCTTATAATTTTTTCTACGTTCTGGCAAAGTCTACAAATTTCTGAATGTATAGCAAATCTAATGAGATTACCGTCGTGAGAATATTTCATTACAATTTATCAACTTGTCTGTTTAAATAGAATACAGTGATCAAAACGCACCAATCATTTTACTCTAAATTTCTTATAATTTCATCTGTATACTCTGAACATTTGCTGTTTCCACCCAAGTCTTCAGTGAGTATCCTCCCCTCGCTCAGTACTTTGAAGCACGAACTTTCTATCTTGTCCGCGAAACTGTATAGTTGTAAATGACGTAGCATCATCACACCAGAGAGGAGCAACGCCGTAGGATTGGCCTTGTCGTGTCCGGCGATAGATGGCGCTGTCCCGTGTACCTGGAATATGCAATTAGATTGAATAGTTTCCATTGATTTATTTTGTACCATAATCATTTGTGTGAAATGACATCCATTTTATTATGATCCATGTGGGTTCCTCCCCATGCAATAAAATGTAAGGTGCCCATTACACGAACAGTCAACATAATTAATTTCTATCAGTTATGAACAGTGTTGCCAGGTTTAATTTGAGTATGTCCTGACAAATTATTTAATAATAAAAAAAAGGAAGAGGATATGTTCTTATTTGATTTTTTTATGAACTTATATTATTATTAAATTATATGTAGTGTAGTTAAATTATAGTAGTTATAACACACAATAGTTATTATACGTAGTTTGATGATAAATTTATAGAAATCTTTTTAGTTGAATTTTTATACCATATTTTCAAATAAGAGTAATATTTAATTTTAAATGATCAAATATAGGAAAGCAAACCATTTTTAAGGACATCTCAGATAAGTCTTAGCAATACTGTTTAAGGCTGTGACAAAAATGACATAATAACCTATCATGTAATAGACCCCTAAATAAAATTAGTAGGAACACAGTCTGCGTCAAATATTTATTTATAGGACTTTAAATAAATTTGAAACCACTACAATCTTCTGAAGAGGAGATAAAAGAGTGTATTTAACTGTTTGATGAGTAAAATTATAATTGATTTTTGTATTTTCAATAGACTTGAAAAAATTAATTCTATAACACTTTTTTTTTGTATTTTATGCGACATTTTTGTTTATTTTAAACCAATTTTAATTGAAAGTGTTTGCCCTTGTCAAAGACTGATAATAGTCTTATAGTCTCTGCTCTTGAGTTTGTTTCATGGTAAATATATTGTTATTTTAACCTTATTTTTTATCCGTGTTGTCTGTATCGTTTTCGGAAAAACTGCAGTTGAATCAATATTAAGACATTGAACTAATTCAGAGAATTGCAGTGATTTTCTTTAAACACAAAATAAAATTGCGTAAAATATTATTTAAAATACCTAGAACTCAGGTCATAGTTCCATAGTATTTATTGATGAATTCTAATTATAAAATGTAAATAGTCTGAAACTGAATCTTAAATAATTATGATAAAATACATTCCATCAAGGAGTCACAACACAGACCGTTAATTGTGTGTGTGCGTGCGCGTGTGCGTGTGCGCGTGCGCGTGCGCGTGTGTGTGTGCGTGTGTGTTTTTTTTTATTAACTCCAGTTTGTTCATGCTTGTGTAATGTAATAGTAGTTTAATGTGAATTAGAATTAGTAGTGAATTTATTTTGAAATTCATGCCATAATTTATATATTTCTCCCTTCCTTTTTGCTTCAATTAATTTTTCTTATGTAATGCACATTTATGAAATGTTTATATTTGTTGTGATTATTGTTAGTTATAGGTACGTCAGTTCAATTCTGAATGTCGTTCGTGCTCGCCTTTTACACGTACTTGTATCGCATCTAATTTTGCATTTTTTTTTTCAATGTATATGTAATAATTTCGTTATGATCCGACATACAAAACTAGATTACGATAATCATACCCTTTGACAGAGATTAAAATATAAAGGCGATCTTATGTACACGTGTAGAGGAATTAACATTTTAAATATGGAGTTAGAACATAGAGTTAAGATTTCACCATTCAAGAATGACGTACAATATAAACAAAATGAAATAATAAAATATCGAATTATGAGAATTTACTGGCTTGGTCCAACTCCACCTTAAAATGTGCATGTATATATAAAAAAATGTACTATGACATTATGGAGTTGTTTAGTATCATGAACTAAACAGGTCCATGCAATTGTTCTCTAAACAAAAAAATTAAGCTATTTTTGATCCCTATACCCAAGCAATATTTATTATTAATGAATCAATTAATGATTTCCATAAGGTTTTCAATGAAACTATCAAATCTTAAATAAATAAATACAAACTATGCCCATATAAAAACAAATTTTTTTCCCTTTATTATATCCTTATATGAAATTATATTCTGTACAGGATTAGTTGTATACTAATCACGTATAAAAATCCAAAAGTCCAGTGATAGTACGTGTGAAACTGAACAACTCATCACAGGGAATATACTCCGAAGGTGAAATATGAAAATCATTTATAAACTTTCTATAGTAAATAACCGTCACATTTGTGATGTGACAAATACATCACATGATAGTAAATACATCACATAAAACTGAATATCTTTATGAAAAATTAAAAAATGAGCTCCCTGCTGAGGTTTTCCTCAGAGATTAGAATTTGAAGTTCTTCAAAAAGGGTATATTAAGGTTTCTTCAGGGTCGGCAACGCGCACGTGACATCCCCAGTACTGCAGGCGTGGGGGGAAAGGGATTGTTAATAATGAGATTAAACAAGCCCATTGTTAACAATATCTCCAAGTGGTGGACCTCCACGCAGTTCCCCCTGGAAACCATAGTGGTAAATTCTTGTTCAATTGATCACTATGGTCCAACTGACCTGCCTTCATCCTCACCTGTCACCCTTTACTGGTACCCCGCCAGCGTATACCGATAGCGTAGGCAGGATTACCATTCCAACTTTACCCATATAAAAAAAAAAAGTACTACATAGGGTACAGTGACACCATCAGACGGACTGTACACTTGTTTACCACCTTTGTGGTATAGAAAAGATTTCATATTTAAAACATGTTCAAGTTATGCAGTTTCACGAATACTATCATTCATCATCGGGATAATATGACCTTTGGAACTAACCTTGAACTAGAAGTCGTTAATCTCATGTACGCAACTATGATTATACCCATTAAATGATAGAATTTATGATCCTAAAAATGTGACAATGTAATAACCCCTTATGAGTTTTCACAAGACACCATATTTATTTTCACAGGACATACACAAACAAATATTAGTATAATGAACATGTCTTTGTTAAACCATATTACGTTGTATTTGAATGGATTTAATGTTTCCACACAACTCCACACCCGGTTAGTAACACAAAAAAAATAAAATTTTATTAAATACACTTACATACATATTTGGCTTTTCGTTTTATGATCACTGCACTGCACACATTTTTGTGTCGAAACTTATGATAATTAAGTTACTGATAAAATATAGATGACTTATACAGAATTGTTCGAAAAAAAAAAATACCAACTTAAAACTCTATGACTGTACACATAAAATTGAACAATTTCCCAACAAAAAAAAAAACAAATTCCAAATATGAAAATATTTTGTGAACACTTCAAACAAATCGTGCGTGAACGATTTAATTCGAAATGTCAATAAAATATTTTTACATTTAAAACGTAAATTTCTTGGGGAAATTGTTCAGTTTCATTAATACTATCATTCAGTTTCAGATTGGTATTTTCTTTCCTACTAACTCTGTGTATTACGTTAAACAACATTAATGGTACATACACATATAGTAAATAGCATATATTCTCTCACGTTTCCACTGTTTGAACAGATGATATTTAATTAATTATAATTTTTTTATTTAATTTAATTGTTTTGTTACATAACTAGCTAATATTGCGATAGGTCGAGTTGGCGATCATGACATACGATAAGGAGAATGCATCGCCATCCACAACTAGTAATACTACACCAGAAAGTCGTTTGCTTGGGTACCTCTGTCCCATTCGTGTTTCAACCGTGAAGCAGTTGTGTTTGCATGGCTGTGTTTCGGTTTGAAGGGTGGAATATGGCGTGAATTTACTGGGTACGGAGGAATAACACCCGAGTCCTCAGGAATGGCAACGCATGGGGGGTATTATGGACGAAACAGTATGTATGTGTACCGTTATGTTCATGGCACTGCTCAAGCCTATAGGCGACGGTTACCACTTTCCATCAGGTGGGCCGTCAGCTTGTTTGCCATTCTAAGTTGTATAAAAAAATACTATTTTACCTTTCTATCTACCCGAGAAAAGCCGGGGCAAGTAGCTAGTAGCATAATAAATTGGTTAATTGGTATATATATATCTATATATATATATATATATATATATATATATATATATATATAACAAATAATCTATTATTTAACAGTATAATACGACCATTAGATAGAGCGATAGACAACATTATCGAATCGCCGTTTATCAAGCGAGAAATTGAAGGATACTTCTGATAGGCCATTACTCATCGGAATAGACGCCGCAAAAATATATTTTTTACGATAAACAATCTTATTTATTGATAATACAAGAGCTATTTACCGATAACGAGCCCCCTTCTGCGTAATACCGATAAGACATCGCCTGTTTTCGACTCACTGACCTACCGAATATTGTTTTCCGAACGGTAATATTAGTACGGTCCTGGGGGGGGGGGGGGGGTTTGTTAGTAATGGAGACTGAGAATCCCATTGCTAGCAATATACCTAGCCAGGTCGACCTCCTCGCGGTTCCCCCTGGAAACTATAATGGTTAATTCCTGATGAATTCATCATAATGGGCCAACTGGCCTATTTTCATTCTCATCGATCACCCTTCACTGGTGCTCCGCCAGCGTATACCGTTAGCGCAGGCGGGGTCACAATTCCATTTTCACCCATCAAAAAAAAAGTACGGTCCCGGCATAGAATGAAGGTAGGTGTCGTAAGACTAAGAGAATTTAATGCTCGAGGGATAGGAAGAAGTGTTTCTCTTAAATCGTCACCAAAGTCTAACTGCGGTTGCCAGTCCGCCTGTCAAGCGTGGCAACTACTGGCAAAATCCTTCAAGATGGAGGCCTATGAGGCGATTAGCGGCTGATATATTATATGATGCCGAGTGGCGGCCACGTTGGCAATAACAAATGTAAAGTTTTTTTTTCTTTTAATAATTAATGTAACTCTTTTTGTTGTTGGCAATAAATGTTTTCTTTCTTTCTTTGATATGGCAATGACGATGACGATATTATTTTACTCAACGGCGAGTGGGGGAAGGCATTATAAGTGATATACAGTCTAACCGTCCGTTTGCTAGCAATATACCCAAAAAAAAAAATGCTTTTTCCGATGTATGTAAAAATGACCAGATTTTTCACAATATGTGTGAACTAAACGTTTTGATAAATTTCATACGGAAATGGGTGATACAATTGAGCTAAAATCGAGATAGAGGTATTTCGCCACTAATGGTTATATGGTATAAAATGTACAGATTCAGTCACGGCAGTTTCAAAACTATCCTTTGCGATTGCTGTCTCCTTTTTAAAAAAAAAATCCCAAGTCGACCTTTCGCTTACCGTACTAAAACAATCTTCTAAATATATACAATTGATTAAAAGTATTCCTAAAATAAGCGATTAAAACTTGTTTTAAGTATTTCTTTAGCATTTTGATACATTTTAAGCACATAAAATCGTGAAAAAAAAAAAAGCGTATAACACTGTGTTACTAGGGTCAATACCCTAGCAACGCTGTTTAATAATGATAAGTTTAGCCGATCGATAAATCTACTAACAAAATCCGAGCTTATATCGATTATAATCGATATTGTAAAGTTAGTGACAACTACTGCACTAGAAGCCGAAACAAGGCCTAATTGGGCGTATGTAGCTCGGAGTGTTAAGACCGAGTTTAATTCGTTTCAATTAGTCGATTTACGCATCAATCGAACTTAAATCGATTGTGTTAAGTTCGAGTAGCTTTAGTAAATTATTCGACGAGCATTTAAGTAGAAAAATAGCTGATTTAAATCCGCTAATGAAAGGGTAGTTAGGTTTAATTACTAAATAACTTGATACTCGATTATATATTTACTAAAAGCTATCCGAAGTAGGCTTTATAATCACTTGACTTCTAAAACAGTAACAGTAAAATTTGGTTTCATTAGGAGTATATCACTTATGTATGTAGCAGTGCGATATATTTTTATTTAACAAATTCGTTCGTTCTCTTCGGCCGTGTTATGTATTTATAATATTTTAGAAGCTTGTAACCAAATGGAGTATGCGATTTGTACTGTATTAATGCCAATAAATTGGATGTTGAATAACATCACCGGTGAGTTTAGAGTGAGCAAAACAAAGATTGTGTTCAACAAAAAACAAAAAAAAAACCTCGACTTTAATTGTTGCAACAGTTATTTTGGTTTGAAAACTAAACTGTTAAACCTAAAATTTCTATAAGACCAATCTATAAGTATATTATTTTCATATAAAAAAAAATATTTTTTTTCAAATCAGTCTATAACTGTGTTAGCAGGTAACAAACATAAAAAAAAATCAAATGAATTTAGAACTTCCTTCTTTCTAAAATGGGTTGAAAATAAAAGCGAAAAGAACATGCTGACTTGTAAAGTAGCTTAATAAAAAAGTTATACATTGTCAAAAAATTAAAACCTGTTGCAAGCTTACTTTAAAAATAGAATACAGTGTTTTGTCTTTCAAATTGTAAAATTTACGCAAAAGAAAAATATAAAACACTCCAATAGCTCAATAAAATATCTTTATAAGAGGTTTGCAGTTTTTATGAATAAGGGGTTCACATGATTTTCAATTCAAATACCAATCTGTGAAGGATTGAAATTTAAATACAAAATCTTTCTCTACCATAGACAAAAGCGAGTTTTTTTTTTCATTCATCTCTTAAACATATCTGAATGTTTTAGATTGAGACATTGCTCGCAATATCCCTTAAGAAACGATTTCTTACATAAAGTCGCTATAGTTCAAAACCGCATAAAAAAAACGAGTCCATTATCTTTGCCTCCCATAAAGCCACTAACTAGTACTGCATCATCCATTTGGTTGTAAGCTTGTCAGTACATAGCATTGTACTTACAGATTCGAATAAGGCACCGTTCTTGCCGATGTTGCCTGACGGCGTCAGACCAAGCCCGCCCACCAGTCCGGAGCACATATCTGACATGATATCACCATACAAGTTGGGCATCACCTGAAAGTTACAATATATTTATTTAATTATTGTTTAAAAAATAGATAGATAGATAGATACTCTTTATTGTTTCCTCCAAAAGATTACAATAGTAAACTTATTATAAATATAAATAATAGCAAGAAATAATTACAATGAGAAAACAATGGGCGACCTTATCGCTACTTTAATGGACAACATATGAAATGTAGTTTTTTTTTTCTGTAATATAACAATATGTGATTACCGCACCCTAATAATAATCATAAAATATAATTACAGGCTACAATGGTCTAATTTGATAGTAACATAATCTCAGTCTAATGTTAGTACATCTAACAATAAAATAAATAGATAAAAGAAAAAGAAATAATAAATTTGGTCATCACTGAAGCATTCCATTTGAGACACCACAACAGTGACCAATGTAAGAGCAGTCCAACTTGCTTGCAATCATATTGTAAGCGAACACAGGAGTAATATGGGTCCATGAATACGTAACATATATAGTTTAAAAAAAAATTGTGACCGACAAAAAAAAAAAAAAAACTGCATTCAATTGTGGAAAAAGCAGTTATTTCTGTCTAAAAATTGAACTATTGAATCGTTTATGACAAAATCAAAAAGCGACAATCTGTAAGTATATCCTTTCAGATAAAAAAATAATAATTTAACAAATCGGTTTAGAACTGACGGAGTTATAAGGTAACAAACAAAAAATACAACCGAAATGAATACCTCCTTTTTGAAGTCGGTTAAAAATTCATACGAATCAAAAATCTGTTCATATTTTTAACCAACTTTCTATCACAGGTGAACTGTCAACTTCTTAGCCATTTCAAGTTGCATAAAAAAAAAACAATAAATGGGGTAAAATAACATATATAGTTGACCCTGCCTATCTATAAGTCACCTGACGTGGCAGGGAAGGTATTCTTAATAACGCGGACTACCAGTCCCATTGCTGGTAATACACCCTCCTGTCAGGTCGACCTCCACGTGGCACCCCCTGGAAACTATCGCGCCGAATTCCAGGTGTATTCATCACGACGAACTAAGGCCAGTTAGCCCGTTAGCCTTTTCATTTTTACCTAGCATCCCTACTACTACCCCGCTAGCGTATACCGTTAGCGCAGGCGGGGTTGCCATTCCATTATCATTCATTAAAAAAGTTTTTTTTTTTTTTGGTGGATGAAAATGGAATGGTAACCCCGCCTGCGCTAACGGGATACGCTGGCGGAGCACCAGTGAAGGGTAATAGATGAGAATGAAAACAGGCCAGTTAGTCCATCATGATGAATTCATCACGAATTAACCATGATAATTTCCAGGAGGAACCACGAGAAGGTCGACCTGGTTAGGTATATTGCTAGCAATGGGATTCTCAGTCTCCATTACTAACAATCCCTTTCCCCTCATTAAAAAAAAGTTACCTGGCGATACAGTTATCAAAATTAGGTAATACATAAGTAAAATATCAAATTTTCCACATTGGCCTCGTGCGAGGAAAGGTTAAAAAAAGCGTACTTTGTATTTCAAATATTAAATTGATTAGTGCCAACTAGAGATAACATTTGACCTGTTACAGTTTACGTTACGGGTACTTAAAAGGTAATTAAAATATTTATTAAATTAACCATTTGCTTGTAATAGGCGATTTGTATCTCTTTTGCAAAGCACATTTCTAAGAATTCTTTGTGTTTTTATGTAACCTGATTTTTTTACGCAACTTACGAGTAGCTAACAAGCTTACGACCCACCTGATGGAAAGTGGTAACCGTCGCCTATAGACATGAGCAGTACCATGGACATAACAGAGTATACTGTTTCGCCCATGATACCTCTCTATTATTATTCCTGAGGACTAAGGTATTATGCTTTTGTACCTTTGTAAATTCACTGCCATATCCCACCCTTCAAACACAACTGCTTCGCGGTTGAAACACGAATGGGACAGAGGTATCCAAGCAAACGACTTTCGTACAAAGTCACCCTCTAGTGAATGGTAATCTTTACCTATAGACATAAACAGCACTATGTCTATAATGCTCTTCATATCATGTCTTGCTCTTAGTATTGCAGGCATTCCAGGGTTACGGTAACCGCTTATCATCAAGTGGGTCATATGCTTATTAGGCTGTCAGTTTTTTTGGCATTTATAAAAGGACAATTATAGTTTTGATATGTCCGTCGATATACTGACCAGGACGTCGAACTTGGAGGGGTCTTGGACCATGTTGAGGCAGACGGTGTCCAGGTAGCGCTCCTCGAACTTGATGTCCGGGTACTTGGTGGCGACGTCTCGGCAACACCGCAGGAACAGACCGTCCGACATGCGCCTGGGGAGTACGACACATTTGTAAAGGACTATATGTATTGCGCGGCTTCGCCCGTGGTCGTATCGTGACATTGAATAGGCTATTACCTTTCTCAAGTAATAAGCTATCAATTTAAAATCCGACCGATAGTTTCAGAGAACGTTCAAACATACAGACAAATTTTACCGCTTTATTATATCAGTATTGATTAGCTATAAAGCCTCGGTTTTGCTAACATGAACTGGAATTAAATATCAATGGAGCGTCATTTATTGAATTTAATGAAAAAGCAAAAATCTGCGTAATTTTTCGAAAAAAAAATATAACCGAAAAAGTTTAATCAAACTTGAAAGAATAACTATTATATAAACCACTTTTTTTTCTTATTTATCATATTCATATGTAGGTATATACATATACTACACTAATATATATTGTTTATTATATGAATGTTTTTATGTATGTAATCACCATCTTAAAATAAAATATAATAATTTTATTTTTTTAAATCGCCCTCGAGTATCTTTGCAAATCCTAAAGGTTGACTGGTACAGAATGCCTATAGTATCAAGTCGGTCTTTTGTACTACATTTTATTGGTCAATAAAGTTTAAATAAATAGATACATATGGATTGTTTAAGTGCAATAAAGAATAAATAAATAATAATAAATATATTTATATGTGAAGTTTAATTTAGCAAGTGCAAAATCTCTTAAATAGATATTGTCGGGTGGCATTTAACACACCAGTACGAACCGGGTTATCACTTAACGAGCGTTTATTGGTGCTAATGAACGGCTTCGTGTTACAGACGGACTAACTACTTGCTCTATATACCTATCAAGAACGGTTCATACTAGTCTGGCGACGTGGATCTGTGAATTTTCTAAAAAATAATGAAAAATATTTCAAATTATCTGAGTGTTTAAAAAGTATTGTGATAACTAACTAAAACGTTAATCATAATAAAATAAAACACTTTGTAATTTTGCGCCTACTCCATACTTTACTTCGAAAGATTTCAAACACTGACGTAACAAAAAAAAAACTGTTTAATAAAAATAAGACTGCAGGATTGATATTTCAGTTTACTATTACAGTACTTTTAAATTTACTATTGTAATCTTTTGGAGGAAACAAAGAGTATCTATCTATCTACTTTTCAATCGAATTAAAAAGCAGATTACCAATTCGGTCATTAATTTTTTTTTATAATTGTTAACCCATAACTCTGTCAGTTCTAAACCGATTGGGATTTTTTCTGAAAAGATATAGATACAGATTGTTCTCATAGAAATTTTATCAAAATCGGTCAAGTAGTTTAATTTTTAAACCGTAATAACCGGTTTTGTCACAATTTAGGTCGATTTTTGTTTGTGCGACACATTTTGTAATTATTAAATAATCAATCGGAAATATTGTAATGTTTGCGATTGTTTTCGAACCTTTGCCGGATTTCGATATGGACATGGTATGAACTGTTATTTATTTAGTTATACTACATCTATGATATAAATACTCTATGCTCTTATTGTTATATTATATGTAAATAAATAAATAAACAAATAAATAAGTAATTACTAATAAGATTTACTTACATAATATTCGCTTTATGGACGGCCGTGACCTTCTTTCTGTTGTTTTCTGTGGCGAATTGGAAGGCGAACTCGGCGACCCGCTTGCTGGCCTCCTCGGTGATCAGCTTGATGGACTGGACCACGCCGTCCACGATCTCGTGCTCGATACCGGAGTATTCACCTTCTGTGTTCTCTCTGATCGTCACCACGTCTACATCGTCGTATAGGGTTTTGATTCTGAAAACAATAATAAGTATCAATTTTTATTACTGGAATTGGGAAAGAAAACGGCCTGATGAAGAGCGGTTCAGTCAAGTCCCGGCTTCACACGGGTGGGCAATTTTATTACATACTTTATTGCACTTGTAAATTACATTGTTAATGCATTTATAAATATTGTGAGCAAGGTTGGACTTATCTCTGACAGAGATCTCTTCCAGTTAACCCAGTACAGAGAGAAAGCATGTTGTTAGCGGGTAGCTGAAGTGCTACAACTTTACAACATTTTAAAAAGTGGTTATTGTGACATAAAGATAATAGTTGGACATATAATATCGCGAAGTTTTTTGTAGTTATTGATATTTTCTTCAATATTGTAGAACATACTTTTGTTCTATCACCAATTGTTCCCGCAGTGCACGCGACGAAAGATATTTTTTATAGCATTTTTTTACACCTTGAGTTACTTTTACGTTACTAAAGTTTTAGTAAAAATTCTTAATCTTTTCTAGCAATAAATATAGCCTAAGTTACTCAGGGTGAATGTAGCTTTCTAATGGTGGAAGAATTTTTGAAATCGGCAAAGTAGTTTTTGAGTTTATTCATTACAAACATACATACACATAAAAATACAGATCTTTCCTCTTTATAATATTAGTGCAGATTATATCAACCATTAGCTGTCCACTGCTGAACATAAGCCTTTCCCCATAAGAGTTTTGCCAGTAATTGCCACGATTGGCAGACGAGTTGGCAACCGCAGTTAGACTTTGTAATGTAATGTAAGAGGGATGCTGCTGCCCATTCCTCGGTCATTAAGTTCCCTCTTATGATACCCACGAGAAAGGAAGGGGTTGCCCATTCTATATCGGGATTACACAACGGTTCAATCAATTAAACTAAGAGAAATAAAAATCATTAACATTGTTTTAAGGTTGTATTTTATCGGTGAAACTGATCATGTTTTTACAAAATTATGTGAGAGAAAAAACGACAAAACATTTTATACCGCTTAGCGGATTAGAGTCATTAAATTCCGCTACTGTTAGTATGCGTACGACTGCCAACATAAAATTAATCGCCTATCCAGCGATATGGACTTCCGCAAAGTAACACCTAGTTCAGTAAAAAAAAAAATTAAACCTCTCATACTATTGTAACTCGACAATGAATAATGCGATTTTTTTTAGGAAAAAAAATCTGTTTCCCTGATAAAATACTCCTATAAAATAATGCTAATAAAGAATAGTTTCAAGCAACTTCAAAAACGAGTTCTCAATACGGTTGTATTTCTCTTATGTCCAACACCGTCAGTTCTAAACAAATTTGGCAAATTCTTGATCTAAAAGTATATATAATACTTACAGATTGGTACCAAAGAAATTTTATCAAAAAAATCTGTTTAGTTTAGTTTTTAGATAAAAATAACTGGGTTTCTTATAATTGCTGTCTTTCTTCTGAGACACAACCTTTAATCATGGTTGTACAACATACCAAGATTGTTTACTATATATGATAATTAAATATATAAATATATATATATATATATATATATATATATATATATATATATATATATATATATATATATATATATATATATATATATATATAATATATATATATATATATATATATATAGAAAATAAAATTTATTATCGTTAGTGGACTGTCACTTTTAAAGATCTCATTATGCTTATCTTGCGGTTACATCTAAGCCTTAGAGGTCAGGGATAAAAAAAGAGATGGGCTTGCACTACTTGTGTATGCGTTCTTCAAAGCGCAATAATAAAGTATATTTATATTCACATCCTACATTACTACTCTCGGTTGTTTTAAATTAAAAAAGATAAAAAAAATCTGGCACTAGACATTGCCGTCATCATCATATCGGCTGTTTTTTTATACAACCTAGACTGGCAAACAAGCTGACGGCGCAACTGACGGAAAGAGGTCCAACTGACTCATTGCTAGCAATACAACCTATCAGGTCGACCTCCACGCAGTTCCCCATGGAAACCATCGTGGTTAATTCTACTGGAATTCGTCACGATGGGCTAACTGATCTGCTTCATTTTTACCTGCCATCCCTCACTGCTGCCATTCTATTATCATCCATTAAAAAAAACCGTTGCCAATAGAAATGAGCAGTAACATGGCCATAACAGAGTATACTGTTTCGCCTATGATACCATTCGTGTGTTGCAATTCCTAAGGGACTAAACCCTTCAAACCGAAACAGAAATGCAAATACGACTGCTTCACGGCCGAAACAGCTATAAGCAGCCATTTCAATGGTTACAAAATTATTATGAGCCCAACACAATACTAAACATCTGAGTACTCAGGAATGGCAACGCATTGGGGGGGGGGGGGACCTTGGGCAAAACAGTATACTCTGTTATGGTTATATGGTTATAACAGGTGGGCTGTCAGCTTGTTTGCCATTCTAAGTTGTATAAAATAAAAAATAAAAAAATACAAAAAGATTCACCAAAAATTGAAAAGAAAAAAGCAACTGAACAGGAAACTTCCTCTTTTTGAATTAGCTTAAGAGTACTTATGTAAGAGATTTTTTTTTCTATTTGTTATACAATAACACGATCGTGTCGTTGCTATCTGTGACGTGTAGATAAGAGAAGAGTAATTACAATTAACCTATTGACAGACAACAGGAAAAATGTTAGCATGTTTATTCCTACACTACTAGCTTTAATTGAGATAGATACTTCAAGTCTTTGACGAGTTACATTCATCATATCAGACTTTAACTGTCCACTGCTGGACATAAGCCTTCCCCTTGGTGGGTTTTGCCTGTAGTCGCCACGATTGGCAGGCGGATTGGCAACCGCAGTCAGGCTTTGGTGATGTTTTAAGAGGGACGCTGCTGTCCATCCCTCGGCCTCCTTTAGTCGCCTCTTACGACGGGAAAGATAAGGGGTGGCCAGGACTACACGGCAAGTTACAAATTGATTGGGTAAAAATTAATTATCAGTAGTGGAAACTTGTTTCAATGGATGAGAATGGAATGGTCACCCCCGTCTGCGCTATCGGTATACACTGGCGGGGCACCAGTGAGAAATGATAGGTGAAGAATAAAGCAGGTCTGTTAGCCCATCGTGGCGAATTCAATGATAAATTAGTCACGATGGTTTTTAGGGGAACCGCGTGGAGGTCTACCTAATAGGGCATATTTTAGTAATGGGAACTAACAGACGCATTACTAACAATCCTTTCCCCCCAGGAATGGGGACTAGCCACTAATATACTTCATCAGATCAACTTCCAGGTGGTTCCCCTTGGGATAATTTTTTTTTTATGGGTGAAAATGGTATGGTAACCCCGCCTGCGCTAACGGGATACGCTGGCGGAGCACCAGTGAAGGGTGATAGATGAGAATGAAAACAGGCCAGTTAGCCCATCATGATGAATTCATCAGCAATTAACCATGATAGTTTCCAGGGGGAACCGCGAGGAGGTCGACCTGGTTGGGTATATTGCTAGCAATGGGATTCTCAGTCTCCATTACTAACAATCCCTTTCCTCCCCTATCAATTTTGGTTAATTATTTTATGAATTTGTCACTATGAGTCAACTGACTTGCTTTCATTCTCACCTATCATCTCTCAATGGGGCCTCGCTAGCGTATTCCGATAGCGCAGACGGGGTTTTTACGTATCAGAAATAATCACGTATTAAAAAAAAGTTACACAGGGTTTCCGATAGCGTTCATTTAAAGAATAAAAAACTTTTTATTGTTTCCTTCAAAGAGTCGATTATAAAGATTAACGTATACGTAATATGACGAAAGTTGTTTACAGTAGATATTTTTATTGCTTAGATTATATAGATATAGCATTGAGCCTCACAAACGGATCAACTGTTTGTCAGCTAATTGTCAAATCAGCTGACTCTTTTTTTATTAATGTTCTATATACTTACACACACAATGTATCTTGACGCATCTCTATTTAATTATTTAATAAATAACATAAGTTTATGCGCATTAAAAAAGTGCAGAATTTATAAGACAAAATTAATATACAAGTTATAAAGGAAACACTCATAACCTCTAAAATAACCTCTCACCAGAGGGAGACTTTGTACAAAAGTCGATCGCTTGGGTACCTCTGCCCCATTCGTGTTTCAACCGTGAAGCAGTTATGTTTGCATGACTGTGTCTCGGTTTGAAGGGTGGGATATGGCGTGAATTTACTGGGTACGGAGGAATAACACCTGAGTCCTCAGGAGTGGCAACGCATGGGGTGTATCATGGGCGAAACAGTATACTCTGTTATGCCCACGGTACTGCTCATGTCTATAGGCGACGGTTAACACTTCCTATCAGGTGGGCCGTCAGCACGTTTGCCATTCTAAGTTGTATAAAAAAAAAAAAAAAACTATTTATCACGCAAAATTGTATGAAAAAGTTGAGCCGCTTTTCTCGAAGTATTTATATGAAGACACTTTCTATATAATCTAAGCTTTGTTTACAGACTTGATTACAAATTCTTTCAAATCATTACATTTTATGATTCTACCGCTAAATTCGGAGTATCAATTGTATTATCTGCCGAGAAGAATTAAAAAAAAAAAAACTCGGCAATTATTTTTTCATAGACATTATCTCATTTTTTTTTAAACACGCTTATATAATTGTAATCAACTAAAATGCCATAATGATTGAATACTGTAATTAATCGCTTCAATAACATTGATATTACATTATACATATCAAATTTTTTTTTAATTAACTATCTACAAATTAATGAGGTAAGAGGTTACTATGGGAATTTAATGAATGCAGAGGTATGAGCAACAGCGTCCCTCTTAAAACATCTCTAAAAGCCTAACTGCAGTTGCTAACCAGCCTGCCAAGCGTGACAACTACTGGTAAAACTAATTTTATGGGGAAGGCTTACGTTCAGCAGTGGACAGTTAAAGGCTGATATGGCGATGAACGTAATAAAACTCAACACAGACTGTCTGAAAGGTAGACAAGACATTGCAAAATCAAA